ACCAGACCACAAGACACACCTAGTTTTTGGGGGGAGGAAAACAAGAAAAAAAAATATTCTGACTCTCAGAAGCCAGAACAGCAAGAGGGATCACTGCGCAGTGAAAGCAGCAATCCCTCTTGCTGTTCTGGCTTCTGGGATAGCTGCGCAGCCTGCATTCGCTCAATAAGACGCACACACATTTCTCCTTACTTTTTATGAGGGAAAAAGTGAGTCTTATAGAGCAAAAAATACAGTATTTTAAGCACCCGTGCAGGGGAAAGTCACGAGATTCAGAGAATCTCATATGGATATTGTAAACGTTTTTTTCTTTTTATTATTTTGAATTTGTTCTTGTAAAAACCAATAAAAAAATTATTAATAATAATAATAAAGATCTGCTAACTAAGGGGCCACAGGAAGAAGCACGAGTTCTGTTCCGGTGGTGTAGCTGTGTTGGCAGAACACAATTTACGCTGTATGAAACTCCTCCTGTACGTGTGGCAGAATAGTCCCCAATAACAGAAACCCATGTGGGCCTGGGGTAGTAATGAGGTATCCTAAGCCCCATCATTCCTGCAACGTGCCTACAGCGACCCTCACATCTTCACAACAGGTCTGGGACTGGAGTTATTTCCCCTCCCATTGAAGTTGGTGGAATGGGGGGGGGTGCATCAGGAAATGAGAAAATTGTTGCCCCATCTTTGCCCCTGCAAACAACAGAGCTGATGCAGTAAACTCAACACCCAGTAAAGTTCACAGAAGCTGCCCCATATCAAGTCAGGCTCTTGGTCTCTCTAGCTCTGTATGGCCCACACTGACTGGAAGCAGCAGCCCTTGGAGATGTCCCTGGGACCTCCTGTGAGCAAAAGACCGTGCCCTGCCTCTGAGCTGTCGCCTTTCCTCCCAGAGAGGGCTGGGTTTGGAGCAGGGGACTCTCTCCCTGGCCTCACGGGACACACAGTGTTAGAGCTGGCCAGGATCCTGAGGGAGAGGAAAACACAGGGTAGGGGGAAGAGACTGCAGAAAGGGACGAAGCGGCCTTCTTTCAGTTTTGCAGGCTTTGCTGACTGCCTGTCACCATGCGGCAAAGGTGCAGAGCACCCAGCTGAGAACGAAACAGAAAAGGGAAATGGGAAAGACTGCCAGGGTGTTACGATTAGAGGGCTGACCGTCTGCCAGGAAGGCAGTGAATGCTGCAAATAAACAGAGAAGGCATGTTTAAAATATATACGGTAAAGGTAAAGGGACCCCTGACCATTAGGTTCAGTTGTGGCCGACTCTGGGGTTGCGGCGCTCATCTCGCTTTATTGGCCGAGGGAGCTGGCATACAGTTTCCGGGTCATGTGGCCAGCATGACTAAGCCACTTCTGGCGAACCAGAGCAGCGCACGGAAACGCCGTTTACCTTCCCGCCGGAGCAGTACCTATTGATCTACTTGCACTTTGACGTGCTTTCGAACTGCTAGGTTGGCAGGAGCAGGGACCGAGCAACGGGAGCTCACCCTGTCGCGGGGATTCGAACTGCCGACCTTCTGATCGGCAAGTCATAGGCTCTGTAGTTTAACCCACAGCACCACCCAGGTCCTACTTAAAAATATATATACAGTGGTACCTCGCAAGCCGAATGCCTCGCAAGACAAAAAACTCGCAAGACGAAAGGGTTTTTTGTTTTTTGAGCTGCTTCGCAAGATGATTTTCGCTATGGGCTTGCTTCGCAAGACGGAAACGTCTTGCAAGTTTGTTTCCTTTTTCTTAACACCGTTAATACAGTTGCGACTTGACTTCGAGGAGCAACTCACAGAACACGGTGTGGTAGCCTGTTTTGAGGTTGTTAAAGACTTTGGTGATTTTTGAAGCTTTTCCAAAACTTTCCCGACACCGTGCTTCGCAAGACGAAAAAAATCGCAAGACGACAAAACTCGCGGAACGAATTAATTTCGTCTTGCGAGGCACCACTGTATACACATACAATTAAAAGAGCTCAGGATTGTATTCCAAGCAGCGCCGGTAGCCCTCCTGCCCATGTGTGCCACCCAGATCTTCTCAGGAAGGTCCCCCAACCCTCCAAAACGGATTTGAGGGTTCACAAGGGGCTGCAAGTTGGTCCACGTGCCTTGTACTTTAAACCACACTGCAACCATTTTCAAGCTAGGAGCCTGAGGCTCCCAACCTCCACATGGGGCTTCTCCTTGATAGAAGAGACCCTGATTTTATTAGCTTTCCATAGCAGAGTTTTTAGCATTGGGGAGGATAAATATAGAGCCAACAGTCAAATGATGTTATGCATTCTCTGGGTCCTTCCCACTTTGCATGTGAGACTTCCTTCCATGTCAGGAGCCTGGGGCAAGGTTGCATCAACTGATCCAGGGTTGCATCTGTTTCTCAGCAAACACAACTTTTCCCATAGTATGTTTCTTGATAATTGCTTGTATGAGACATTACCTTGCCAACAAAGGTCCATATAGTTAAAGCTATGGTTTTCCCAGTAGTGATGTATGGAGGTGAGAGCTAGACCATAAAGAAGGCTTTCCGGGTCATGTGGCCAGCATGACTAAGCCGCTTCTGGCGAACCAGAGCAGCGCACGGAAACACCGTTTACCTTCCCGCCAGAGCGGTACCTATTGATCTACTTGCACTTTGACGCCGAAGAATTGATGCTTTTGAATTCTGGTGCTGGAGGAGACTCTTGAGAGTCCCATGGATTGCAAGAAGATCAAACCTATCTATTTTTCAGGAAATAAGCCCCGAGTGCTCACTGGAAGGACAGATCCTGAAGCTGAGGCTCCAATACTTTGGCCACCTCATGAGAAGAGAAGACTCCCTGGAAAAGACCCTGATGTTGGGAAAGATGGAGGGCACAAGGAGAAGGGGACGACAGAGGACAAGATGGTTGGACAGTGTTCTCGAAGCTACCAGCATGAGTTTGACTAAACTGCGGGAGGCAGTGGAAGACAGGAGTGGCTGGCGTGCTCTGGTCCATGGGGTCACAAAGAGTCGGACATGACTAAACGACTAAACAACAACAAACAAAAAGAGAGGCAGTGTGGTGTAGTGGTTAGACTAGGAACCTAGGAGGTACCAGTGTTCAAATCCCCATTTGGCCATTAAACTCATTTGGTGACCTTGAGGGCCGGTCTCAGCCTAAACTACCTCACAGGGTTGTTGTGAGGAGAAGATGGAGAAGAAGAACTGCGCACAGCACCTTGAGTTTCTTAGCGTAACAATAAAAATAACAGAAAAAGAGAAGCTATCCTGTTTGCATTTAAACAGATGACCCAGTAATCTGGTCTGGAGTTGAGCAGCCCCATGGCAACTTGGCCTTCCTTGGAAATGGATTGGCTATTTATTAGTATTATTTAGTATTAGTATTTATTATTAGTATTATTAATTCCTGCATGGTAGGGGGTTGGACTAGATGAGCCTTGGGGGTACTTTCCAACTCTACAATTGTAGGACTACCTGCACTTCATCTGAAGGTCTTAGGGTGACTTACAACATTAAAACGCAATCCTATAAACTGTTTAAAGCAGATGGCAATTGACATTTGTCATCCACTATCTAGACAGGCCTGATAGGAGCAAAAGCCCCAGGCTTGCCCCTTCCCCTTGTGATCTTCACCTGCCTGTTTGATGCCATGGCAAGGGGAGACACCATTGGAACCACAGCAGCCCCCAGGGGACTCTCTTTCCTCTCTGCCCAGGAGAGTTCAAAGCGCCTTTGCAAACCCTCAAGAAGTCCAAGAAGCCACCAACGTGGCTGGCGTTAAAAGAGAATTGGACAAATTCATGGAGAAGAGAGCTATCAATGGCTACTAGCTGCAATGGCTATGCTCTGCTCCTCCACAGTCAGTTTGCAGGCTTCTCACACGCAGCTGGCTGTCCACTGTGAGAAAAGGATGCTAGGCTGGATGGGTCCCCTTTGGCCTCATCCAGCAGGACTATTATTCTATTCTTAAAAAGGTCACGGGAAAGAGCAAGCCAGGAACTGGATCCAAGTGCATTCCCCCCATAAACTGGGGATTTGGTGCAGAGGGAAAGCCGGCTGTGAAGAGTCCGGATGTTAGAAGCATGGGGACATGTGTGCAGGGAGACAAGGCTCAACTGGACTCTTCCCTCCTCTTTAAGCCCCTTATGAGAGGCACGATCCAGCCCAAGCAAAAATAGCAGCAGGGAGGAGCTGGAGGTGCCACTGGGCAGAGTACCTCTGGACCAGGCATAGGCAAACTCGGCCCGCCAGATGTTTGGGGACTACAATTCCCATCATCCCTAGCTAACAGGACCGGTGGTCAGGGATGATGGGAATTGTAGTCCCAAAACAGCTGGAGGGTCAGGTTTGCCTATGCCTGCTCTGGACTCAGATCCGGAGGGTTGGGCCGGTGCGCTGCTCGTTCCTGAACTCCTGCCATCCCAAACGCATAGACTGCGCTGAGCCATGGAGGCTCTACAGTCTCTTCCAAAAGAGCAACCTGCAGGGACTGATGGGGTGGGGGGAGAAGTCGGAGAGGGTGTTAAGTTAAATTAACTGAAAACAGCTTGCAGATATTTAATCAGCTTAGGATTTTATTTATGTTAAGTGATGAATTAATATGTTCAATTTCATAATGTGAAGACTTAAGGATGTCAATGTTAAGTTAAATTTTATAAAAATTGTGATTTGGAAAACCGTTAAAAGGGTATGCAATGAAATTCAACCAAGGGGAACCGAGGAAGTCACTTAACCAAGTTAATAAGTGTAATTTTCAATAAGGCTATGATTTATGTTTGTTTGTCTTGTGTGTTTGTTTATAAAATTGTGAAAACCAATAATTTTTAATTTTTTTTAAGAAGTCGGAGAGGGTGGTCGCGGCGCCCTTTTGCACATGCTCTATGGCTCCTGAAAACCTAAAACTCGCCGCCCGCCGCCAGCTGGCCTCCAGCAGTCGCGCACGCTCCTCCGCTGCCGCCGCCGCCATCTTGGGAGAGACGGAAGTGGATGGAGAGGGGAAGGAAGGGCGGAAGCGCCGCCATCTTGGCGGCGGCGCGGGACGAGAGACGACGAACGCGGGCGCCATCTTGAGAGAGGCACTGCAGGCGGAAGTGGCAGTTGTTGTTCGTTACGTTTATTCTATCGTTCCCTCTCCGTCGTTTAACCGCCACAGCAACCCTGCGAGGTAGGTCCGGCTGAGAGTGAGCTACTGCCCAAGGTCACCCTGTGAGTTGCGTATGGCCGAGTGGGGATTTGAACTGTTGGCTCCCAAGATGTACTGTTGTCAGTACTCTGGTATTTGGACATCTAGGGGTTAATATACCCACCCAAACAAGCAAAATATAGCAAGCCAGTTTTATAACCCTTTGTGTGTAAGCTGACCAAAACTTAACCTCTCCATATTAGGCAAAACTGCAGAAATGTGTTCTTTATGGAGAATGCTGTGGTTTTGCCAGATGCCCTGCTCTCCTTTATGGGCCCTGTGCCAATTGTTAAAGATCCCCATTAAAAGGTAAAGGGACCCCTGACCATTAGGTCCAGTCGTGGCCGACTCTGGGGTTGCGGCGCTCATCTCACTTTATTGTCTGAGGGAACCGGCGTACAGCTTCCGGGTCATGTGGCCAGCATGACAAAGCTGCTTTTGGTGAACCAGAGCAGCGCACAGAAACGCCGTTTACCTTCCCGCCGGAGCGGTACCTGTTTATCTACTTGCACTTTGACGTGCTTTCGAACTGCTAGGTTGGCAGGAACAGGGACCGAGCAACGGGAGCTCACCCCGTCACAGGGATTTGAACCGCTGACCTTCTGATCGGCATGTCCTAGGCTCTGTGGTTTAACTCACAGCACCACCCATGTCCCAAGGATCCCCATTACTCCGTCTCAAATTCTGACTACATCTAAAGACAGCTTGTACCCACTGTGCAATATGAGCTATTGAAACAATTGGGCTTGAAACTTATACTTAAACAAACCACTTTCCAGGCCTTAAAATACAGAGTCAAATTTTAAAGCACATTTGGGGATTTGATCTCCCTAGCTGTGTCTCCCTAGCTACAGCCTATTATCGACTTAACTGTTTGAGTTCTTGCACCAAATCCATTCAGAATTCATACTTAAACCCAAAATGGCTTTTTCACCCAGCCTTCTATTTTTTCAGCATGTAGCAAGAGTGCTATCTCACTTTTACCGTCTCTTTCACTCTCTAAACTTTTTGTATTTAACAGTAAGAGTTAAGAGACTGATCCAACAAAGGCATTTGTCTAAAGGAGATGTTTGCAATGTCAAATGATTCAAAAAGAGAGTTCTCCAAAGTAGCAGGTATTTCTGTTCTCAACAGATGCAAACATGACAGTTCACCGAAGGAGCATGTTTCTGGTGTCAACTGATTTTTAAAAAGCATTTGTCTGAAGGAGCAGATGTTTGCAAAGTGAACCAATCCAAAAAAAGGACGCTCTCCAAAGGAGATGTTTGCAATGTCAACTGATCCAAAGAAGACAGTTCTCTGAAGGAGCAGAGGTTTGCGAAGTCAACTGCTCCAAAAAGATGCTCTCCGAAGGAGCAATGTCTGCGAAGATCCAACTGATCCAAAAAAGACAGTTTTCTCAAGAAGCAAATGGAGCTCCTCCATGATGAGGTCTATAAAGAAAGGCAGGTCTTCTGGCTGAGCTCCATGAGCCAAATATTTCTGATATCAACTGATCCAAAGAAGACAGTTCTACAAAAGCGCAGATGTTTCTGATGCCAACTGATGCAAATACAGTTCTCTGAAGGGGCAGATGTTTCTGATCTCAACAAATCCAAAAAAAGACAGCTCTCCGAAGGTAGATGGCTGCAATACCGACTGATCCAAAAGAGACAGTTCTCTAAAGCAGCAGGGTATTTCTCATGTCATCTGATCCAAAAAACACATTTCTCTGGAACTAGTTTTTGCAATGCCAACTGATAAAAAAGATAATTCTCTGAAGATGTTTCCATTGTCAACTTATGCAAAGAACAGTTTTCACAAGGAGCAGATGTTTGCAATTGTCAATTGTTCCAAAATAGTTTCCCCAACCTTGCAACAAACCAGGGCAGCCTCCAGATGTTTCTTTGGGCTCCCTTCAGCCACCCACTGGCCCAAAATGGTCTCAGGGAGAAGATTATTGGGGGTCTTGTTGCAGTTCTGCAAACATCTGGTGAATTGTGTTTCTTCTACAACAGCTGGCTGGTTGCCATTTATGTTTTTCTCATTGATTTGGGATGGGAACCTGGGACCATAATAAATAAATAGGTATCTCAGGTTTACGCTTTTTGGACAAAACAGACAAAGGCGCAGTTGACTTTCTCATAACCTGTGGACCTAACCAGATTAACTCTTCAACTGCTTTGCAGAATAGATGTCAGATTCTAGACTACATCACAAATGAGAGGTGTGAAGAGTTGTAAGCGCAGAGTGCTTTCAATTATTGAAGTTACAAGAGATGCATTCTGACAGAATTAAAAGCTTGGTACAAAAACCTGTAAAAAATGGTCAAGTTTCATTTTGTGGTAGGAGGAGCTAATCCTACTTTCCCCCACTACACATCTTGTTCCATACGAATTGTTGGGTAAAAATAGAGTGGATAATAAATATTCAACCTTCAGAGCAATTTACCAAAACCTAGTCCCATTCTATCATGTGGTACATATCAAGTGGATTGCACAACCTGTGCACCAAACTCTGCATTGCTGTCTGTAAACATACCTCTTGCAGAAATCACATTTCAGTCCTTGGTATGCCAACTTGTAACTTTCCCCCCACCCCACCAAAAAAGACCCCTACAGGTATTATGATTTTAGGAAAACACGTCCCGCTTCGGTCAATATGCATTTTTAATTTTTTGCATAGTTCAGATATATTGAGATGTTTTCTGCTAATCACTGTGTGTACATCTTTTGTACAGGAATGGATGATGCAGCAGCCCTAAATAACAGAGTATTTTAAGATAATCTAGAACAATTCCAGAGGACAATATATCTTGTGAAGCTGATAAAACCAAAACCCAACCCCACCATTAACTTTCCTGGGACCCAAACTAATGGATTCAAATTACAAGAAAGGGGATTCTGACTAAACATTAAGAATATGTTTTTGAGGGTCAGAGCCATTCAACAGTGGAACGGACCACCTTGAACGGAGGTGAACTCTCTCACTGGAGGTTTTTTAGCAGAAGCTGGATGACCACCTGTTAAGGATTCTTTGGCTGCGATTCCTGCGTTACAGGGTGTTCCCTTCCAACTCTCTGATTCTATATTTATTAATTTTGTATCCCAACCTTCCTCCCAAAGGAGCTTAGAGCTGAACAAGGTCCAGTAGTTTTGGCTGAAACTTGTTAGGCCATATTTTGAATACATTACAGTAAACAATACTGTCAGTCTGGAAATTAGGATTCAGTAACCAAAGAATTCTGAACACTTGATATAAATGCTGCTTTTTTCCTCCTCCGGAGGTATTTCAGTGAGCTGGCATAGAAGCCTTGCCATTACTAGTAGAAAAACAAGCAACACCTTTTTTATCTTCTAGAAGTTGTTTCTTACACTATTACACTATGACATAGTAAACTCATTTGGTATTCCTACACTAACGCAGTGTAATGAGTAAAACAAAAGACCTGTATTTATTTTGGGGTTTTGTTTCTTGATTTGTGATATATTTTATAAATAATGTTAGCTTAATCAAATTAAAGTTAAACAAGTGTTTATTACAATACTGGGAATAGTTCATATGAACAGACAGAGTTTTGCTGTGCACTTGGAACGGTATTTACAGACATGAATAATTTTTAGGCAAAAGAAAAGAGTTAAGCCAAGGCAGACTTTTAGTAAGTCAACTGCTGTAAAACTTTGCTGTCTACAGTAGGGGAAGAGGACTCATTTCCTAAGTTAACAATATTGGAAACACTGTGGACTCTTGAGTGCATATTGTCCCCCCCCCCCCCGCAAAAGAAACCCACGGAGAAAAGCCAAGTTGAGCACTTTGCTTTAAGATTTCTTGTATTCAATCCTTTCTACTTTCACGTCATCACCAATCAGCTGATAAACGTAAGTAACAACAGTGGAAGCTTGGATGTCCATCAGCACAAATGAAGGAATGATGTTGCTGTAGAAAAAAAAACATGTGAGTGTTATTTTAATGACTGCATCTGAACTCAGCAAATTCTTTGAAAGCTAAAGTTACCAATTCTCTGCCCCTTTGTTTAAGAGAATGTCCCACTGAACTCACTGGGGGATGGTGACCCCCATGGTCTTCTAGCTGTTTGTTGGACCCCCTATTAGTGCCAATCAGCACCCCCAGCGGTCAGGGATGATGTGAGGTGTAGTTCACGAACACGTGGAGGGCCCACAGGTTTACGATCCCCGTACAAGATGGTCTTAAGTGAATCCTACTAGCATCCTCAAATAACCACCTGACATTTCTGCAGCCTTGGTCAGGAAATATAATTCAGTAGACAGTTCTAATATCTCCTGCTTTATCCTCTAGCACCAAACACCTCTTAAGTTGCATCAAGCAAAATACGAACCAACTTGGTACTCCTACTGAAACACAAACAAACTGTATTTTATTATTTTATTTATTGGTTAAGACTTTAAAAGTGATCAAAATTTTGGGGAAAGTTCAACTGCACATAGTCCCTTATGTGCTTTGATATCAAAATAATATTCCAAACTGCAAAGAAATTCTAAGACTAGATTCAGGAATGTTTCCTGTACCCAAATCTACAATAAATTTATGCAATAATCCAACCTGATAGCAAAGAACAAGCAGCCATGAGTACCTCAGTCAACTAACTGTAGTTAGCAATGACAAGCACATTGTGGTATATAGCAACTCACTTTTCCAAAGCACTGTAGGCTCCTGTTGCTGATCCAGGGTTGATGTAGAACTTATTTTCATGTTCAAATGCTTCAAATTTGTGTGTGTGCCCTGAAATTAGGATGTCCACGTCAAACTGCCTTTGAAGTAACGCCAGGCTGGCCATGTCACCCCATGGAATAACTTGATGGCCATGGATCAGTCCAATCTTAAACTGTCCGACAGTTACAACTTTCTGTTCAGGATAATTCAAGTTCTAGGATTAAAGCGACAACACAAAAATCACATACGCACCAAGACTCCATTCTCCCTTTCTGTTTTATCAATTCCAAAGAAAAATGCCATTTTGTATTCTTAAGAATAACAGCATGGCAGCATGTTAATTGGTGGACTAAAAGGGTACTATTGTCAGATGCAAAATACACGCATCCCGTTTACTCAAGACAATCCACGTGATATTAAACAGACTTGCAAGGTCAATAGTTCTGTAATTAAACTAAAAAAGAACAGCACAACACAAACAGAAATCTACCATCTTTCCCCACCTAGCAGTTGAGTTACCTCATCAAAATCCCCTCTAACGACATGAACATCACCAGCCAAAGTCTTGAGGTAGTCATAGCTCTCCTTTGTGCAGAGGTTTCCAGTGCAGAGAATGTGTTGAATTTTTCCAGGAACCAGCAGCTTCTTGAATTTAGCTGGCAGGCTGTTGCAGCGGTGCGGGATATGAAGGTCTCCCAACACTAAAACCAACTTACAAAGGAGTAAAAGGAAAGACAACACATTTAAGTCTCCAGCAACATGTCACAAAACTTTCAGAGTTCCCAGTCTTGTCCGTGATTCCTTCACTTACAAAGTGATGTTTCCCTAAAACGAAGGCAGCCCCATTAAATTTCAGTGGGATTGCCGCATCCTTATTGCACTTTGTAATTCCTTCCAAATCCTGTGACACTCGGATATTAAGACTGTTTTAAAATGTTTTTGAATCCACTGCAGTTAAATCTGGCATGAAGCCCAAACATGGCAACCACAGTTTTTCCTCCTTGAAAAGTGAGGACTTCACCCATCCAAGTAATTTCATTGTTATCTCAAGACAAAGGCACCAACTCCCCAATAAAATATTGGAGGGGTCCGCACCCCTCCCAAAGTTGATGGCCTCTGCTATTCAAATGGTTTGGGTGTGCCATGTCTTGTGATCCATCATTCAGGGCAGGGCTCACCTTGCCCCCCCCTATTTTATTCAAGTTGGCACTCCGTCTCAAGATGACAAGAGTCATCTCGCCCCCAGATACATTTTTTTCCCAGCACGCAAGCAGACAATTCTGTAGTAACACTTTGCTTTGGCTGTTGCTTTGGTGCAGTGACACCACACAATGCCTTGCACAAGTCAGATGCAGGTAAATGGGGTGTGTCATACGCAAGACAGGCAGTGGTAATACAGAGCATTAAACTTCCCCTGATGTTGGCAAAAGGAGCTGAGGACACTTAACTGCAGCCACAAAATGCTTATCAGCTTAAGCTCACCAGCGCATCAAGCTCCAAACCCCGGTCCCTGGCAATGAGAATGCCAACTTACTTTTGCCAAAGTATGCGCAGAACTCACATGTAGTGCTGGCCAAGCCTACAGGGTCTCATCCTCATACTGTGTTGTAGAGCACACCCCAAACTCCCCTGTTGCTGCAGTCAGCAGCGAAGAACTTGTCTGCCATTATCGATCTTCTCACTTAGAAACAGCTGATAGGGTCCTCTAAACTGAGACAGTGGTTTACAAAGTCATCACAACGAAGCACCATGATGCAAGAGTTTGACCACACCCCAAAACTGTAGTTGCAGCATCATCTGCAGCTAGCAAGACATTGCTCTTGAATCTGTATAAATTTATGCATTCTAATAGCCACTAAGTGGGTTGTCACCTACCACCACCAACGTTAGCAACAGGCCAAGATGAACAAACTTACTCTGTGCCCAGCCTTATTTGGATGAAGAAGTTGATTGCAGACAGGGGGCAGGGAGCGGGGAATGGAAAAAAACAGGGTGAGACATGAACAATGTTAAATAAAAAGGATGCAACAGAAAAGGAAACATCTCAAGCCAAATTAATAGGCAAATCATCAACTAAATTTGAATGTTAGGAAAGGAAATGTTAAAAAAAAAATTGATTTATGCAACTGATTTCATAAAGCAGGGCTGGAAAATCTCATGCCACCACTTCTTCAATGGTTCTGCTTCATGTCCTCTTTGAGTGCTTTTGCCTGGTTGAAATATGTTCTTGAATTGTGAAGATGCCCCTTGTTTGCCAGAGTGGAGAATGGAGAGATGTGGGCAGGTGCAGAAACCTCCTACATTTTAGTCTACTGTATAAAGATAAGTCTACCCACATTTGCTTCTTGCCCCACCCACCACTAGCAATGTGCCCCCACTGGACTGTGTTCCCCATGAGAGAATGTGACCCTCTGCCTGAAAAAAGTCCCCATCCCTAACATTCATGGAAGGGTTTTCTTAGTCTTCCCTGAACAGATCCTAATCTCTTGCAGTCACCCTCTGTGCATTTGTTGGATTCCACCTCCCATCATCCCTGACCGTTGGCCATGCTGGCTAGGACAGATGGGAGCTGGAGTTCAATCATAACTGGAATGCCACAGGTTCTCCACTAAAGCCTTTTACATGCAACACAATTCAACATGCAGATGTAGGAGTCCACTGCCCATATTGGCTTCCCCATTCACTTCTGTGGAAGGGAGAGCTCTATAGGCTTGGTGATGTGAAAAGGAGCTAACCCTTATATTGAACAAATACAGAGAAATGGGTTCACAGTAGTATAAATCAGATACAGGATTTTTGGCATTAGCTCATGAATGACTCTCCATAGACCCACTTCATTTTAGTTTACAATGAGGAGTAAGAACCAAGTTTTTATTCACAAAATCCTCTTTCTTGCCATATTGCTATATGAGATCCAGTTGGGTTTGAGGTTGATGCTATTCGGTCAGTGATACAAAAGGGCTGTATCCAATGCTCAGAGCCTTCAATAGTGTAAAGAGAGCCCTTCCCCTCAAATGCTTTGAGGCTCTGGCTTCTGGTCCCACTTCATAAAAGCTCTTATGAACAGGGCTCTGCTCTCTGCATCATGACAAATTTTGCAACCTGTACAAATGATGCAGAACTAAATGATTTCTCTTGAGTGATTCCAAATTTATTTACTGACGCATTACACCTTATCATAGCCAAAACTTACTGTTTTTGCATAATTTATTCTGGTTTTGCTAACCATGGGCAGGGTGAAAGAGTTGTGGAGGAAGCTGATGTCCCTTTCCTAACTACTGAAAATCTTATTCAGCCAACCTTTTTGGTCACAAAGATTTCATCAGGCATTGCTCCAAGATTTTCAAGCATATAATTGCAGTCAGATAGGCTGAAGTGTAAGCCAGTGCTCTCAAGGAGTTGAAATTCCCACCCCCACCCCAAGAATCTTTGCAGACACAGACCTGCACCTGAGCACTACAGGAGCTGTCCAGCTCTGTTTACTTTCACAAGATGCTTCCATGGCTGTTTCAGTGCAATAAGGGTGGGGTGGGGAATCAAGCTGCTTGTCTGGAACCAAGCAATTTCTACCAGGGATAAAATTCCTTGTACCAGCAAGCATTGTCACTTATTCACAACCTGCCCCCCCCCCCGCCCCGGTTCCTGACTATCCCCATCAGTAAGTTTCATGTTATACTGACACACAGCACAAGATGGCTCAGTTCATGGATTTGTAATGCATCTAAGGGGGTTAGCCAAGCATAATTATGAGAGAAAAGTTATTGCCATAAACACCATGAATGTACAGTGGTACCTCTGGTGACAAACTTAATTCGTTCCAGAGGTCTGTTCTTAACCTGAAACCGTTCTTAACCTGAGGTACCACTTTAGCTAATGGGGCCTCCCGCTGCCACCATGCAATTTCTGTTCTCATCCTGGGGCAAAGTTATTAACCCGAGGTACTACTTCCGGGTTAGGGGAGTCTGTAACCCGAAGTGTTTGTAACACAAGGTGTTTGTAACCCGAGGTACCACTGTATGTGAGTATTGCAGGAAGGGAATCAAAACTTGTTAATTTAAAGCAGGACAAAATCAGAAGAAACTCAGCAAATCTTCAGGGAAGCTTACTGGCTGCAAAATGTATTTGGAAGAGATAATATCACAACACTGTCATTTTCTCAAACCATTTTGCATATATCAGAGTTTCAGATGTATTTCTCTTGTATAAAATTCAGCCGTACTCCATACGCAAGCAGAGTAAGCTCCACTGAAAACAATGAGACTTGTAATTTAGAAAGAAAACGCTTTTTTGGGGGGCACGGAACTATCCTTCACTCCCTCCCACTTTTGCCTCACTAAAAAGTGCTACCACACTAATGGTGCTATATAAGCAAAACAAGAACTGCAGGGACAGAGGGAGTGTTCTGACTGGGAGTGAAGTTACCCGGGCTGAGCGTGGCAAGTTAATCCTTAGTTCTTCAGGATCTTCAGCAATCCTCATAACAGTGGCAGGGCAGTGATCATGCCACAGGAAGAACGTTGTCCATCTTTTGAGGACCAACAGACGCTTTGTTACTTAAGAACCCCCCCCCAAAAAAAAACACCCCTGTACCCAAGGTAAGGTCTGAAGGCACCACCCCGATGCCGATCACGAGGCCAGCCTGGGAATCCTGGGCGTTCAACATGGGAGGAACCATTTAACGAAGTTAAATATACTCTGATGTTAAATAGCATCAAGCCAAATTCACCCCCGACCACGCTGGCTGCGGCTGTTGGGAGCCGGGTGCCCAGCAGCGTCCGGAGGGCCCACAGTGCCCAGCAGCTGCATCTCACCGCGGCCCTCCGTGCCCTGCCGGGCTCCGCCTCTCACCAGCCCGGCCGGCAAGGAGGAGGGCAGCCGTGAGCACAGCGAGAGCTCGAGGGGCGCCAGGCCGAGGCGCCGAAGGCCACGAAGACGGACAGCTCCGTCCCCCAGTCACCGAGGGAAGAGGAAGAGACGGGGCTGGGCGGAGCGGCTCCTCGTGGGCCTCTGCCCCGGCCTTTCGCGCCGCCCTCGCCCTCTCAGGGCAACTCACCATCTTGGGGGGCTCTCCGTGCCGCTCCTGCACCGCCTTCCTGCCTGCTTTCCGCCGCTTCCGGTGTGCCAAGCCGGAAGTTAGGCCTACGGAAGCCGAGGCGGGACAATAAAAAGCGCACACGCAAAAAAACAACCACAAGCAAAGACTCAGGACGGTTTGCGGAGGCCGCTGCCAGTCAGAGCCGAAGAGGCGGGGCCCGTTCGTTTCCGAATCAAAAATAGGCAAAGGTGGGCGGGGGGGAAGAAAGAGAAAGGGGGAGGTCCTACATCCGGGCGCTGGCGAGGCCAAAGGGAGGCAGGTTCCGCAAAGAGGACCGATAGACACTTTCGGTTCCCAGTTGCGCACCTGCCAATGAGAAAGCAGCAGGTGGCCCGGAGCGCATCATGTAAGAGGCGGAGTGGGCGGCTATTCCTCCAACTGCGTCGTCGTCGGAATGAGAGCCGGAAGTGAGATGGCTGTCGCCCACCTCGTGACCTCTACGCCTTCCCCGTTTTTTCTGGCTCCGTCTTCCCTCAGAGTGGTTTTCCCGCCTTTTTTGCGGGCGGCTCGTGAGGCGAGGCGGGGAAGGCGCTTTTGCTCCGCTTTTTGCGGTGGCCGCCGTCGCCTCGCCATGAAGTGCGGCTTCGGGGCTGCGGGTGTTCGAGGTAGCGCCGCCCCGGATGGTGACAGAAATTGCGAACGTTAACAATAGTCATCCTTTGGGGTCCCTCAGACTCTTATCCCGCGGGCCTCACGAGACGCCGCAGAAACACGATTAAATCCCACGCTATTCTCCCAAGTTTCCGCTTTTGGATCCTTCAGCTGCTTAGATGCGAAAAATAAAAATTAAAAAAAGTAAAAGTTTAGCCAGACCGAGTTCCCCCGCCCTAAAATGGGTGTAGAGTTTCCAGCTGAGGCAATTATGAATAATACCGCTCCTGACATGTAAAGTCCAGCGTATTAAAAACCGCACAAGGCAGGCAGAGAATAATAGCATAAGCCAGAAACCCTTTGAGGCACTTTTCATTTACGCAGTAGTTTGCTTTTGTAAATTTTAAGAGAGCATGTCTTGTTTACAGAAAGTTAATTTCAAATCACCTCATACTGGATCAGTTACGGTGTTAAATATTTATTTTATTAAAATTTGAAGAGTTGTATGCCTGCCATAGAGCCCCTGAGTAGAAAGAAGGGACCGAAATACAACCAGCTAGTCATTTGCCCTTACTATGGCATTTCTTTCCAATATATGCTATTTTTTTGCATTGCCTATTGTGTGGCATTTGTCGCTGGTGCTGAATTTTACTCGCCCGTATATTCAGAACAAGTCATAGGCAGAGGCCGACATCTACATCAAGCCATTGGTGTTAAAATACATATTTTATATACTGTCTCAAGTCCTTGGTCATTTAGGGACTCCCCTCCTTGGGAAGGTCACTTTGGTTATGCTAAAGGTGCTGCGAAAATAGACGGATGCCAACAACTAACCAACACACAAACACATATACATAACATGCATAATTTGCCATGTTACTATATTTTGGATACATGGTATAACATTGCTATGTATCAGGTTGAGCCAAGAGTTAATCACACTAAAGCATTTGTAAGAATGTCTTGAGCCATGTCAATTGAAGCTTTAAATGATACTAGTAGCGGCGAGAAATTAAGTAAATAGACACAAATGACCTCAGTCGTGTTGCAGGGACTAACAAATCAGTACAAATTATGAGATGGATGCCCCTGCTGTGAAGTGGTAATTAAACTTCCATTTTGAATCAAAAAAATGGGGCTGCAGAGGAAGGTCCTGGAGCCTGTTTAAATATTGGTTGCAGATGCTCACATCTTTCTGCTCCAAATTAAATGATCCAGGCTAAAAGCTACCTCCTATTCTTGAACTTCCAATCAAAATTCCAGCCTTTTAATTATCGCCTCAGTTGTTGATGCCAATATTTCAGTTTCCTGACTTTGTAGAGTATGGGAGGGCAAGCTTATAAAGGATGCACATGCTGGGAATTAAAATGAACAGGCTGAATGCTTTCATTAAGAGTTCTCATGGGGAAATGAGTGTTTCTCACTCCTTCTGCTCCATAATAGCACACAATTGGGTATAAATCCCTGTTTTTCTCCTTTTTGTTTGTTTCTGATTCAGGTGCTTTCTCTTAATGACCCTAATTTATTTTGGGTTTCTTATATAGCTAATGATCAATTCAGAAGTAAGTCCTGTTTTGCTCAAAATGACTTATTCCCAGCAAGTCAGTAGGTCTACTTACGGTTGGGTCTACTTCTGAACCAACACATATAAGATTGCATTGCATATTGAAATGTGAAAACACTAATGCATCTTTTAAAATCTCCTCTACAGTATTTGGAAGGGCCATACATGCCATAGCACGTATCAGTGATGAATTTTGGTTTGATCCTACTGAAAAAGGAGTAAGTAAACATTCAAAATTTTGAAAAAATGAATATGGAATTAAACTTATTTATTTAATATATTTATATACTACTTAAGACAGTCTTACAAAATAGTTTACAAAACAGGAAATACAATGTGTACATATAGTATAACAACTTAAAACAAACTGAGAAAATACAACACAATACGGTACAATGGAATACAAGAATAAAATATCTCCCCCCAAAAATATAGCATTATTTGAAACAGGGCCAGGGATCCTCCTGCCAAGGCATCCTAGGAATAGCAATAGCCAGGAGGAATTCCAGGAGGATTGCTATGTAGGGTACAAAGAAAAAAGATGGGTTTGAGTAGAGATTTGAAGTATGAGAAGCGGCATCACACACCTGTTGTGTCAGTAAATTCCAGGTGTAAGGGATAGCAAGGTTAAAAGCATGGTGTTTATTATCTACATATACAAATTGCATATACATATACAAATAATGATAATAAATATTAATTAAATATTATTTAATGGTGTTTAAAATTAATATTAAGCGCAAACTTACACATATCATATATATATACGCATAACTACAAAGATCTACAGATGCAAAGGGTCCTCAGTATCTGCAGTGTCTAGAAAATTTAAGATGCTTAAGAGAGTTTTTAATAACAATAACACCTAATGCCCTAAATACTACCATAGGATAAACGTTTTGTTTGTTTGTTATTTCAAGTTGTGGTTTCATGCTGATTTTGTCTATTCATAGCTTTCCCTCAGGTCGGTGAATTCTTCCCAGTCAGCCTATGCCTGTGTCTTTTTTTCATCCATCTTCTTTCATCACTATTCCTGTAGAAATACGCCTGAATTGGGTTTGAATAAAAATCACACACACCTTGCATACAAATTAGTAATAAAGGTAAGTCTCAGTGGATGAGAAAATCTATACTATTTTATACCACAAAACCACAGTTCTATTTTATGTATTGTGGTGTGTTGGTGGGATTTGACAAAACACAACTTTCCACTAAAAATAGTTTTTGAACTTCACGTAGTTTTTCTTCCAGTAATAAATTGTTTCTATTGAAGCTGCTAGAATGTTTGAAAAATGTATTTTGTTTCCCAACATTATTAGCACACAATAATAACAAACAGTGCCATCCAAAACTAGCACACCCATCTAGGTCTTCCTTATGTACTTCCTAATGAACTTTTATTTAATCCTGTTTATTTAAATGCTAGTAGCCAAACTTTTTACCATATATAATCTTGTTTTTAAGGGCTAGTTCTGCTCTGATCTCTCCATTAATTATTTCTTTTTTAAAAATTTCAGGCTGTCCTGCCTATATTCCGGTGCTTAAACACAGTGGAAAGGAACATAGAGAAATGCAACATCTATACAAACTTTAATGACTGCCATGTTGTTTTTCAGCTTTTCTGCAAACATGGTAGGTCAGTAGTTGTGTTGTAAATAAAAATTTGCCCTTTTCCCTTATGGGGTATCCAAGAGCCCATATAGAGTCCTTACATAGGTTCCCTATTGGTAGGAGAAAATAACAGAGGCCAACCAGAGAATATTGAGAAGCAAAGCAGCTAGTAAGGTTGATCTTTATTGATCTGTTGCAACAGGGTGCTCCCCTCACACGCAGGAAAGGAGGAGGACCCACAAAAATGCTGTGCAAGGGCTTATAAAGACTTTTGAAATTCCCATCCTGTAGATCAAGACCACCCCCAGAAACATTATACATACATCACAGAAGGGGTGTAACCTAAGACCACCCCTCAGATACATCACAGAAAAGGCGGTCTAAAACAGAACATTTGCATGTCGTTTTTCTCCTGTCGCTGGCAGGTTACTTGATTGGATTGCCTGAGGAGAATGGCCAGTCTTTTGTAATGATAAGGCTCACACCCTTATTCAAACACAGACATACCCTTAAGACAGGATTTGTGAGGAAAGAGACAATGGGGAGGCTTTTCCATTTTGACCTTGCAGAGAAAACATTTGGCCAGTTTAGGAATCAAAATGGTTCCAGGTTGGTCTTCCTGTGCTGATCTATGTATGTGCGGTTATGAACATTACCATATATCTAAGACCATAAAATTCCTATCACAGTTGGCACATTATGTTTTAAGTCTTATGGGCTGAAAGGCAGGTTTTTTAAAAAAATCTAGGTCAGGATCCAAACAATAACACAACTTAGTTCTGTTTGCTGACAGACTTTGGACTTGCATTTCTTAGACCTGGAACTTTCCGAAACAGCACCTGATATCCGCAGAATACGTTTTCAGGTTCCAGTACAAATAAATTAATAAAGTAAATAATAAAAATATGTGTTCTCAAGTCCATCAAAGCGCATGCCAAAAGAATTTCATTAGCAGCCTTAAAACATTTTAACTGTAAAACGTTTTACTGCAACAAAAATGGCTGTACCTCTGGAAATACCGTATTTTTCCAGTATTAGACTAGGTTTTTTCCCTTAAAAATAATGTCCAAAATTTGTGGGGCGTCTTATACACGGATAGATCTTGCCCCATTTTCTTAAATCAGAGTCCCCCAAAATAGGGGGTGTCTTATAGAGGTATGTCTAATGAATCTTTTCCACACTGTAGAAAAAAAATGATGTGCTTCCGTTATTGCATCAATAATTGTTGTTAGAGATACAGTATGTAATAAAATGGCCTAGTCAAAGTAATACTGTTTCTTAACTCCAAAGAGAACCTTACACATACTTTTTATTAAAAAGTTGTTGAGCTCCCAGTGCCCACCAGAGGGCACTATTGGTTGGCATCCAGTGGAAGAGTGCTCCTTGAGGGGTGAAGTCAAACTGTTGGAGATTTACAATGCTAATATTCAGGCTTGCTCATTTCCATCCTTATCCTCTCTCCTCAGGTGTTGTGAAAACTCATAACTTAGCTTTTCAAGAATGTGAACCTTTGCAAGCTGTGTTTGCAAAGCATTTGTGCCCCAATGCAATGAAGATTCAATCAAGGTAACAGAGTTAACATACTACCAGCACACCTAATTTTAAAATATATTACTAGTGATGAGTGCCTGGTGCTGCCCAAGTAGTTTTAAAAGCTAAATGATGTTGTGATTTCAAAAATGGATGGTGCAGTTTGTGAGTTTGGACCAGTTACACCAAAATTCAGACGAAGTCAATCCAAGTCATGTTTTGGTCTGCCATTTTGATTCCAAATGGCAGCTAGCATCCAAACATTGACAGAGAGTGCCACCTCCACCTCAGAAACCCTCATGCCACATTAGGTGATGATATCTCAAGAGCTGACTCATGTTCATAGACAGACACAAACCACTTTCCCACAGTATATAGATTTTATTTATATCTTGCCTTTCTCCCAGTGCAGGACCCAAGGCAGCTCAAAGCATAAAATAAAACTGATACAACTAAAATACACAATAAATATATATATTTTAAATTACAGGTGGGTAGCCATGTTGGTCTGCCGTAGCCGAAACAAAATAAAAAAATTCCTTCCAGTAGCACCTTAGAGACCAACTAAGTTTGATATTGGTATGAGCTTTCGTGTGCATGCACACTTCTTCAGATACACCGAAACAGAAGTATCTGAAGAAGTGTGCATGCACGCAAAAGCTCATACCAATATCAAACTTAGTTGGTCTCTAAGGTACTACTGGAAGGATTTTTTTTTTTAACTAATACATAAGTAACCCCAGTCCTTTTTTCAGGGGGTACTCAAGGGTATGCAGTTTCGGCACCTTTTTGTTGTTGTTGTTAAGTGTGGCACTTCTTCTAGAAAAAAAGCACTGAGTAACCCTCTTTAAAAAAAAGTACTGAAAGCACTTAAAACTATTTAAAAGCACCCATACACAAAAAGTACAATACCCAACCACAGAAGACCCTTCCATAATAGTCAGTTAGTGGTCAAAGGCCTGTGTTTGCCTGCAGGCTAAAGGAAAACTGACAGGGCCAGCCTAGCCTCCTGTGAAAGGGAGTTTCACAATCTTTAAAATATAGATATAGACAAATAGACAAACAATATTTGGAGGCCCTCAGATTCTCCATTCCTGCCTTAAGCACTATTGTGATTCCCCAATCTCAAGAGAACAGATTGAACAAGGAAATAAATTAGCCAAAGTTAGATAAAGGGAATAGCAATATGCTATGGATTAAGTGAGACTGAGCTGCCAATTTTTATTACTCATGAAAAGCATAGAGAGCTGTTTGTAATATGAAACACTATTACCCTTTTAAACTTCTCAGGCAGCTGTCTGATATATTGATTCATTTTCCAACCTGTCAAAATGAAGTAACTGTAGCTGTAACTCCAGTAAAAGTTTGTTTCAAGACTTACACTGATGAGGAAATGGGTAAGAATTGAACTTGCATTGTATGGTTAAGAAATAAGTCAATAAAGTGATAATTAAGAATGTTCAGACTACAATAATGTTTTATCAGGAAAAGTGTATTGTACATTATATGACCTAAAACTATTATTTAGTAGTCATGGCAAAGAAATATGCTGGTATTTTTTAATGTAACCATCAGAATTTTATAACATGCCAGAATAACAGAAGAAAGGGTAACTTTTAAAAAACCCCAGTAAAGATCTGTGAAGTTGTGATTGCATTCTGTGTTCCTGTTTATTTATAAACAATAAATAAGCAATAAGTAAGTACTAGAAGTCAATTAATGCCAGAAATTGATAATATATCAACATTTCCCACATTAGGCTGTTTCAGCTAAGTTATAACCTATTATTTCTGCTCGCGTATACTAAAAAAGGAGTCCATTTTGAAATATCTGCCTGGCTGGCGTAAATGTATTATGTATCTGGGGTTTGTCAACCTTTTTAGTTCCATAGGCACATTTGGAGCAAATACCATGGTTGCTATCCCCTCTGTCTGGCTATTTCTCAATCCCCACTCCGCCCCCCCCCCCATTCCCACCATACAGAAATAAAGTGCACCAGTGTACACACTTTGCTTTTCCAAAGGATTTGGGTAAATACTGGAAGCATAATTAATTTGAACTTTGAAAATATCTGAAAGAGGTACAGTGGTATCTCTGGTTATGTACTTAATTTGTTCTTAACCTAAAACTGTTCTTAACCTGAAGCACCACTTTAGCTAATGGGGCCCCCCACTGCTGCTGCGCTGCCACCGCACAATTTCTGTTCTCATCCTGAAGCAAAGTTATTAACCCGAGGTACTATTTCTGGGTTAGCGGAGTCTGTAACCTGAAGCGTATGTAACCCGAGGTACCACTGTAATGAGAAAGCTCAAGGAGGAAGTTGGAAGAGAGACTTTATATGTACTTTTCAAGGGAGAAAAAGGTAACCCTCACCCTCCATTCATTTCCTCAGTCTGTCTTCAATTGGATGCTTTTTGTGGACAGAGGCTTGCTTGTGGTGGCTGTTTCTCCCATGGTTCACAGCCTCTGCCACCAAAAACATGTGGTGCCGCAGGTGAACAGGGTGGCTACTCTGGAAATCATTGTTACAATCAGTGCCACCTGCCTGAAGACAAGAAAAATGTGAGCACAGCAACAGCTCACTGCGGAAGGGCTTGCAGGGCATGCAGTGGGGTGCACAAGGGAGGGAGGAGCACTGAGGGGGCAGTTCTGGCACCTTTTTTCCTAGAAAAAAAGGTGCTGCCCTTAACTAACAGCTGCCTTCAGCCCTCTTGCAAAAGGAGGTAGGATTGGTTAAGTGCCATAAATGGATGCTTCCCTCTCACTGGACATTGGTCACTTTCTGCACCTGTTGCATCTGGTCCAGGATGAGGGAGGCATCCAGCTCCAACCTTCCTTTAGGTTGCTTTGCTGTATAAAAATGGTCACATAATGACTTCTGTTACAATCACCCATCTGTGCCAGGTCTTCTCATAGGAGGCTCCCATTTTCTGTTTCTTTAACATTTTTTCCTTCAGTGTCTTTATTTACTCAGTTATTGGTTCAGTCATGGGGCAAAGCCTGCTGAGCCAGCCTAGGTCTTAGAAGTCACATCACATGGCTCTGCCATGGAGGTAGGGAACAGGAGGAGGAGGTCACCCAGTATCTGGATGTCTCTCTTACATTGGATCAGAACGAATATTCGCTATAAATGACCATTGTTCAATTTTCAAAGGCTTGGATACATTTGTTATGGTTGGGGCTCCATTGTTTTTAATTTCTGCCATTGTCATGATTTTGAACAGATTTTGCAAAGGCAATGCACACTGAGATACATATCAATCCAGAAGAATTTGAATACTTTCAGGTTGGAGTAGACACTGAAGTCACATTTTGCCTTAAAGAGCTAAGGGTAATGTTGCTAATTATATTTCCTTGATGTATCTCAATATTACACAGTTATGCTCTTCCTTTTTTTTTTTTAAATAAAATATTTATTGAAATTTTCAAAGTGTTACAACATAAAATAAAAGCAGAAGAAAATACAAAATAAAAATAGTTAACAAAGTAGAAAAAAAAAACCCTTCCAACCATACGAATACAAATTCAAAAATAAGAAAAAAAGACAGAAAAAAACCAAAAATACAATTTAAGAACATTTAAAAACAAATTCATTATTCTCGAATCCTCAACTGTCATTACCTTCTTTCTTTGACCTCCTCCTCCTCCCTTTCTTTGTATCCTAGTTATTAATTATCCCAGCAAATCCTTTCCATATTTCATAATATTCTGTCATTACATTACCCTAAACAGTTTTAATCTTATCTTTCTGTAAGAAAATAAACCTTAAAGCTTAAAACTTAAATCTTATCCTTACCAACTTCTCATAAGCATAATATTCTTTCATAATTCTTTAAACATCTTTACTAAAGCCGAGTAATTACATTCCAACATTTTTCTGACATTCATCAATTTTATAAAACAGTTCTAATGGTAGAAAAAAGAATCTCTTCATAGGGTCTAAGTTTTATACCTTGATCCGTTTTCCTAGTCAGTTCTTCATAGGTAGGATTCTTCCCTTCCATATTAACTTTTTTGACCGTTAACACCTCTGTTGGTGAGATCCACCAGGGTGTCTTCCTTTCCAATAGGTTTTTATTTCTTTCCCATACTTGGAATATTGGCCCTCTAAAAATATGGTTTAAAAAGCCTCTATGTACTTTCACCTTTTCATACCACAGGTACGAGTGCCACCCGTACCTGTTATCAAAGCCTTCAAGATCCAAGATGTCTCTGTTTTCTAGCGTTATCCAGTCTTTCAACCACGATAAACACGCCGCCTCATAGTATAAACATAAGTCCGGAAGGAGAAACCCCTCTTTCTTTTTTATCTACCAGTATTTTCATTTTTATTCGCGGTCTTTTTCCCTGCCAGATGTATCTTGCCAAGGCTCTTTGCCATTCTTTACATTGCTTTAAACCTTTAAGTACCGGGATGGTTTGAAATAAAAATAACATTCTAGGCAAAACGTTCATTTTAATAACCGCTATCCTCCCCAAAAAAGATAATCTCATTCTCTCCCAGATTTCTAAGTCTTTCTTAATGTTCTTCCAGGTGACCTCATAGTTATCCTTATATAGATTGATGTTCTTAGCCGTAATCCAGACTCCAAGGTACTTCACCTTCTTTGCCGTCATAATTCCGGTTTTTTGTTCTAGGTCTACTATATCTTCTTTAGATACATTTTTAGTCAGTATTTTAGTCTTATTCTTATTGACCTTAAAGCCTGCCACAGCACCAAACTCTTCAATTTTTTGTAGGGCTTCTTTTACACTGTGCTTTGGATCTTCTAATGTTAGAGCAATGTCATCCGCAAAAGCTTTAATTTTGTGTTCCTTACTTCCTACCCTCACTCCTTTAACCTCTGCTGTATCCCTCAGCCTCTTAGTAAGTACTTCCAATACTAAGATAAATAATAGGGGGGACAGAGGGCAGCCTTGCCTCATTTACTGGGTGGTTGCAATACCACCAGGTAAATGACCTGTTAAAAGAAGATAAAAAGAAAATAGGATTCGAAGATAAAAAATCCAAATTCAATGTGGAAGTTGTTGAAGGAAAGAACAAAATACTGTCTAGAATATACGATATTTTATTGGAGTGGTATACAAAAGACGAGGAGGTGAAGGAGGTTATGACTAAGTGGGCAATAGACATCGGCTATAACATCGATTTTGAGAGATGGCTAGAATTATGGAATATTAACATGAAGTTCACAGCATGTATGGCATTAAGGGAAAATATGTGGAAAATGATATTTAGGTGGTACCTCACACCAGTGAAACTGGCTAAGATCTATAGGTTAAAGAACAAAAGATGTTGGAAATGTGGAGAAGTAGATGGTGACTTCTACCATATGTGGTGGTTATGCAGCAAAGTGAAAGGCTTTTGGGAATCGATTTATAACGAGCTTAAAAAATTTTTAAATACACGTTTCCCAAAAACCCGAAGCCTTTCTGCTAGGAATGACAGGTAAAGAAATCAAAAAAGAAGATAAGGTACTATTTTTATATGCCACAACAGCCGCAAGAATCATGTTAGCACAAAATTGGAAAACGGACGCCATACCTAATATAAGTGATTGGCAGATTAAATTAACAAATTATGCCGAGCTCGCTAGAATAACAGGAAGAATAAGAGATCAAGATGAACAGAAATTTCATGGTAATTGGATTAAATATTGGATATATATTGGGACTAAACTTTAAACGACACTGGCGGGATTGGAATAACTCTAACAGTAAAAGGTTATTATGTAAAAGAGATAAAATACGTGAATATAAAGTCTATTTGATACAGTGGTGCCTCGCAAGACGAAATTAATTCGTTCCGCAAGTCTCTTCGTCTTGCGAGTTTTTCGTCTTGCGATGCACGGTTTCCCATAGGAATGCATTGAAAATCAATTAATGCGTTCCTAGGGAAACCGCCTTCAGACCAGGTCCGGGGACAGTCTGTCCCCGGACCTCTTCTGAAGGCTGGGGGAGCAAGGGCTTTCTTCCCACCCCCAGCATTTTAAAAACCCGGGACAGCGGAGGACTTCTCCGCTGTCCGGGCGATCTTAAAATGCTGGCGGGCGGCATTTAAAATCACCCGGGACAGCGGAGGACTTCTCCGCTGTCCGGGGCAATTTAAAGCCCCTGGGAAGGCAGGCGGGGGACAAAGACTTTTGCCCCCGCCAGCCTTCAGAAGAGGTCCTGGACCTCTTCTGAAGGCGGGCGGGGGCGAAAGTCTTGCTCCCCCGCCTTCAAAGCCCTCCGGGACAGGCAGGCAGGGGGAGCAAAGACTTTCGCCCCCGCCCCGCCTTCAGAAGGTCTTCCCTCCCCCCGCCCGGCTCGGAGCACCGTTCCGAAGCCGGGCGGCGGCAGGTGTTCCCGCCCCCCCGCCCGGCTTCGGAGCACCGTTCCGAAGCCGGGCGGCGGCGGCAGGTCTTCCCTCCCCACCGCCCGGCTTCGGAGCACCGTTCCGAAGCCGGGCAGAGGCGGGAGGTCTTCGCGCCCCCCCGCCCGGCTTCGGAGCACCGTTCCGAGCCGGGCAGAGGCGGAGGTCTTCCCTCCCCCCGCCCGGCTCGGAGCACCGTTCCGAGGCCGGGCGGCAGCGGCAGGTGTTCCCTCCCCCCGCCCGGCCGGAGCACCGTTCCCGAAGCCGGGCAGAGGCGGGAGGTCTTCCCTCCCCCGCCCGGCTCGGAGCACCGTTCCGAGGCCGGGCGGCGGCGGCAGGTGTTCCCTCCCCCGCCCGGCCGGAGCACCGTTCCGAGGCCGGGCGGCGGCGGCAGGTGTTCCCTCCCCCCGCCCGGCTCGGAGCACCGTTCCGAAGCCGGGCAGAGGCGGAGGTCTTCCCTCCCCCGCCCGGCTCGGAGCACCGTTCCGAGCCGGGCGGCGGCGGCAGGTGTTCCCTCCCCCGCCCGGCCGGAGCACCGTTCCGAGCCGGGCGGCGGCGGCAGGTGTTCCCTCCCCCGCCCGGCTTCGGAGGAGCCTTCCGAGCCCGGCGGCGGCGGGAGGAGGTGTCCCCGCCCCGCCGCCAGGCTTCGGAGGAGGTCCGAGGACAGTGGGGAAGACGCGCTGCGCTTCCCCGCTGTCCCTGAGATTTCCCTATGGGCTGTCGTCTTGCGAAGCAAGCCCATAGGGAAATTCGTTTTGCGAAGCGCCTCCAAAACGGAAAACCCTTTCGTCTAGCGGGTTTTCCGTCTTGCGAGGCGTTCGTCTTGCGGGGCACCACTGTACTTACCAAAGGAGTGGAAGGAAGTTCAAGGCTTGGCAGAGCCTAAAATAAATGTATTTATGATTTATGGAATGAATATATTATGTGTAATTTAAGTATTGGACTTTGTATAAGTTTATATGTATATATGTATAATACCAATAAAAATTTATCAGTGAAAAAAGAAATACAAACAGATCCAATCTTCATCCAACGTCCCTTCCTCCTGGTTCCGGGTTTTGTCAGTCCTTATTATCCCATCGATCTGGCCCATTAACCTGGCAACCTTATATCCGAGGCCCTCAAGTCTGTTCCATGTCCCTTTCGCAGCTCTTCTTCATATTTGTAACTGTATTTTCCCTTGTCTCCTGCTCGTGGTAACTCCAGCTTGGCAATATTTTTAACCCTTCTTGACAGATCAGCCTCTTTTCCATATTCAGCACTGAATTCCATATGGTATTTAGAAGCATGTTTCAAAGACCCTCCAAAATTAAGAGCCCCCACAATCCCAAACATCTCATGGCCCATTGCCAGATTTGAAAAGTCCAAACATCCCAGCATAGGGGGGTCAATCCAGCCCCCCATTTCCAAGCCAAACCAAACTTTTTCTTTCCAAATCTGGCTTTTTCCAAGCTCATTTGTCAAATCCGAAAACTCATATTCCTGTTGGGCCTGTTCTGTCAGGACACACTCCTGATTTAATTCCTGGGTGGGCTCCACATATTTTCCCACTGTCTGTTCAAAATTTCCCGCTGCCTGTTCAAAATTTCTAGTCGAAGTCGTCATCAAATTCACCTTCTCATGTAACTGTTCCAGTAGGGCATTTGTTTTGTAGAAAGCACACAACAAAGCTTCTGAATACATTGTCCTGCAAGGTCAAATGCCTATTCCCACGATTGTAATCTGTAAACAGCTGCCGGCTCCCTGGAGTTGGTTACAGTTTCACAGTCGCCCTCTAGGGGGAAAACTTCTATTTGATCTTGCAACAAAGTTTCCCTTTTTGAGATATTTGTTCCTTTGAAATGCGAAGGGAAACAGTGGAATCACTATGTTTCTCTTCTTTTAGCTATCTGTCAAAAACGTTTGTCTCTGGTCAATGAACTTCAAACGTCAGTCCTGACACCCCGCTCCAGGATCAGGACGGAGGAAAGTTGCTTTACTTTAAACTCACTTTAAACAGTCCAAAAAAGATCCCCCTTCTTCTCCTGCTGTCGAAGGGGGGTTCCACAATTTTAAATGATGAAATCCAATCCTTTAAAAGCGATTTTCTGAGCTCTAGTTTACGTTGTCTTTGCTTTATTCTGTCTACAGAAGAACGGAAGGCTGACTTCCTGTTTAGACCTTCCCGTTCCGTACCAAATTGAAATAGATTTTTAAGATCCAATTCCTTTCTGCTCGCAAGTCCCCATCTAATGTCCAGTTGTTCAAAGTCTAAGTACTCATGGGTGCTTATTTTAGAGTCCAAATTGTCCCAGGAAAAAGGCAGCGCTCTCCAGCAACGGCTATGCGGCTTCGCTCCACGGAAATAGCAGTTGACTCACAGCACCGCGCCACTTCCCCCTCTTCACTTCGGAGCCCATTAGTGGGTTCCTTAGCGAGTTGGGGGGGCGCTAAAGGTGCCCGCCGAGTCCCATGGTCACAGGCTTCATCCGCCTGTGATTTTTGAAAGGGTCCCCGCTTCGCCGTAGCGGAGAAGACCCGTTTCCCGCGGAGCTAGTCCCTCCCGTTCAGAGGGAGTCTGCCATTGCCGATGGCGCCACCCCGGAAGTCCCAGTTATGCTCTTCCATGGGCACCTGCTTCAAAGTCTTGTTTAGGTGGTTTGCTGAAGGGCATAGCGGGTGGTGAAATAATGGGGAAATGACTGTCAAACACTGGCATCTCTAAGCTCAGTAGGCATAACAGCCCTTCTGGATCAGGCCAAGCATCCTTGTAATCTAACATCCTATTGCTGTCATTGGTCAGCTGGAAGCCTCCAAGTTGCCCATGGTCAAGTAACAAAAAAATAGCTAGTTACATTGTAACACAAATGTAAAACAAGAATCTGATCCTCCATAGTGTGTTGTATTTGAGCTAATTGACATCTTTCACTTGCATTTAGGGACTTCTGACTTTTGCAGAAGCCATCACTGCTCCAGTCTCTATTCATCTTGATGTTTCTGGAAAGTAGGTTGATGGGTACTTTGGTATATAGCATTTTAGTATCAGCTTTCCTTTGAACTTCCGTAATCGCTACTCTTGTACAGTAATTAAGATTGCTTAAACTTGTTAAACTATCAGTGAACATGCATTTCACACATAAATGCACAACCAAATTTATATCAAAGTTATGAAATATAATGAATATATGAATATATATGAATATATGACCACATAAACATGTCCCAGAATCTAACACACAGCTAAAAGTGCTTAAGCTCATTGGGTTTTGGTTTTTTTTTGGAGGGGGGATATTAACTGTGTTCTGTAATGCTACAAGACGAAGCCAAATAATATTTTAGTAACTCTTTTTAAGAGCAGAGGACAGTATCAGTAGCCACCTCACTTTTCTGTATAGATGTATGGATACGCAGCCTATTCTTATATGCGCCTGTAGCTCTCAGCTCAACCTTATTCTTACATATATAGGCCAGTTGTTTTCAGCATTGAGGATATGCTCATAGAAGCCAGTTTTGTTTTGGCTACCTTAGCAGATACTGAAGGCAGGACACCATCTCATGAATCGCCTTTGCTTTCGCAATGCCTGAAAAGGTAATTGATTTTTAAATAACTTAATGCTTGCAAAATGCTAGACTTCAAGACCAAACTACAGTTGATGTTACATTAGTCTTTGGCAGAGGGTTTAAATAAATAAATAAATATAAATATCATTTCCATCAATTGGAGGGACCGATAACCCACAGAATCAGAGTAGGTGTGGAGGAGGAATTCCTCCTCTGCTGTGGTCCTGAGGAAAATCCCAGTTCTAAAGCTGGCAGTTGCATTGTGGTGGAAGGGGAATTCCCCTTGGGCACCAATGGCGTGTGTCCCCCACCCCCCCAGCAGATACTAGCTATAGTTGAGGGATTTTCCTCAGCCTAGGTAGAAAGGGTTGAACTCTCCCCTGCACCTTCTCTAATTGCATGGATTATCAGCTCCTCCAACTGATGCAAAGCATATTCTTTAAAATAAATTCTGCTGGTTGTGATGCAAAGAGGCATGGAAAGTCACGAGTCATTTGGCCTTCAGATGAAGCCAGCTGAGGTCTCTTTAAATTCAGGAGAGGATACAGCTTGTGCTTTTGCATTTGCTCACAGTTAAGATTTGCTGAGCCATGGAAACTGGGTGCTAGTTAGGGGAAATTATGGAACCATTTCAAGTTTGAAGGACAGAATTATTTTAGAGGAAATAGTTTTTTGTCTGTTAATTTCTGTTGTTAGTCACAGGTTCTACACCAGTTGGTATAGTACTGCCATGCAGTGGGTGCTAGTTTTATTATTGTTACTGCAGTATGTGGCTGTACAGTGGTACCTCAGGTTAAGTACTTAATTCGTTCCGGAGGTCCGTTCTTAACCTGAAGCACCACTTTAGCTAATGGGGCCTCCTGCTGCTGCCGCGCTGCCAGAGCACGATTTCTGTTCTCATCCTGAAGCAAAGTTCTTAACCCGAGGTACTATTTCTGCCCCAGAGAAGGGTACATATCATAACATTAAGGGTATCCTCCACTGCTGCAAAAAATAGGCAGCAGTGGAAGAGGCCTGACAAAAACAATATGAGATCCACCTTGACAAAGGTCCTGGTCACAAATGCTGCAGAGAGTAGCTGTTTTGCTGGAATGGAAAGGCACATAACTCTTTCAATTCTGTGGCATTTTAGGAACCCTGCACTAAAGAGGAGCAATAAAGACCCCATAATCTCCAGCAGAAACACTAGCAAGACAGAAACAACCACAGCTACAGCAAATGGCTTCACCATTATGGAGGAAGAAGCAGTGCCACCTGATTTGGATTATAAGGTAAAGCTGAAGACATATAGAAATGGTTTGTAAAAGTGAAGTCAGCTTGACACTCGCAAAAAGGAAAACAACATTTCTGTTGGGATTAAATTGGTAATTTGATATGTTTGTAGTGCTCCATTCAGAAGTGTTCCACCCTATGCAAATTTATTTCATTACTAGCAGGCAGTGCCTGCTGCTGCCTGGAAATTTTTAGAAACCCCAAAGTACTGTGATTTTTAAATGGATAGTGTAATTTGTGTTTTCACTCCAAAAATCAGGTGAGGTCATGTTTTGGTCCATCATCTTGATTCAAAAAGGTGTCCTGCATTTAAATGTCAACAAAGACTGCTGCCTCCCACCTGGGAAACAGTCATGCTGAATTTGGCAATTATATTTTGAGAAGTGACCAGACCTATGCCCCAAAATGGGGTAAGTCACACTAAAGTGACATTTTGGTCTGCCATCATGAATCAAGTGGCATCCAGCATTGATGGAAGACAGCTGCCCCCAGTTCAGGAACCCTGGTGCAGAGTTTGGCAATGGTATCTCAAGATGTGCCAAGCCTATAGAAAAGAGACAGGTGCACAAACCACTTTTCAAAATATGCAGGATATGTAGGATGAACAGCTGAATAGTAGAGGGCCCATTGATTACTGCGTGAAACAGTATTTTGTCCCTCCCAAGAGCAACTGTAGTTTATAATGGAAGATTATCTATTCCATAAGCCTTAAGCTGCTTAACTTTTTTGTTTACATTGAGGAAAAATAACTTAGACCTACTTGGAATTCAGCAGACTCTTCCTACACCCAGCCGTTTTGGTAGCCAAAAAAAGGTTGGGATTGAAAAGGGTACTTTTAGATACTTCATGGGAGTCAACTGTTCCTTCACACAGACCCCAACCATATACATACGTCACACCTGTTTTTAAAGGCAGCATAGCATGTGGTATGAGGGGCTGAGTAAAAGGATGCCCAGACACATGGAACTTCTTGTAGCTTTTTGGATCTTGGTCAAAATTTGTATACATTAATGCTAAAATGAACATGACAGAAGAACAACCAAATATGGGGCATGCCACATCTCTAGAGTGCAGGCTGATAAATTGAGGCTGAGTGGAAGAGGTGAACCTTTCTGCCCTCCCTCTCCCCCCCAAAAACCCCACCCTTATTTATTCCAGTGGATATTATTTCCAGTTGTGGAATCTCACCAGAAAAAAATGGGAGAAAAGAAGTCTATAATTTAAAGCATTTTAACCCCACTATTCCTAGAGGGGCTTACATAAGACTGATGAAAAGACAATTCATTCTGCTCAGGCCCACCAAGGGAAAAAGGGATGTGGATGGAAGAGAAAAATGAGCAAATGCAGACACTAGTTTTTTAAGTTACATAGTTCTTGTAATAACCAACTTGAATGGAAACAGTTCACAGAAGTCTCTCCCTCCCATACAGCTGGATGGAATGAGTAAGTTATATTGAAAGAATTTCAGGCATATTAAGGGTTTAACTTGTTGCCAGCTCCTGCCATACATTAAAGACATGCCACTCTTCCCACTTTAGAGATTCAGCTCTGCTGCCATCACATCTCATTTGGCCCTAATATATATGTGCAGTATTTCAAGGGTTTGGGCTGATGCAATGCAGTTAACTTCCTTTATTGCCTTTTCTAGTTCCATTCCCTATTCTTTGGGGCAGTTTCATCCAAGGAACAAGATATAACTCGTGTATTCCACACTTTGGCAACAGCAAGCGACACAGAAGATTTTAGCAATGAACAACTCTCCCCAACTTTTTAGTAGTGACAAAGTATCAATCTGCCAACTCCGATGGTCGCCAAGGAATGTGTGTATGTTCAGCATTCAGGCAAGCTGAGCTTCTGCTCATTTTAGGTGTTTTTGTGTACTCTGTTGTAGTCCACTGTTTCATAATGCAGGCGATGGCAGTTTTGCATGGGGGTTATGTTCCTGACCCCCACACATGTCTGTGGAGTGCATGTAAGCCCGCTCCACCACCATTCCCCCTTTCCAGCCACTTCTGGGTTGTGACAATGTACGTTTGCATGGTCATGCATGCATTGAACGCACTTAAAATGCCTGTATTTTTAAAAAAACTAGAAGCTTTTGGATGAAATTTTCTTCAAGTTATCACAACTGTAATTTTATGAGATTTACTTCTCTGTTAAGCCAAGCATATCAGAGGGAACCAAAGCCAGTTAGTACACACACATATTGCATTAATGTTGATGTTTGATTGATTTATGACACAGGAGAACTTAAGACAAATGACTGGTTGCAAAAATGGCATACATCCAGTTTCATTCTCCTGCTCCTTCTAAACGAAATTGTGCAAGATTAACTAGCAATAAACTGGTTTTAGCTCAAGTCTATTAGAAAAACATCTCAGTAGTGTTGAAGTGTTTATAGTATATTATGCCAGTAAATTTAAATGCCTTAGAAGCCTCCCTCATTTTATAAGCATGTGTTGTGTCACAGCAATACTCCTTTCAGAGCAGTGAAGTCAGAATGCATTTGGCCGTTTCAGCCCTGGTAACAGGCAGTTACCCACAGCAACCTAACAAAGAGCAACTAGTCACACGGCTCCATAGTCTGCTTTTCTTTAAGATTCACTTTCTTTCAACTCCCACAGTGAAGGACAATGGGAACTGAACTGCTGTTGAAATTTCACTGTACTGAAAAACAGTCCAACTAGTTCAAGTAGCAAATTCAGGTCATTTCTCTAGCATATTTGTTTACTACATGCCCCAAACCCTCAAACTGTTTTTGCTTTTTGCAGTAAAAATATTTGGTTCTTTGCCTTCCCCATTATGTAAGGTTTTTCTATCAGTGCTTATTGCTCAGTGTCTCCCTTTGCATCTCACCTTAAGAAATCACCAGCTGCATAACCATCTGCAACTTGTCTTTCACAAGCCCCAAAATGAGCAGAACTTGTACAAGGACACAAATGTGTTACAATGAGATTCCATTTTATTGTGGTTGAACTTATGCAAGAGGAATTCCTTATGGATTGTTTGTCAATATTTTCTGTTTTGACTTCTGCGTTTGAAAGGACAGCCCATATTACTGCAGGATTTGAGGGACAGTTGTTTGAAGTCTATGCACTGCATGCAATAATAGAAAATTCAGGTGTTATTGTTTCCCCAGTAGTGGGGATGGTGAGTTAAAAGACCCTGGGCCCAAGCACACATGCATATTGTATAAATACTTTATTTATTAAATATCTTTACAGTTCATTAAAATGTATTTACAGATACTATTCTTGCACAAATTATATACTTCAAACATCCAATTCACATAATTGCCTTTTAGGTAAGCACAGGTAATGATAGTCTCATTTAACAAGAAGGCATCCTCATTATATCAGCTTTGTCAAATAAAAGAAAAAGTCAGTGTCTACATTTAGCCTGGCTTCCCATGGAAAAGCAATCCATTACAAAGAGTAATTCCATTCACAGTGTCTTCATCTTTGCTTGCTTTTACTATGGACAGTTTTGTCTATATCCAATCTGGTCCCAATTTTCAAGGTTTTCCCCACTTGTTGTGGAAATAGCAAATTGAGGGAAAGCCATGGACTTACGTTTCGTTCATTAATATGGGTATTTCACATTAGCCTAGCCCTTCATATCAACAAACTCAGTAACACAATTACAGGCATTCCCGTATAGCAAGCCCTGCAGCTGCAACTGCATTACTGGGTGAAGCAGGTTGATGCTATGCCAAGTAATTTCTTTCAGATTCTTTATAAAGCAATTCTGCAGTTAAGATCTCCCCAGGCTCCACCCATGTATTTCAGATTTAAGAAAACACAAAATGGAATGTCTTCTGTGCCAAACCAAAACACTAAACAAGTTGTTAGGAAACACTACTGCTTTGAGGATTGGTAAATGTTATTTTCACAAGTACATGAGTCCTGCCTTTTTCTTTTGTAAAAGATATTTGTGCGCAAACAGCTTAAGTTCATAGGAAGAAATTAGGTTCAGATATGTTTGAGTGCACATCTTAAAATGGAAAAAAGACAAGCATGTAATAGAAATATTAATTCTTTATAATACAGTATTGCTCTAAAAACAGATGGCAAAAAGCTATAAACTGTACTGGTCTTTGGCGTCTGGAGAGGGGAAGGGGGAACTTAGTATCTGAAAGTTTAAAAACTCAATTTGATCGTCATAAAAAACATTGGAAGAGACAAATGGCTTTATACATACTGCTTGACTAAAAACTGTTCTAAGCAAAGCAAGGCCAGCAATCCCAACAGATGTTACAGTTCTGCTACTCAGAACAAGATCCAAGAACAGTGGCAAAGGGCTCCAGGCCATGACCATCTGGGCATAAGAAGCACCTTTTCCACATTTGTTTAATTGATGGGTCATCCTTTGTAGTTGCAGAAAGGCAGGAAGAGGAAATATGAAGCAGGGAAACTGTCCTGCTCTATGGAGGCACCAAGTCAGGGCCAAGGCCAAAAGGAAGGGCAAGTGGGTGAGGCCAGTCAATCACTAATCAGGGCTTGTTCTAATAAACAATAGCAAATACTGGTGATTAAAAATGCAAAGGAAGTCCAAATGAAAGGATAACTGCTCCTCTAGCAAAGCAGGAAAGAAGTCTGGAACTGCAGCATTAATACATTCCTTTTAGTTGAATATTGATAGTTATAACTTGTTCAGCTAAAGTAGCATAAGGGATTGAAATGATTTGTGCAAGGTTATTTGCCACATTTCTGAATTATAGCACTATGATTTTCTTTATTTCATTTTATTCCACCCTGTATCCATGCTGGGGAAAAAATCATTTTGTTAAGTTAAGTGGTTAAGGCATTTTGACAAAAAAAGAAGAATGTTTTAAGAAAAATCAAGATGCCAATTTCACAAAAAGTAATTTAAACAGCTTCCAAATGATTCTGCCCATTCTCATGGTAAATGAAATGCCTGTTAAAAGTAGGATGCATTGAAATAGTGACATGTACATGGTACATGTCACATAATTATAAATAAAAGCTTGACGTAATTATGCAAATATACAGTACAACCACAAAAAATATTTAAAACAGGCTGAGGTAACCTCAATCTTACAGTTTTAACACAACAAACCTGGCAGTAAAAAAACCCTTTCATCTTAAAAAGGTTGCTTTACTGGCCAAGCTCAGAATCTAAACATCCACATTACCCAACTGCTATATAAAACATGGCTTTTCATTTCTAAGTACTTTTCTACTAGCAAAAAAGTTATGAAAAACTGACCAATATATATCTTTATAGCGATTGGTTTTTACATGAGCTTAAAAAAGGAGGGAGGAGATTGCAGCTACTGAAGAATAAACTAGATCGAGTGGATGAAAATGAAAGGAAATGCTATATTGCAAAATGGCTATTAGATACCTGTAAACATCATTAAAGTTCATTCTGGAAATCCTGTACACCAAGCTACTAAAATGTAAATGTTGCTCATTCAGCGTTTTGCATGTGTGCAACTTCAATTGCTGTGGGGGCACAAGCAGAAGTACATACATTGAAATACCGTCAAATTCCTCAAACCCAAAAGAGAAGACTATCCACTTTATTGCCTCTATCATTCCTAGCTACCTATGGCATACAAAGCAAAATCAGATGATTCGTGCTTAGGCAGCATGCCATTCCAAACTCTCAACACCCTGGCTTCTTCAAACTTTAGTGCAACTGAAATATCTTTAGAAAATATTTTTCTCTAAAAGAAAGATCCAGCCAGCACAGGGCTCCTTGCAAATAAATGATATGCCAAATTTCCATCTGCATGATAACAGGCACCTTCACACATATATACACACACACACACTCTCTCTCTCATAGACACACAATACTTTTCATGAACTAATCTTGTGTTTCAAATTAGTAACAGACAAAACTCCTGCGCTAAACCATATATATCCTGAGGCTCACTGCACTTGGAAGCCTCCAGAGAATTCATATCGACACAAATCTCAACTATCATTTTAACAAACTATGCTAGTTACAGAACGATTTGTGACCTCTCAAATTAAAAATGGGCTTTTTTTCTAACAAATCAATTTTGTTTGTCCTCATGGAGGTTTTCTATCAGTGTCAAACTGCACATCTAGTTCTGAATTATGAATAGCCAATTCTACTTATTTCTTTCAGAGCCATAATCATGATTCATAACCATAATCACACACACCCTCCCCACTATGAAGTAATTACTACTAAAGTTTGAAAAGACAAGCTTCAAGTATTGAAATTCTTCATTTCTTGCTGGCAGATGCACCCCAGTGTACTCCAGTAGTGGTTCACGACAGAGACCTCGACTGCATTTTAAAACAGGCAATGGACGTAACATGTAAGAGCCACTGAGATCAGCTGCAGAGAAAGGCATCCTGCCAGCAGGAAACAGTCCGTGTGAAGTAGGGAACGGCAGGAAACACTCAAGTCAGTTGTCAAAAGTTTATGCTGTCAGCCAGTCAGTCTGTATATTCAGCTACTATTGAAAGGAGGACGGTGATGTCATCTGGTTTTCCACCTGCAAAGCAAGACATTTACATATTTTCACTGGAAGAAATTGGCCAAGAAACTGGGGAAAGTGGGCACCCTTGCCTGGTTCCCTTCTCAATTCTAATTTCCTCTAAAACCACATTATTTACAATAATTTTAGCTTTTTGCTCTAGATAGATCGCTTTGATATCATTTAAAAAATCCTGACCTATCCCCATACTCTCTAAATTATGTAACATAAAACTCCAAGAAACATTGTCAAAGGCTTTCTCTGCATCAATAAACATTAACATTGATTTACAGCTCTTTCTTGCTTCTAACTTTTCCAAAATGTCCACAACATTTCTAATGTTGTCTTTCATATGTCTTCCAGGCAGAAATCCTGGAATATACTCAGATAAAACCTTTAGCCTGTTGGCCAATATATTTGCAAAAATTTTATAATCCACATTGAGTAGGGAGATTGGTCTGTAGTTTTTAATGTTGGATCTATCCTGACCCTGTTTAGGAATCAGAGTAATATAAGCTTGCTTCCAGGTTTCAAAGAAACTGCCATTAAAAGCAGGTCACGAAGCAGAGCAGAGGGCAAGCACTTTCCGGCAAACCCAACACATATGTCTGGCAGACATAGAATCATAGAGATTCATCCAGCCCAGCCCCCTGCAATGCAGGAATCTCAACTAAAGCATCCACGACAGATGGCCATCTAACCTCTGCTTTAAAACCTCCAACGAAGGAGAGCTGACCACCTTCCATATTCCAGATACACTTAGTACCATAAGTTAAGAGCCACGAGTTCCAACAGGTGCCCTGTTGCTATCCAGGGAAATCTAAAAGCTGATGCTCTAAATAGAAATGTTTGTGCTTGCCTTCGACATACTTCACTGAATCGTGCCGGAAAATTTAAAAAACCCTTTTCCCCCTGGACTGCAGTATAGCTGGCTTATATGCAGTAGTTATGGAAAATAATCAGGTTTGTTAAGTATGCAAAGTGGCTTGCATGATGAAAACCGAAATTATACAGCAAGTCAGCAGCAAACCTGGGAACAGGTCATCTCACTCTTTGTAAACCACCACCCCAATTACTAGCCAGTCTCTCATTCTAGTACAAAGTCTTCTTGCCAGTTCAGAATTTGGAACAAATGCTAGCCTGCAGAGTCATTGTTAAGCTTCCCACGAGAAAATGGTAAAACTTACCTCTTACATTCAATCCATTATCACAAGCAAACTGTGCAAAGGGAGACATGTAATTTGGGTCATACGCCAGTTCATGAGCTTGCTCGGCAATACTTCTTGCTGTCTGTTGTATACTTTCGTAATTTGAATTCTGAATCAATTGTATGAGAGAAAGAATAATGTTATTTTTTTACCAAGGTTACACATTTCATATGCCACAAATAAGTGCACATAATAGAAGAATATTGTTTACTCCCTTATTCCAACTTACATATTAACAGTGGCTAACCCAAAAGGATCTGTTTTGAGTTAAAGACGAATATATTTAAGTATGCCATGTATGGAAATACATCTTCCTACTCTCCACAGCAGCACAAGTTTGGGGAAGCTGCACTTGACTTAAAGAGCATATCTGAAGCCCTCTGCTTTCAGTATTTGAGGGTGCTGGTATCTGGGCTGGCTGGAAATCACAGCTTGCCCTTGGCTTCAACTCATCTAACTTTTACTCAGTTTTTATCTGACTCCTTACTGCATAGGCAAACAGCAAGAAATAGCTAAACTGTGGGGGAGACGGGACCAAAACCAAACAGCAGAATTCAAGATTAATAATTTCTTCCCAAATTTGTTTCCTCAGTCTTAATTCCTTTGAAATGCTGAGCTTAATAAGAGAAAGCCATCACTGACGATTTCAACAGAAGTTGCCGTTCTGACTCCATAGGGATTAATGCTGGGAACCCTATCTGTAGGGCATAGTACAGCAGCCAAATTTAAGGTTGCCTGTGGGTGGCACTCAATACCACATGAACCCACACATCCACAAGGGCAATAGCATGTTATCTCCGGCAAATGCATTCCTAACCCTTCCCATCAGCACCAGAGGACTTAGATAAGCAAAGAAAACCACTACAAATGGAACTGTATTTTGGGAAAGGAGGGGGAGAAAGAAACAACTTCCCTTGGAGACCCGTTTGGTACAGCCTGTCTTCCTTAGCAGACATGGCCAATGGAGACGACCAAACTCAAACCAGGCTGGGGTCAAACAGGCCCTTTGGGGTGCTGGGAGAGTGTGGCTGAAAAGGAGAAGCCTCCTCTACCTCATCAGTCTAACTCAACTAAGGAGATTTCCCCTTTACAGTGGTACCTCGGGTTACAAACTTAATTCATTCTGGAGGTCCATTCTTAACCTGAAACCGTTCTTAACCTGAAGTGCGCTTTTGCTCATGGAGTTTCCTGCTTTCGCTGTGCTGTCGGCGCATGATTTCCATTCTCATCCTGGGGCAAATTTTGTAACCCAAGGTACTACTAGTTAGCAGAGTTTGTAACCAGAAGTGTTTGTAACCTGAGGTACCGCCGTACTCCAATTTCAAATGAGTCATTTTTAGCAACTACTTTTAGAAGATTTGGGGAGTGTCTGGAAAGTTACAATATTAAACCATTTTCAGGAATCAAGCTTTCTGAAACATATCCTTTCTGATTAACTGAAATTGCAAAAAGTGGGGAGCACCTTCTATTTTTTTTTCTGCTCTCCAGCTCTCTTCCCCACTCTCTCCCCAATCCAGATCAAAATATCTGGAGTTGAAGCTCTGGGGCCAGCAGGAGGCTGGAGGACGTATGGGAAAGTGGTGGCTGTGTCAGTTCCGCTACGCCTCTCTTCCTCCGCCCCCGCTGACGTCCTCTTAAGGCTCCAGGGAAGGTCTCATCATGAGCCATGAGGGCTCTCCTGCTCTCACACCATTTCCGTGTTTAAATTAAATGATTTAATTATTTCCCAGTGTCATGCATATACACGATCACGCGTAAGTGCAGGATATCGTATTTACTCTCATGCATTCAAAATTCAGCTTATTGGAAGGGCACTCTGATAATCAGAGTTCCACCATCATCAGAAAGACAGCCAGTCTGTTTCATTTCCTACATAAATGGTGTAGCCGGGGGCAGATCTGCTACAAAACTAATGAAGCTTAAGCCTCAGGGCCTCTAATCTTGGAGGGGCCCCAGAAGCAACTTTAGTCCACCTTGCTTAAAAACTTTGGGTCAAGTAGACTAACATAATATGCAAATAGTTACATGAACTCGTCTCTTTTTAAACATTTCACCCCGCTCTGTGCATACTGCTTACCTTTAGCTTCTTAAGCTCCTGTAGGATCATGTAGTCAGGCATGTTGTCAAAAAGCCCATCTGTGGCTGTCAGAATGATGTCTCCCAGCTGGACATCAAACGTAGTACTGTCCGCAGCATCTGGGCTGTGAAAACAACGATCACAAATAGCTACATATATTTGAATGGCTCCCAGGTCAGAGTTTAGTTTAATCTGTAAAATGGGGAGAACACTACATTCAGCTTACCTGAAATAGCTATTGTGATAATGTTTAAGCACTAGTGGGGCAACCCTATTTATCTGGCTTTGCTTTCTTAAATCACTATTACACAAACTTTCATTTCACGAGCAAAGAATTTGCACTGCTGAACAAGCTGCTCATTAGACACAACAGACTGGGACTCTTGTGACTGACAGTGTGAAGAGGTAAAAGGAACCTTACATAGTAAAGGAGCATGGGATAGATCCCACGATCTCTCCCCTGCACTAGTATTTTTGAGTGACTCCTGTTTTGACCTGTGCACTTGCAGTGCAGTGCTGGTGGGAAGGGAGTAATCTTGCTTCAACTCCTTTGCTAAGGTACCCTTTTTAAGCTGCTAGTTCCCATTGAACAGAATGTGCTTTTCCAACACTCCCATCGTGGACCTTGGTGTTCTGCCAAATGGGAGTTTTGCTCATTTTGATTGGGCACAGCACACGGCTGGAAGCTTTTAACCGTACTGAAATACAAGCTGCAGTCACATGCTTCCCTCTCTGTTCTTCAAGCATTTGCTACCTCACTGCCAGAGTATGCAAAATTAGCAGATTCCCAATCCAAATCCCAAGAGTGAGAAGGAGGTCCCCGAAACGAACAGGACAGCATGACAGCATTTGCATGCTGGGCGAACACAGAGCTATTTTGGACACAAGTGAATGCACTCAGCAGGACAAGGCTTTTTCCACATCTCCATTCGAATCCTGCTGCAAGTGCAGAGCAGCCACAAAGAACGAACTTTTAGCACCCATTCCAGGAATTCAACTTGGAAGAGCAGCTTGATTCACTCTTAAGCCAAATTCACTCTTATAGCCAAAAAGATATTTCCAACGGCAAGACATAAAACAGTAGTATTCCTTGGCAAACAAGTAAGGAGGAGGGAAATTTTAAAATGTGGCATTTGAGGCCCTGGCAAATGTGGCCACACATGAAAGTCAAACTGAAGCAGGGATCTGGAGGCATAAAAGGAACCTAACACCACACCCTAACCATCTTTATGCCAAAGCTCTGTTTTGTAAAGTGGAGTTTTGTAACATGCAACTATCAGAGAGATGAAGAATACTCCATACATAACCCTTGCACAGCCTCATGCAAGGAGGAGACACCTTTGCCTCTTATAACCACTGTAATGAGTGAAGCCAGGCTAGTGAGAGAAAAGCCCCTTTAGGGCAACCATAAAACCCCTGAGCAGAAAAAGACCATCTCCCATACTTCTCCTTTGTTTGGAAAAAGGGAGTTATACATTCTGGGACATGGGGTGTGAGCACAGCTTCCCCTCACAATTCACTGGGGATGCACCCAACATCATCATTTTGGGGAATTTACATCTGACCACTCACACTTAAAAATCTCACCTGTCACTGAAGACGACCCCTTCAGCTTCAGGTGGTGCTATTGACAGCTGGAACGGAGTGTTGAAGTAGTGCTGTTGTTCATCAGATCGGTGTACTACCTCTCCACCTCTGACTACCAAAAAGCCTGAGTCCCCCAAGTTTGCTGTATGTAAACGATGACTTGTCCGATCCAGAACTACAATGCAAGCTGTGCTGCTCCCTGGAAATAAAATCAAATATTTTTTAGATAACGACATATAAATGCAGCTGCTTTTACTTTAAGTGGGGTCCACTGGCTGCAGCAAGGACAAGAACCTGAGAGAGATAAACTACATGGAAATGAGCTGAACAGAATTTCTATTGTTTTCCAACTACTGCGAGAAGCTATTTCTAATTAGCAGGAACAGACTTCCAGTGCTGTTCTCTTGGTAAGTCAACACAGCTCTTCTTAAAGGTAGCACATCAGACCTCTAAAAGCAATGCCACCATTATTCTGAAACTTAATAAGCAGCTATTTGGATTCTTACCAACTCTAAGCACTTTCTTCAACCAAGATTTGTGGAGGTAGACATGTAACATGCATTCATTTCAGCAGACCCCCAAAGAAGTGCTGAGGAGGTTGGACAGCAGTTAGCAGCACTAGGCAAACATGTACTCTACTATCATCACTGGTCCATTGAATACATGTGAGCAACTGACACATTGGCTCTTATATTGGCATTCCTAACAAGGAATGCTTAACAAAGCATTCAAGATAAGGGAGAAATTTACAGCAGTTAAAAGAAGGGAAAAAATCTAGAAGTGTTGGATAAGGAGTCAAGCTGATCAGAAATGCACTGCAACTAGAAATTCAAGTGCCAAACATGGAGCTCATATGCTCTTGTGAACTGAGAAGGTCAAGATGAATGGGACAGGCACTCACAGCACGAGGCCACCTTGGCAACATTCAGTTAAGTCAGGACTTTTCCACAAAACTAGTCATGCTGTAAGTTGAAATTGGAGCTCATTTAAGCAGTTCCAGCAACGTCTGAACTGAAGGGAAAATGCTGCAGCCAATGCCTGTTCTTTAGGTGTGTAATGAAAAAGGGATGACTCTTCCTGAGCTCAGCAGAGGCTAGCTAAATATAGCTTACATACTTACAGAGACCTCTTGGCAGAGCAGCTAAGGTCAGGTGAGAAGCATGTGCGGTGCGAAAAGTAACTTGCACTTAGTGTGCTAAAGGTTCTCCGTTTCCATTAGCGTGGCTGGTTCTCAACACAGCAAAATCCTGCTCCTTCAAGACCCCCAACATCACTCCCTCTAACACCAAACTCACCCCCTTAAGTGCTCACAGGGCTGTGCGTGAAATGGGGCTATTGAGGAACAAGAAAGAGGTGCCAGCATGCCATAGGGATCTTCCAAGGTACACAGAAGTACAAATAATCTTTAGGAGAAACTACCTATGGGGCAACAGCCTCCCTCAAAAAAACCCTGCTGAATGAGGACTGGGTGTGCTCAGTGATCACAGTGTCTTGGGGGTCGAGAGTGGAGAGTGGGGTCATTGGGTTATCTGGAAGACCTGGCTGATTGGCTGGCAGGAACAGTGAACTGGCATATTCCACACTGCAATGTTCTGTTGCGAGACCCACTTGCTTTCATGAGTTCAAGAGAGTGGCATGAACGTAAAATGTAAACAGCAATTTTATTTTTTAACTTATATATTAAAAAAAATATTTATAGACCGCAATCTCAAAATAATATCAAAGCAGCTGATAATAAAATAAAATAGAATAAAAACACGAAAAGTTAAAAATAGACATGAATTAACCACTGTGGAAAGATGTGTTCTTAATTGCCTCCTTAAGCCTGGAGAAATAGAAAAGTTTTCAGCAGGTGTTTAAAGTTAAAGCACATAGTGCAAATACCCACCAACAGACTTCTCCTAAACTGACACCCAGCTGGAATGTATTCCCAGTGGGGAAGTTAAATCTGAAACCAATAATGGCAACTCCATATTGCTTTTAGACAACCAAAAATAAAAGGTAGGAGCAACAAAGTACAAGGGATGCATCATCCTGCAAAAAGGGGGGCTCAGATTCAAAGGAGAAGCAATGGGACTTCAAACTGAAAGCGTCTGCAGTTTATTTTCCTAAATAAACATATATCTGCCTAAATCAGCAACCAGTTCTGAAAGAGCAGGAATGTCATCAAAGTGTTTTTGTTTGCTTGCTTGTTTAATGTGGTACCAAACCATGGTCACTTCCCCTTTGTGGCCAAAAGCCACCTTTTATTTTAGAAGCATTTGTCGGAAGATGGCATGTGTCATGAGAGTCTTACAAGACGGCTTGCCTCGGCCAGGGGTACCCAATGTGATGCCCTCCACTTGTTCTTGTACTACCACTCTCATAATCCCTGAGAATTGGATATGCTGGCTGGGGCTGATGGAAGCTGTAGTCCAGTAACATCTGAAGGGTCACTGGTTCCCCACTCCTGACCTAGGCCAAACAAGGAGTTCCTGTCAGGAGGATAACTGAAGAACTTCCTGGCTTAACTACTGGACAGCGCTATAGGTATGGCTGGCTAAGAATACACCCCAGTGGACTGATGTGAGAAAGAGGAGAGACAGTTTATGCTTACCAAGCAAAGGTACTTTGTTCTGCAGCAGCTCACAGTAGCTCGTGGTGAGAATCCCCACAGGATTGCTTGGTATAAACCGTCCTTCCTTGACCAAGCGTTCACAAGTGCGCATGAGAGTCCCTGAGAACTGAGAAGGGTCAACACCATAGTCCCGCCAGCCTCCAACACCATCTGCAACCCCTAAAAAAGAATATATATATATGCATTATGAATACATTCCTCAGCATTAATGAAGATGAAATTTACATTAAACATGCAAAGCTGGTGAGGTTTAATTAAATATTCTCCATATCTTCTAATATTTCTAAAGAAGACTTTCTAAACTAATCACTTTCTTAATTCAATATGCCATGCAGAAAGCACAGAGGTATTTAATCACTTCTGATTGCTGAAAGCCCAAAATAAGGGCTTATTATGCAACTAGCTTAAGACAGACAGGGGAGGGGGAAGTTATGCAGAAGTCAACAGGACCAAGGACAGTCACCTTTACTTCCTTTCTGGTATTATTCAGGAGTAGTTTCATCATCTCTATATGGGCCCACATTCTCATGTGAAGCAGCACCCTAGATTTGCATAACGGAACTGTGATACTGGCAGTTTTAACCAAAAGTGACTGTGCCCCTTTGGATGCATTAAGAAACTCAGGGCATAGATATGATTACCTCTGAACAGAATCAGTTATGAGCTGGTGGTCACCTATATTTCTTGAAGATGAGCACCTCAACTCATCTTAACCAGTTTCAGCACCAAAATGTAAGCAAAAGGGAAAAGAATGGGTTAGACAGGCTAACTGTGAGCGGCTGCAGTGATAGTTTTAGTCATGAATTCACAAGCGTATTTCAACTTCAGCTGATTTTGAGCTTGAGGAGATGCTAACTGTATTTGAGATATCAAACATGTGCCAGCCACGTAACCATGAACATACGCAGGAGAGCAGAATGGTGCATTTCTACACATTTACCAGGAGAAAGTGGTCAGTTGATAAGCTAGTACAGCTATCGGCTCCCAGAATGGTTGGATAGTGTGGAGCCCATTTCTCTCAAACATTGTTATCCAACACCATCAGGCATCAAGATCAAGAATGGCCCTTTGCCGAAAACTTTCTGCAGCAGTTCTGCAGTTGCAGAAGGGTTTGAAGGGTAAAGTAATAAGAGGCAAAGTCGTTTAGCAAAAGCAAACTCCTGAGAATTTTGCCATGGTCAAATAAGAGTAAGAAATATTTTCAGGGGTATTGCTGAGTATCTACAGCCTCTACACACACACACACACACACACACACACACACACACACACACAGCATCTCTAATAACATTCAACTTATTTGGTTCAGAAACTCTCTTCAGCCTGCTAGTGTCAACATTTGGTATTTTATGGAATGCATGAAGCTCATGTTAAATGATTCAGGATGCTGTGTGAGTCACTGTCTCAACTATCAGGGAGTGAGTCAAAGGAAGATAAATCTGCTAAACAAAATCACAGAATTGCAGGATTGGACAGGCCCCCAAGGGTCACCTAGTCCAACCCCCTGCAATGCAGCAATCTTTTTACCCAATGTGTGGTATGAACCTATGACTCTGAGATTAAGAGTCTCATGCTCTACCTACTGAGCTATCTCTGCTCCCCAAGGCTGCAAGCCTCTATCCTAGAACTGAAAACACATGAATAAAAATGTGCTAATCTGTAAAATGTCCTTCACTTAGGATGCCAGCTGAACTGGAGATGGAGGGTTTACAGCTGACCTTGGCATGAACTATGTAATCTGTCGGCATGTTACCGCCAGACTCTGAACAGACTATCAGCATTAATCAGATTTCTCCCCAAAATAGTCCATAACCTTTTAGAACCATTTTTTAAGGATTTGTATTTTTTTTAAAACACACACCCAAACAATGCAATACCAGAAGGCAAGCATTATGACCATCCCCCTCTTGTAACACCACAAGTAGTACAAAGCACAACTTAGATACCATAACCCTGAATACTAAAGAACACCCTTCCTTTCTTCTTTAGGAAATGCACATGAATCCTCTAAACCAGTGGTTCCCAATTAGCAAAGTACTGGCAACGACTGTTTGGAGCGTTCAAAGCACGCACGACCATGCGTGTGAACTTTGCTGCACACTCGGAAGTGGTAGAAAAAAGGGGCGAAACGGCAGGCTTGTATGTGCTCCACCATTGTACACACATGACCTGGAACGCAACCCCCACAGAAATCAGGGGTTGCTTATACTACATCCTGTTTTTAAAAAACAAGCCATGGCCCCTCTGCTTTTGAAAATGTTGGTATCTCTACGGTAGTTTTTATGTGAATGGTGCCACAGACCTCCTGGGTCAGTTACGATGGCCTCCTGGAGTCCACAGACCACCATTTGGGAACCATTGCTCTAAACAATATGTTAAAAGTTAATATTAGATTAACCATTTGATTTCTCTATCAGTGGTTTAAAAAATCACAGTCCTTATCTGATTAATTGATTTGGGGTGGGGATCAGGAATTTTCTTACATGCCTACATTAGGTATGAAAGGGTCATTTGACCGAAGGCGGGCAAGTTCATTGCAGGTCTTGCAGCTTAAACACAATGGGATGCCTTTGTGGTACCTGACTGGTGCCTTACCTGACTGGCAAGGCATACAAGAAGCAGAACCACACAACTACAAGTAAATTGAAAGTGTGCCTGTGCATAAGCCTCTGGAGACTGCAATCGTGCCAGCACATTAGCTAAAGAAAACATATTTAAGCAACCTTGTATGTATGCCTTGCGGTTGCCTCATCAACTTCCCCTTCCTCTAAATGCTGCTTAACATTTGATCAGTCTTCCACAACGTCTGGACAAGCATCCTAGACTTCCATCACCCCCAGACTCCTCAGTTCTGAAACCCAGCAAGTCACTCTCAGCATCAAGTCAGAAAGTGTTGAACAGCGTATTCCGCAGACTGTCAGCTGGGAGACCAGGAATCCAACCTGCACTCTTTACAGATCACCAACTCAGCCACAACACAGAAGTGCCTTCATGCATGTACAAAAAGGCAACTCCTACTTCCCCAACTGTTCAAGTCTTCTATAACTTCCCATGTTCAAGGTCAACCCTGAGGCCTGTACTTTGTTACACTGGAAATACTAAGTTATGTTGCTGTAATTTTGCTTGTTTACCTTATGATAAAATTGTTCAGTTGTTTATTGGTCTTGTTTATATGATTTTGTAATTTTTGTATACTATTTTTAATAATAATAATATTTTTCTCCTGTTTACGTTTATTAATTTGGTTCCTGCTCTGGGATTGAGGACATTCAATGAAAAGCATTGTAACTATTTGTAACTAATTAATTAATACAATAAAGTTCTCTTTGGATATCATAGAAAAGAGACTTACATCTGTTCCTGTTTTCAGAACTGGGCATCAAAGAGGAGGATTTGAGGGGTTGGCTAGGGCCAAAATGTTTAGTTTACAGTTAAAGATAAATTAAAAAAACTAAATGATTCACCTGATTTAAAAATTAAATACCTGCTTCATGGTTAACTGTTAAGTATTGGAGGAAGGAAAACACCTACAGAGGGCAAACTCCATCTTAAACGAGGCATTCCAGCTCCTTCTCTCTTAGGTAGGAAAGAACATATCTTATCAAAGATTATGTCTGTGCATACTTATGTCAGAACTCTTCATTTTACACTTAGGCAAATTCAGTCCATTAATCAACTAAGATTCCTGTAATTGGGCAACAGACCTAGCTTTATTCACTGTGTTGAAATCACCAGCAGTAGCATCATTTCATCAGAACTAACCAAGGACAGTTCCACAGGAACAGTGTCCGTATAAATTCCCTGGCTGTATCAATATATTTTCCCTCTTGCACTAAAAAACTAGTTTGATTAAAAACTAATGGAAACTCATGGCCATAAAAAAATTCTCAAATATCTGAAGCATGGGATTTAAAGACTGAACATGGCTGGATAAGTTAACCCTATTTATTTCATAAAATCTATACACCATTTGATGGTAAAAAAGAGAAAGAAATCCCTCAAAGCAGTTTATAAAATTTAGTTTATTTGTATATCACTGAACATACTAAATTAACCTTTGTTTCTGTTACCATAACTCTTAACCACTCTGATTCTCTGCTTCCTTGGTGAGGGCAGAAAAACATCCTCTCATCAGCATTGGGAAGCAGTACAGTTACACAGTTCTTCCAACTATATGGAGGACAGTCCCCAGAGTTACTGCCTGGTTACATGCTGTGCATGCATCACTTACAGATACTCAAGGCAAGCAAGCACAAAATCAAATGGTAGTTGATGAGGTAGCGGTGAACTTCTTTGTAGGCTATAGGGGAGGGAAGGTGTATGCTGTGCTGGCAGCAAGAAGGGCATTTCTGGTACAACCACTTATTCAAACTCCAGAGGATCAGATCCAAGTTTTACTTTCCCACTTGCACAAAGTATTCTAAAAGATGCAGTTTTATTTTCTGCCAATAACAAACCACACCTTTGGCCAAAAACAGTTACAAGCAGGCAGTTACAAGCATTCCTTCACCTGTCAGTGATCAGAGACCAAAACACCTGTGTGCTGCCCTCTACACTAGCTAAAGACATGTACTTGTAAGTGTTAAATCTTAAGATACTAGAAAACCTGGTCATGCCAAAAGCATTTTTTTTTTACTAAAAATGCAAGTAATATTGCAAAATGCCCACTGTCTGCATTCTTCCCTCCTGAAGTGGCCACCTTGGGACATTCTGCATTAGTTCCTTGTGTGTGCCTTTCTTTCTACCCATCCAGCATTCTCAGAGCAGAATAATTATGCAATAGCATGGTTCAAATGAGATCCCTGGATGCAAGTCTCTTTTTATGCTAACAAAATAATCCCTTAGCTCATCACTTACCATTTTCACAGACTGTCCTTCAGCCTAAACTGGGCTTACACTGGTGAATATTTTTTTCCACTAAGCAGAATTGTTTTGATTATGCTTTGGAGGAACTGTCTTTCCAAGGAGGAGATTTGAGTTATAAGAAGAATTAAGACTGATACATGCTTTGAGGTGGGATGAAGTTAATAAGAACCTCAGCATCATTCATACTGAGAGACTGACAGAACAATTTCAATCCCTGTTTTGGATGGGGCAGGGGAGCTCTGCTGGTGAACAACATCCCAATGCACAAGCCTAAAAGGTGGGTGGGTGGAAGTTACTGCTTAACAGTATCCCTGCCAGCAATAGTCAAAACAGTAATGTTGTGGGGGTACAGCTGGGCCGACAGGATCAGCTGACCCTCCTGCCATCCACAAGATGGCAACGGCCACTTTGCTATGTCAGCTTGAGGGCTGATGCAGCAAAACGGCATTTTCCCCACCCCCACCTTTCCAGTGCAAGGAGCAAGGCTGTGGATGCAGCAATGGCTATCTATCAGCCAGGAGTTTGGAATGCTCCTGAGCCTGCAGTCCTATACTCAGTTACTTGGGAGTAAGCGCCATTTAGTTTAATGGGGCTTACTTCTGAGTAGCTAGGACTGCAAACTTGACTGCAAGATAGAACAAGCTTGTTTCCCCCTGCTCCGGAGGGTAGTTACGAGAAAGGAGATTCCGACCAAACATCAGGAAGCCCTTTCTGATGGCAAGAGCAGTTTGATAGGGGAACACACTCCCACAAGAGGTGATGGACTCTCTTTCCTTGTTGTCACAGGCTGGCTGGATGCTGAGGAGTGGTGGGAAGTAAAGGCTGGGGAAACCCAAAGGGTATCCCCAGGGAAAGAAGGCTCAGTGACAGGGAAGTGGTGGTGGGACAACAATGAGTGGACAGAGGGAGAAGAAGGTGCAGACTGGGAGGAGGAAGAGGAAGCAGAAGAGGTAACAGGCCCTCCCACTGAAGCCAGCTACCTTCCCCCTTATCTCCCAGAATATGCAGAGAAATGAAACATGCAGGGCAGAGATTGGTTGTGTCTAGTTTGCAACTGCTTGGGAAAGACCCTGGAAAAGAGGAGCCTTAGAAAGTGATGGGAAGATGGAGGCCTGTAGTCCTCACAGCTGCCTCATTGGGGCAAGACTTAGTGGTCAGTTGCTGGGATCACTAGGCCTGTGCTGTTTTGAATCCTTTGAATAAAGAGTTAACTTCAATAACAGTGTCTTTTATTGCTGACCTATGCTTGGAGATTTTTAAGCAGAGGTTGGCGGACCATCTGCCATGTATGATCTAGTTGAGATTCCTGTGTTGTGTGGGGTTGGGCTAGATGATCCTAACTCTACAATTCTATGATTCCATGATCTTCCAAGAAATATTTGAAATGTCTTTGATTTCATATTTCTCTATTGCTTTTCAACAGTACTGTTTTGGTGCTTATTAAAATGATTAAAAGGTTTGGAATGCCATCTCTCATAAAACGCCCAGCCTAGGATTTGTCAACAGTGTAAGAGCCAAAAAGGAAAACCCAAGCAGTGTGTGCCTGTCTGTACGCTGTTAACTCTGGCCAAATTGCACAGAAACCCAGGACCTGGTGTTCTGACAAACCTGCAAGTCTCTAGTTTCAGTATTTTATTTTTTTAAAAACCCACACATTTTCCTTGTGGTTGCAGAAAACAGCTGGGAAACACAGGCATCTACAGAAAGCTTCCTGTGATCCTCGCTTCAATCTCCCAAGCCCTTTCCTCACTCTAGCAATGTACTCCTTATGAAGTATCTATGACAATCTAATTGAAGAATAAACAATCCAAATTATCCCCATATATGTAAACATGCTTGATGCATTCTCAGTGTGGCTTTTGCTTCATTGTAAACTGCTGTCGACTAATGTGCCAAACAAGGTGCTAAGGAAAGGAATAAGGAGGATCCTTCAACTTCTGCAACAAAATCACGTTTCATGCGCTTTTTACGTACGCCTTTCAGAGTTAAAATTTTCATCACCACCGACCCTGATCTCTCCTGAATTCCTATGGAGGATCTTTTACAATAACTGCCATGAAAGGAAAGCTAGCGAAGCAGTTACAGGTGAAAGGACGGAACATGTACAATCACCAGCAGCACCAAACCTTCTCACTTCAGGCAGCCAAGGCACTGGGATCTGCAGGAAATCGCCATGTAGCTCCAGAATATATTAACGTTTATAAAGATAGTGTACTGCAAGTGTTCAAAACACTTCTTCACAACTTCTCTATTAATGTAGGAATTTCAGCAGAGTGTCAACTGCTGACTACCTCTTCCCTTTTACAAGAAAGGCCATTATTACCTTTCCCATAATGCAGGAGAGTGCCTGAAGCTGGGCAAATATTTTGCCTTAATCCACATGCTAAGATAGTACAATAGGTGAGATTTGAACTGAGGGCTTCCTGGCTCACAGCTGACACAGTGCAGTACTATGAATGCCTTTCTTAGAATTAAGCCCCCTCGATTGCAACAGTGCACAGGACAGCAGCAGTAACCACTGAGCTGCAAAGGATGTGGCTATTGGTCATAATAGCTCCAGTATCAGATGCAGTATGTCTCTGAATACCAACTGCTGAGAATCATGAGCAGAAGGAGACAGGTCTTTGGTCTGATTCAGCAGGGCTGCTCTTCAGATCTAGTAATTGCACAACAGAAAAAGGCCATGTGTAGGGGTGTGTTTTTTTTAACTGTGGTCAAACAGGGACTTGGAAGTTGGGCAGATTCCAAGTGCTCTTGCAATTTTTTTTTCCACTGGATGGGAGCAGCTCATGTGGCTACTCCACACCCACACCCAGCCCACAAACTGAAGGCAGAGATCTTCTTGGCATGCTTATATCCGCAAATGAGTAATATATAAAGCTAATCTGGACTGAATGAAAAGTGAAACACATTTAAAACTCATTCTTTGGCTAAAGACATTCTACACCGTTATTTATATAAAAAAATCTAATTGTGCCAAGCTCTTCTGCATTTTATTTTATAGGTTGTATAAAATTAAGATAATCCAGAACAGTGAAGCTGCATAAGTGTCTGAAGACATTTGAAATTTAGAACAAAAGATGCAGGCAGAGCATAGGACACCAAGCAGAGAAAAGCTAACATGGTTACCAAACATGCAGGGAAAGAAGGGCAAAATATCCAATTATATAGGCTAATAAAAGTATCATTTAAAAAAAATTAAAATGGAGAACTAAGAACAAAAAGAGAATTTTATTTCATCCACTGTGGATTGGGCTAAGGAACCAATAGAAAAATGACAGCAAGAGGTTAATCTTTGTCACCAGCAAGCCTGAGTTCACCTATAGCTCCTTCTCCAGGAAAGAGCCTGGAACCTGGAGTGTAGTTTCATGGGCCAGAAGAGACGGAACAGAGAGAGCGCACACAAAAACACACAAAAATATGTGGTGGATTTCAACTGTAAGCTGCTTTAAGAGTCAGTCTTAACTGACTGAAGAGGGCATAAACACCTAAATCAAAATTAAGAGGGGGGGCTGTTAGAACAGTCATCCAAAGAATACTAAGCCACAAAAATCACTTTCTGAAGAATTAGGAAAAAATTACAATGGAGAGAACTACGTATGACACATTGAACTCTTTGGGGGAAAAGTGGGATATAAATGTAATACATAAAATAAAATCTGCTTGCTGTAACAGTAATAAAGTACAGGAAACAAATTATTTAAAAATGAAAATAATAAGGATTTAATCCCTGCATCACTTCAGTGACACTACAAGGCTGCTTACATAGGACTACTGCAACATAATGACATAACATCATCAAACCCTGCCATACAATTCACTGTAATCCAACCAAAATAAGGGCCAGAGGAAAAAATGCCCAGCTATACTATTAAAGAGCAATGCAGAACCAAGGAGACTCCAATCAGTCTTTCATTTGATAGAAATCCATCACTCACTCCCTTTCCATTCACAGTGTAAGTAATTCTACTGACAGAAAGGAAGAACTCTACTGACCTTCCCTTCAACATGGATCATATGCTAGATAAGACACTTGAACAGCCAAACTGCATTGTGGGTTATGGCCTAAGAACAAAGATGAACTGCGCTGCATGACCAAGGTTGATATATTTTTCTTTGTCTTCCATATCCAGAACTACAGCACGGGCATCTGACAAGATTCTTTTAAATGTACTATTCAAAACATTGTTTCAAAGCCAACTAACATTTAAAAAAATAAATAAATAACTCATTACAACAGATATGAAGCTACCATGGTAACGCCAAGTTTCACTAACATAATATGTTTAGACACAAGAGCAATCTTCAACTCTAAATAAACCATGCACCAAGGAGTGTTTAGCAATCTACATTCATGTTGCTGCTGCGCAGCAAGCAAAAGGGCATTTGAGAAGCCACATCCCACACAAAGGGCCTGCGCTCAGGAGGTTTCCCCCTTTTGCTCCTGTGACATCTGACACAGCACAGCTGCACTGCACTGAAGATCTGCAGGGAGCTCTGAAACCACAGGAAAGTGGGTGTGGGGAGTGAAGCTTGACATCTGAAACCGCTTTCAATGTCACTTTGCTTTTCACCTGACAAGGACACAAGGTGCGCTAAAGGTAGGAAGTGTTTGCTCCCAACAGCTTGTTTCATTTGCAGGGTTAGAAGAGGGGAGGAGGGACACCTTAAGAGTTTAAGTTCAAGCTATTTAAGAAGATGGGGAAACCTAAAATGCTTTTTTAAAAAACGTGGCAGCCACCTTGGAACTGCAGGGGAGCTATTAGGGACAGGTCCTGATGAGCAAAGCAACACACCAACCCACACAGGAACCTAGACTGGGCAAGATCAGTTCTGGAGCCCCCCACAATCATGGAATCTACTTCACTGTCTCCCTGGCACACTTTGCTCTCAGACAGCAGCCTGCAGATATGCAATTATAAGACCTTTTCAAATACTACCTAGGGGTGCTATTTTAGAACATTCAAACATGAGGAGGAAGACAGGCAAGTCAGACAAACAGAAAGACCAGCCTCAGACATCACTCACCTAGAACATCTGCAGATCGGTGCCGGGCCACAAAGCAGGCGTCGTCCCCGTAGCACATGCCTTTCTTCAAGATGCCCTTGCGGAAGTCCTTGCCAAAGCCACAGCTGGCAGTCACCAGGCTGTAATCTCGAGAGTCTGTTTGAGAAAGGCCACCTAGGACTGCCCGGGCTACCAGTCTGCCATAGGAGAGGACTGAGAACATGGTGTGGGGAGCCCAGCAGCCGACCGCCTGCAACGAGGGAAACCGTGGGCAGATGTGCCACCGGAGCCAACGTAGTCCGCTCTGAACTAGAGCCACCCCAAGACCCAGGGTTCCCAGTGGGGACCCCTCCAAAAGTGGGGGGGCCCTTGTTTGAACTCTTCTCTAACAAAAGGTTCAACCTTGAAATAGAGCCCTTTCCTCTGTGTGTGTGTGTGTGTGTGTGTGTGTGTGTGTATGTATATATATATTTGTGTCTGTGTGTGTAGATATTGGTATAGATATATAGATGTTCTATATCTCCTGGAGACTTCCTTATCCACCACTTTTACCCACCCTCTCCAAAAAGAAAACTCAGCTCTTAGGTCTCTCTCTCTGCCTCTCTCTAGAAGGGGCCTCTATACTTAACTACATTACCTCTCCTTCCCACCCAAATGAGAGATAAAAGACAGAAGCAATGCCTTAAGTTTCAAGACGGCTCTAAGCTGAGGCAGGTTTTTCCTTCCTGTGAGCACGCTTAGGTCCCCGTGACCTGCGTTCCTCCTAAACGGGACCCCTTCTTCCCCTGGTGCACATTTCCCAAGGCCCTCCAAGTGGGTCAAAGTTCACCGGAGGGAGTTCCAGCTCCTCCTCGGAATAAGGCCCTAGCCTAAAGGCCACGGGTCAAGGACCCCACCCCCTGCCCCTGCTCCTCCTCCCCACGAGGCTCGCTTCAGATCTACAATAAAAAACGGGGGGAGTCAGCCCCCCACTGAAAGGAGCCCCTCTTCAGAGCGAGGGTTCACAGCCCAGAATGGGGCTCTGAGGTGGGGGCGCTCAGCCCCCCCCCAAAAAGAGACGGCCTCGACTCCCGCCAATTTCTCCTCAGTTCTGACGAGGGAGGGCGGCCCTCTTCCTCCTCCTTGAGGCCCCCCTGGGGGAGGGGGATGCCCGGCGCCCCTCAGAGCGACGACCCCCGTTCCCAGCCCCTCTTTCTCTTCAGGAGGAGCCTCTCGGCTGCGCCCAAAAATGACAGAAAGAAGCGCCGGCCTCCCCTCCCGGGAGGGCCCTGAACCCCCACCTCAGGCTGAGGCGCCTGGGCGCGAGGCGGCCCCTGAGGTCCGGGGCTGGGCTCTGCCCACAGCCGCTCTTGGCCTCCCTTCTTCTTCCTCCTCCGTCGCCGGCTCCCCTTGCCCTTCTCTTCCTCCTCGTCCTTTCCCCCTTCACAGCCGGCGGCGTGTCTCCCGCGTCCGGCAGCCGGGCTCTCCAGCCGCCATCTTCCGCCCCGTCGCGTGCTTCGGGCCCGCGTTCCGCCGGCGGCTCCTCAAGGAGAGAGAAAGGGAGGGAGGGAGGGAGGGGGGGGAAAGGGAGGGAGACGCGCGAGGTCAGCCCCGCCTCTTCGCCGGCGAGGAGAAAGAGAGGCGGGGCGGAGGGGGGGGAAACCCCTCTGAGCTCCCTCACATCCGGGCCTCCGGCGCCAGCCCAGCCCCGCGATTGGCTGCGGGGCTTGCCCTCATTTGCATAGCCCGCCCCTCTCTCCGTTCGCCGCTCGTGAAGGTCAGCTGCGCGCAAGTGCGCTTGCGCGGGAGGGAGGGGGACGGACGTTGTGGCGTCCTACCGTTCGGAGCCTGGACTGCGACTCCCGGCATGCAGCGCGCTCCCCCAAGGCGGTTGTTCTGCTGCTCTCTGGCCGGCGCCGGGCGAGCGCGGCATTGCCGGGAATTGTAGTTCTTGGCCCTACAAGACCATGTGCGGCTCTTTCTAGGTAGTTTCCCTTCCCGCTCCCTCTCTTGTAGAAGCAAAAGGGGGCTGAGCAGCAGAGGGCCGGGTGGCAGCCCCCCCTCGGAGACAGACTCTCCCCCCTGCTGGGGACTTCACTTTTTCGTTATTCGTTTCCTTTGTTTTCTAGTGAGGAGGACTATTGTGACGCCTCTTCCCAGGTGCCGCCATGCAAATCCCCGCAGAAGACGCTCCCGCGAGCTTCACTGCAAGGTCACAAAAGGGCAACGGCGGCGTCACGGCGTGGAGGGGGAGGGCGTGGAGGAAGTGCTCGCAGATTCCCAGACCCACAACCAGATCCCTCCTTCCTTCCCTGGACGGATTGTCCAGACACGTGAAACCCTTCAGACGGCTGCAGAAGTGGGGTGGGGGAAAGCCGCCTAGGCGGGTATAGTCTGGAATAAGCACCACAGTGAGGGTGGGGGTTTACTCTCCCGCAACTGCATGGACGCGGGTGGCGCTGTGGGTTAAACAACAGAGCCTAGGACTGTTCGAATCCCCGCGACGGGGTGAGCTTCTGTTGCTCGGTCCCTGTTCCTGCCAACCTAGCAGTTCGAAAGCACCTCAAAGTGCAAGTAGATAAATAGGTACCGCTCCAGTGGGAAGGTAAACGGCGTTTCCGTGCACTGCTCTGGTTCGCCAGAAGCGGCTTAGTCATGCTGGCCACATGACCCAGAAGCTGTACGCTGGCTGCCTCAGCCAATAAAGCGAGATGAGCACAGCAACCCCAGAGTCGGTCACGACTGGACCTAATGGTCAGGGGTCCCTTTTGCCTTTTACCTTTAAGTCCATGTAAGATTGCAACTGCATGAGCGCAGTCCTCTCTGCACCTTTAAGCTGTAGGCCCTGCAAAGTTCAGTAGCTTAGATATCTAACTGAGCAATGGGGGATCATGACACTTCTGGAATAGTTCAGTCTTGTCCAAGGGCCTGGGGGAGCAGGTGGGCCAGCTTCCGCATCACCGTCACTGGGCCCAAGAGAATTTCACTGAATTTTTTTCTCTCCTTTGACAATCTTTTGAATGAAATCTAGAGTTTGTATTCAACAGAAGAAGTTTGTCGTTTAGTCGTGTCCGACTCTTCGTGACCCCATGGACCAAAGCATGCCAGGCACTCCTGTCTTCCACTGCCCCCCGCAGTTTGGTCAAACTCATGCTGGTAGCTTTGACAACACTATCCAACCATCTCGTCCTCTGTCGTCCCCTTCTCCTTGTGCCCTCAATCTTTCCGAACATCAGGGTCTTTTCTAGGGAGTCTTCTCTTCTCATGAAGTGGCCAAAGTATTGGAGTCTCAGCTTCAGGATCTGTCCTTCCAGTGAGCACTCAGGGCTGATTTCCTTCAGAATGGATAGGTTTGATCTTCTTGCAGTCCCCGGGACTCTCAAGAGTCTCCTCCAGCACCGTAATTCAAAAGCATCAATTCTTCGGCGATCTGCCTTCTATATGGTCCAGCTCTCACTTCCATACATCACTACTGGGAAAACCATAGCTTTAACTGTACAGACCTTTGTTGGCAAGGTGACGTCTCTGCTTTCTAAGATGCTGTCTAGGTTTGTCATTGCTTTTATCCCAAGAACAGAAGAAGTTACCTTTAGTGAAATGCGTCTTTGCTTTGAGCACACCTTTCGTTGGAAGGCGTTCAGAATGAAATCTTATTGGAGAAGCAAAGAAGCCATGCTTGCCCCTTTGTTCTCCAAGATGACATTGCCACTCAAGATTCAGAGAAAACGTGAGAGGAGATGTAGAAGTGAAAGAGAATGCCACTTAATGCAGATCAGTTTGACTTCAAAGTGCAGCTCAGCACAGAGATCAAAGGGACTGAGACAGTTTAGGAATCAGGAGAACTCCCACTCTATTTGTCAACCTCATGCAGACTCTTCTGAGCAACCTTCAACAATTTATTTGTTCATTAATTGATGGAGAATGTTTGGGGGAGATAATGGAAGACATTATCAGCATGTTAACAGTGCAAAACACCCTTGCCTTTTCAATTGCCAACATTTTGCCTGTGACTTTCGTAGGAGCTAAAATCATGAATAATAAAGTGTCCATGGAATTAAATTTAGGTAAAACTGTACAGTGAAGGATCCTAAGCACATAGGGGGAAATGAGTACAGTTTTCATCTTACTTGAGATGAGTACGTTTGTTTAAATCTCACAGGCACACATACAAGCTAGTTATAGCTGCCATGAATAAACTTGTTTTGCACCAAACATTCTATTTTAATTAAATAAAAAATGGTATAAGCTTTGGCAGAGGTTTGATCCTTCTTTGCAGAGTATTCCGCTGGCATGGCAGGTTCCATTTCTTAAACCCAAATCCCAAGGAGGAGTCCGGGGTTGTGTTCAATGTCAGGCCCCCTCCTGATTTCCCAAGGGTCTACTGTGCAGCTGCTAGGAATCTTAAAAAATAATAATATCACTTTTCTTACTCTGCATGGCTCATTTGAGTTAAATTCCCAGCAAGACTTTGTTTTGCAATTTAAATTGATTGGGTAGAAAGGGCATGTGGACTTTGAGTGGGGAGGATTCAGCTCACGCACAGTCACCAAGGAGATGAACTTTGATCTCCTGTTGGTGCCAATTTGGGACTTTTAAAGAACTTTTTAGACTAGTTTGTTTTTCACATCACAATTTGTTTATACATTTGTCATCAGTGCATGTGGACTTTGCAGCAGAAGTGGGACAGGACCCTGCCCCTAGAAGCTTATAGTGTATATCAGGGCTGGGGCCCCTGAGACCCAGGGGCCACATGTTTCTTTCCAGCATGCTCTATCTGGCCCTTGGGGCGCTCCCCAGACACCCTCTTTCCCCAGGTCACACCCTTCGCCAGATATGCTTTGCAGTTTCCTTGAGCACTTTTGCCAAGCTGGAGTGCACCCTTGAAATTTGATAATGCTTCCTGCTTGCCTGGATAGAGAATAGAGTTGTGTGTTTGTGTTGAAACTAGACTACTTCACAGTGGTAAACTTTCCAGTTGCTGCTTTGTCCATTTCTACCTCTGGCCCCTGCCTTGCCAGTGGGCAACCCCTTGAAGATTGTTCATAGAAGAAAAGGCGGCTCTCAGGATGCAAAAAAGTTAATGATCTTTGGCCTATACAAGTTCTAGTGTTATGAGAGGAGAAAAAAACTATTATTTTAAAACCCTCAAACTATGTCACTCTTGGTCACCTTTTCTCTAAACTAAAAAGTCTCAAAATGCTGCAAGCTGTCCTTGTAGGGGGAATTCCTTCATCCCCTTGATCACTGTGGTTGCTGCTGCTTAGGTGCAATTATCTTGCACTCCTTTTGAACAGTGCAATAACCCAGAGATGCATTTTAAATAAAAGCACACATTCTACTCGTGTAAAAACATGCTGGTTCCCGGACCATCCGCAGGCCGGATTGAGAAGGCGATTGGGCCACATCCGGCTCCCGGGCCTTAGGCTGCCTACCCCTGTGTTAGACACATGATGATGTTGGCTGTGGTATCAGAAAGTGGCCAACAGTTTCAGCAGAGAGAAAAGACTTGCACCATTGAAGAGCGATCCTTCTTGGGTTAGGTCAGGCGTGAGTCACACTGGCAATGGGCAGTATGAGTAATAATCAGCTCACACTGCTGTCCTCTGCCAGCTTGGGACTTCTGGAAAATATTATACACTCAGGCAAACAGAATTAACTATAAACTGGAAGTTTTGCTATTTAGATGTTATTCGAAGTCTCCTGTGAATGAACAAAACATACTCCAGGGCGCCCTCTGCTGCTCAGATACTGAAGTGGCTGAGCATTTATAATGGGGGGGGGGACTTGATCAGTGAGGTGGAGCAGGAAGGAAGCCATCTGCAGGGGTATAATGAATTTCTTCCATAATCATAAAAAGAAGTTTCTATATTCTCAGTATGTAGAAACTCACATTTCCTGCACACCGCTGGCATCAGAGAATGATAGGAAAAGAGGTAGTAAGGGAATACCTTCCTACTTTAAATGAATTCAAATCTCCAGGACCTGATGAGCTGCACCCAAGACTACTAAAGGAGTTTGTGGATGTAATCCAAGAGCCTCTGTCTATAATCTCTGAGAATCCTTGGAGAACAGGTGAGGTCCCTACAGATTGGAGGCAGGCAAATATTTTCCCCATCTTCAAAAAGGGGGGGAAAGACCCAGGCAACTACTAACCAGTGAGTTTTCCTGGTTCTAGGACCAGGAAAGATCCTAGAACAGATAATTCAACAGTCTGTCAGCACTTAGAAAAGGATGCTTTGATTGCTAAGACCCAGCATGGGTTTCTCAAAAATATGTCATGCCACACAGATCTCATTTCCCTTTTTGATAGATTTATAGGTTTGGTGGACCAGGGGAATGCTGTGGACATAGTTTATCTGGATTTCAGTAAGGCTTTTGACAAAGTCCCCCATGATAGTCTTGTGAAAAAAGCTGATAAAATGTGGGCTGGATAGGGTAACAGGTTGATTTGTAACTGGTTGATTGACTTAAAGTGCTCACTAACGGTTCCTCGTCATCCTGGGGAAAAGTGATGAGTGGGGTCCGCTGGGCTCTGTCCTGGGCCTGTCGTTCAAGGTATTTATAAAAGACTTGGAGGAAGGAAGTGAGAGGGTGCACATCAACTTTGCAAATGACACCAAACTGGGAAGGGTAGTTAATGCTGCAGTAGACAGAATCGGGATTCAAAATGGCCTTAACAAATTGGAGAACTGGGCTCAAACTGACAAAATGAATTTCAGTAGGGACAGTTGTAAGGTTCTGCACTTAGGCAGGAAGAACCAGATGTACCAATATAAGATGGGGGACACCTAGCTTGCCAGAAGTACATGTAAAAAGGATTTCAGGGTCAAGTCAACATTAATAGACTACAAGCTTAACAGGAGTCAACAGTGTGATGAAACATCACAAAAATCTAATGCTATTCTAGGCTGCATCAAGGTCAAGAGAAGTACTTGTACCACACTCTTCTGCCTTGGTCAGACAACATCTGGAATACTGTGCCCAGTTCTGGGCACCACAATGTAATGATATTGGCAAGCTGGAATGGGTGCACAGGAGGGTGACCAAGATGATCAAGGGTCTGAAGCCAAGCCTTATTAGAACGGTTGAGGGAGTTGGGTATGTTTAGCCTTGAGAAGAGGAGAATGAGATATGATAGTCATCTTCAAATACCTAAAGTGCTGCCCCATGGAAGATGTAGTAAGCTTGTTTTCTCCTGACCTGGACCAAGGACCTGAACCATTGGCTTCAAGTAACACAAAAGGAGATTCCAGCTAAGCACCAGGAAGAACTTTCTGACCGTAAGAGCAGAGCGGCTGGATTGGAAAATTAAAGTTCAGTCTAACTGCATGTATTGGGGTGCTTAGGGTCAAGGTCAACGGCTGGAAGCACTTGGGCCAAAGCTGGTCCAGGGTGTGGGATGGCATGGCCTGCTTCCGCTCTTGCAAAAGGGGAGCAAGGGGGACTTTGAGCAATGCAACTGACATGCAGATTGCTGCAGACGATGCCATCCCTTTTCAGCCTGGAAAACTCGCTGTTGGCAATCGGACCTGCAATTGGGCCTACTATTGGGCCTTATGAAGCTCATGGCCACTGGGCCCATCACCTCCTGGGAAAACGAAGGGGAAGAAATGGAGGCAGTGAGAGATTTTACTTTCTGGGGCTCCATGATCACTGCAGATGGTGACAGCAGTCACGAAATTAAAAGACGCCCGCTCCTTGGGAGAAAGGCGATGACAAACCTAGATAGCGTCTTAAAAAGCAGAGACATCACCTTGCCAACAAAGGTCCGTGTAGTAAAGCTATGGTTTTCCCAGTAGTGATGTACGGAAGTGAGAGCTGGACCATACAGAAGGCTGATCGCCGAAGAATTGATGCTTTTGAATTATGGTGCTGGAGGAGACTCTTGAGAGTCCCATGGACTGCAAGAAGACCAAACCTCTCCATTCTGAAGGAAATCAGCCCTGAGTGCTCACTGGAAGGACAGATCCTGAAGCCGAGGCTCCAATACTTTGGCCACCTCATGAGAAGAGAAGACTCCCTGGAAAAGACCCTGATGTTGGGAAAGATGGAGGGGACAAAGAGAAGGGGACGACAGCGGACGAGATGGTTGGACAGTGTTCTCGACGCTATCAGCATGAGTTTGACCAAACTGCGGGAGGCAGTGGAAGACAGGAGTGCCTGGCGTGCTCTGGTCCATGGGGTCACGAAGAGTCGGACACGACTAAACGACTAAACAACAACATTGGGCCTCAAGGTCGTTGCCACAGCAACAGCGCCATGCTTGTATTTCCTTCCCATGATGCCTCGGGGGCGGCGCTGTTCTACCCGAAGTGATTGCGGGAGCCGCCGCCGGCTTCAAGTCTGCAGCGGGATTTGGCGAGGCTCCCGTCGTGCCTTGCGCCGTCTCCATAGCTACCGCCCGGCGGGCGTCCGCCGTTGCCTAGGCCGCGGCGGCCTCACGGGGAGGCGGGATGGGCCCCGGGTCGCCGCTGCGGTTCTTCCCGAGGCTCCTCGCGGCCTGCCTTCTCCTGCCGCTGTCCTCCTCCACGGAAGCGCCAACGAGCGCGGCCACCTCGGAGCCCCCGACCGGCTGGGATGAGGCCACGTCGGGGGCGCCGACAGCGGGTACCCCGCCTCACCCGACCCCTAGTCCCGGCCAGGCCTCCCCTAGTCCGGGCCCCGCCAGCAGCCCTGCGTGGACTTCCGACCCGGGCCCCTCCAGCAGTGAGCCCCGTCCAACAGACGCGGCGGGGGTGCCCGTCCCTTCGGAGCCGCCGGACCCCGGAACGACTCCCCGACCTGGTCCGTGGCCCGCGCCTGTGACCGACGGTGAGCCCCCAGCCCCGCCATGAGCGATGTGGGGAGGGTAGGAAAGGGAAGAAGCGGTAGGCCCGGCGGCTAAATGGAGCCTCCCGATACAGGGGGAGTCTACCTCGGAACCGCAGCGCAGGCTCGACAGAGGGGCGTCTCTACGTGGCCAGTTTCCTGGAGGCCTCCGTCGTAGTGGCTGTTCAAAGTAGGATGCTGAGCAGTGCGGACTTCTGGCCCTGTCAGTGGTGCAGTTCTGATGTTGTTATTCACCTGTATTTCCCCCAAAAAATTTTTAAAATTAATTTTCCAAAAAAAATTAAACATAAATCTCAACTGTATTTAAACCAATCTTAGTAACATTGTTAAGTGACTTCCTCGAATTCCCCTCGTTGAATTTCAGTGTATATCATTATAACAGTTTTCCAAAACCAATTTTCTTATAAAAATAACTTAATCACTTGACATCTTTCTTTCTTTCTCTTTTAACTTTAAACCTATTAATCTCTAACATGATCTGTTTAAATCCTAAGCCTATCTGGTATTTGCAAGTTTTTCCAATTAAATTATCTTAACATATTTAACTAAATAGTCTTTGAATTTCATCCATTCCCCCTGGTACTCCTCCTTCTGGTTGCAGACTCTTCCAGTCAGGTCGGCTAGCTCCAAAAAACCCATCATCTTCATCTGCCATCCCTCCATTGTAGGGACTTCTTGTGTTTTCCAATTCTTAGCTAACAAAATTCTTGCTGCGGTTGTGGCATACGAAAACAGATTAACATCTTTCTTGGGCAATTCTAAACCTGTTATTCCAAGAAGAAAGGCCTCTGGTTTCTTAATAAATGTATATTTCAACATTTTTTTCAATTCATTATAAATCTTCTCCCAGAAGTCTTTCACCTTGGGGCAGGTCCACCACATATGATAAAAGGTACCCTCCTTTTCTTTACTTTTCCAGCATAGATTATCACTGTTATGATAGATCTTTGCTAATTTATTTTACACGTGTATTGCACAAGTTCAGCCCCTGCTGCTCAGAAGCTGCATCGCTCAGCATTTTGATAGGTGTTGGAGGGACATGCGGCTTCAGGTACCTCTTGCAAGTGCACGCAGCTGGCTGCTCTCTGCCACGGATGGAAGGATGAAGAACCAGGGGGACCTTTGGTTTGCTCTGGGGGGGCTCCTTTCAGTGCGGATGAGTGACACAGCAGATTATGCAGAGCTGTTTTAAAATTAGATACCAAAAAGCAAGCCCATTGGAAACCAAAAGCATTAAAAATCTTTAAAACAGTGGGGATGCAGCCAGCTAAGTCATAATTAGGTCAAGTTCATTTATTTAAGACCCTATTTCGGTATCCCCATTTCAGTATTTCTGCCCCCTTATTGTACATTCATATAAACACAAATTACTAGTATTAAAATGCACACAATAAGCTGCATGAATATGGAGAAGAAGATTTTGAGAGACTATGCATGAAAGCAAGTCCTTTAAGCCTTCTGGTTTTGTGGTTCTGTATATAATAGAAGAAAGAAGTTGGGCCGTATCCAGTATTGCGCCTGGAAGAGGGACTTCCTCCCCCCCCCTTAGGTTTAACATTCAGTACTATTTGTCAAAACCTGTTTGTTTTCAGTGGCCGAGTTGTGTGTCTGTGACCTCCTGGTGGACCAGTGTGATGTAAATTGTTGCTGTGACCCCATATGCACTGCTGCAGATTTCAGCCTCTTCACTATGTGTTCAGTTCCTGTTGTCACGTAAGTGCTTGTACATGCTTCATGGCTTGAAATATAAAGATGCAACTTTGAACAGATTCATAAGTTCAAGAAGGGTCTGTGCTGCAGTACAACCTCAGAATATGGGCATATGTCTGCCTAAAAACCAGTCTGTAACCCCAGTGCAGTGCAGCTTCTGAGCGGAATGGAAAGACGAGCTGGTTCAAATATGCAGCTTTGAACATGGCTTGTAGCACTGTACCACCCCAAAATACTTGGGGGTAGGTACTGTAATTTTTCTGGAAGCTTCCCCACATCAGAATGTCCATGAATGTGAAGGTCAGCAGATCAGTCTCTCTGATGGATGAGTATTCCATATACAGAGTGGTTTTGAAATGGAGATGTGTCTCTCTGAGTATTCTGAGGTGGTACAGCCCCATAAGAGTAAGAAGCTGCATGTTTGAATTAACTCCCCCCCCCCCGGCTTTCCATTCAGGAACTTTTATTTTAATAGTATTCATATAAAATACTTTTGGTTTAGTTTAGATATTAAGAAATGGTGCTTGAGACAGAAAATACATTAAGGATTTTGTATATCTGTTGGGCTGAAATATTTTTCTCATTTTCTTTAAAAAAATCTCTGGGGCCTTTTTCATCTGAAGAGCAGAGTAAAAAATATTTAAATCAGAAGAAAGCTTTTTCCCCCTGGGGTATTTATTAACAGGGCTTTGTTGCAAAGGGAAAGCCATTTTTCAGGCAATCCAAGCTATTGGCTAAGAGGAGTAGAATTGGAGAAACTGAGCAAGTAGAGTTGAATTTGCTCACATACATTAATGTTGCCAAACTTCTACTAGCCAAGAAAGGAACTATCTTGCCCTCTCAACCCCTTTTCTGACTTCTAGGATGTTGCTGACCATTACCCACAGTTTTTCAAGCTAGCCTTGCAGGTGTTAAAGCCACAAACTCACTGTAAGGTGCCAAATGTAAGATGATGTTCTCTGAATATGCCGAGTTGTGCATTTCTGATATGTGATTAATTGCACAAAATCCAGCACAAAATTCCTGGCTTTGATATCCCAGAATTAATTAAAAAGAAGCGTTGGAATGCTTTTCATATCTCCATACCGGAAGGATAATTCTCTACCCATCGAGGGATCTTTTGTAAGGATGCATTTATGTATACAGCATGTGCTATTCATGTCCCACTGCTGCCCCCGCTCTGTCTTATTAAAGCACCACACATTATGCATGGGGAGCTTTGCTCTGGTTTTCTTTCTCTAGGCAATCTAGCTGCTTTCCTCTTAACAGCTGTTTATGCCTCTGGTATTCTTGTATGTTGTGAATGAGACAACCAAATAAAGCCAGGCTCGTTGGTGGCATTTTTGTTGAATACAAATATGCCAGCAAGTTTTTATTGCTGCATTCAGGGCTTGAAACACCGGTTTTGTTCCCTTTTTTTTTTTAAAGAAGAAGATTGCTTGAAATAACTGTGAATTCTGGGGACAAAAGGCCACCCTTATCAAACTATTCCCTTCTCTATACATCAACCCAATCTCACTGTGAGGGCTTATTTCCAGCTCTGTGGGAAATGAATCACCCCATCACTGGGATTGATGCTTGCCATTGTTCTGGCCCACATTGCTGATTGCCACCCACGTTCAGGTACTTTCAGAGCTCTTAGAGACAGCAAAGCAAAAGTGTGTTGAATTTTAGATGAATTTTCTGTTATGAAAAGAAATGTGGCCTTGCCAGTAGAGAGGCAAATCACATGTGTTTATGTTCTGTGCTGTTCCCTCTGGAAAGTGCTGCTAAAATGTCAGGCACTGTACGCAAACACGTCCTTGCATTGACATTCCTCTTACCAATAATCACTTATTAACAATAAATACAAGTTGGAACTAAGGAAAAATTAGAAACTTGAACTTAAAACGAACGATAGAGGTGGCAGGTGAAGCCGCTGCAGGGGAGCTGATCTATAATGTGCTCTCACTGTTTCTGTTAAATTCTTCAGAGGCTCAGTTCCATTCTTATTGGTCATAGCAGTAATCACATGTATCAGGTGAGACAAGAGATTCACTCAAACCTATGTGACTGAGCCAGGATTTGAATCTAGCCCTCAGCAGAGTAAGGCTGGGCAATATCAGCTTTTCAACATTGCAATGTATCACCAGCTAAACATCTCAATATAGTGATACATCATGATGTTGAAAAGTGGAGGGAGGAACAAGCTGCATTCGCCCAGACCCTGTGAGACGCTGGGGTGAAACTGCCTCTGCTCTCTCTTCACACACCTGCCTTTTGGGTGGCAGAAAAAGGGGATCAGAAATTCTCCACAAGGACAATTAAGGTCCCTACAGTTTGTTCCAGTTTGGCTTCTGCTGCTGTTCAGAGGTGGCCGCGCATTTACTCTTCTAGTAAATAGAAAGCTTTCCTTTGTCTCATACAGGAAACCATTCATTACTTTTAACAGTTTTATTTTCATGGGGCTAATAAAAGGAATATACATATATAAACAGATACTGTGATATCACTCCAAAGGAAGGTTGCAGCTTGAAAATCTATTGAACAGTATCTAATATTCCTGGTTAAACTCCTTTGTATGATTTGATATTGTTGCATGACATCAGTAAGGGTCTCCAGCTGTTTTAGACCCTTTTCCCAGAATCATTTGTAATAAATTATCTTTATCATTTATATGCCTTGATTTTAGTGTCTGAGGCTTGAGTGGTGAGCTATAATAGCACGTGGCTGCTGCAGTGTCATGTCTGGTGCCAAAAGCATTCCGTGGGCTGCTCCTGCCCTGTGTTATAAGGATGTCTTATGTAAAAAGAGGTTTGTTTGGTTTTTTTAGCTTTAATTTTTATGTTTGTTTCCCCTGCAGAGGTGACAGGCATCTCTGCAGGCAGCAAGAAGCTCTCTATTCAATAGATCCAACAGCGCATCCTCCAGAGAGGATCTTTCAATTAGCCGACAAGGTCAACCCCAGCATTTTCTGTATTCAGTCCACTAACAGTAAGTAGAGCCAAGTCGGGCATGAATCTCTTGTCTGGTTGATTCTTCAAAGGCCTTGTGTTGAGGGTTGAGATGAAGAGAGAAAGAAGAAGCCTGTCATCTCTGTGTGTGTGTGTGTGTGTGTGTGTGTGCGCGCATGCACACACACACACGGTGGAGAGAGGATGAAAGGGAGACATACAATGTGCCACTCACTAATCTCCAACTTCATACTTTCTCTGTGGAATTCCTTTGCCAGCAATACAGTCATTTTGTCGCAGTGTGTCAGAACTTCCTCCAAGACACTTTAAAGCGTATAGTTGGCTCTTGCTTAGTCTGCTTCGTTTGTCTTTAGTTGCCTTTGCGTATTATGGCAATGTTATTTTACGGTTTTATATTTTTGCCCCTATAATTATCCCAATTATTTCATTATATCCTGCCTTTCAGGATACAAATCCTTCAAAGGTACCTTACAGAAAGCGGTAAACTACTTACCAAAAAGCACCCCCCAATATTTCTTGCTTCTTGCATACTGCCTTCAGTATGTAAATGAAGGGGGGGCTTAAAAAATCTTTTTAAAGTGTTTGTTGTTGTTTGTTTTTTATTTGTGTTATTTTTGTTGAAAAATTAAGAAAATATAAAAATAATAATACTTTAAATAATAAAATAAGTATTTCATTAATACAGTTGATTTACTTTAGAGGGATTTATAGCAGGGTTGGGAAACTAGCCCTCCAGATGCTTCTGGACTTCAGCTTTCATGACTATTGGCTGTGCTGGCTGGAGCTTATGGGTCAGTGTCTAGCAGCTGTTTGGAAGGCCACAGGTCCCCAACCCCGTTCTGCAGGGTGATACCCAACACAAATTTATTTGATTTCAATGTGTCAACTCTTGAGTGTGACTAACATTTGAATATCGCCCCGTCCTGAAGACTTGAAGTTGGTAACAAAAGCTAAAAGCAGCCAAATACACCTGGGTGTATTTCATTGGTTTCTGCTCTAGTCTTCCAGCCCCTGTTAACATGTCTCCTGGACATCGCTATTCCTGCTCTCTGTACATTTATAGGGATCAGGCGCGCCAGCTCCTGTGGGCCAAGATATCTTGGGCCTCCTCAATGTTGAGGAGGCCTTCATGCCGGCATGTTCCTTTGACGATCACCAGAGCGCCTTCGTCAAAGGTGTGCTGGCGATCTCCGCCAGGGAGCCGGTTCGCCCTGGCACATCCTTTTGATGATCACCGGGGCTCCGTCTGGGAAGGTGTGCTAGTGATCTCTGCCAGGGACATGGTGGGGCGAAGTGTCTTCTCCCTGGTGCGTCCTTTTCATTATCACTAAGGCGCCTTCCACACTAAAGCGCCTTGGTGGAGAGGGAAGAGGTGCCTTGATGAGGCAGCCTCAGTCTCATGGCAATGAACAAAAGGTAAGGCAGTGAGCAGTTGGGGGATGGCGGGCCAAGTCAGCCTGGTTGGGTTGGGGTGGCACGCACATGACATCATGCACACACAATGCCCCCCCCCAAATGTTGGGTGCAACTTACAGCCTCTGATGGGGTAGACAGTTTTCTTCCCCTTATGGGTTGGTCCATAGCATGGTCTCAATGGCCATTCACACATGCTCTTAAAGCAGTCTCTACCTTGTTTCCAATCTTGTTGTCCCAATACGTGGTGCCATTTTTCCCGTGCGATCCCAGAACTTCCATGAGTCCCAAAAGTTCAGTAAGAATAAACTCCAAAATTCAGTTAAATGTACTACATTGAAGCGCTCTTTCTTCTCTACCCACCCCCAGACAAAGCTGCCTTATCGTTCCAAGCCCCAGAAATACCTACTATGCACAATTTTGATAGGTTGCTTCAAGAATTTGGCGACAATACCTTTGGTATTGAGAGCAACCTTGCACTGGAGGATGAGTTGGACACCCGGCAGGCTACAAGTACAAACAGTACCAGCAAGTACAAGGTAAAGTGGGGAGGTACATGTGTACACCCATTTTGTTAATTATTTATTCAAAGAAAGCTCTTTAGCCAGACTTTCAGAGTGGCTCACATATCAATGAAAATAGCATAGTTTCTTTTTAGGCTTCCAGTCTAAAAAGACACAGCATCTGAGGAAAAGGGATGTGGAGGGAAAGCAAACTCAAGCACTATATCCTTAATGTCCCAAGGTTCTTAGCATTACCAGCTGGGAAGTGGGGTGGTTATAGTTCAAAATAAAACTGCCTGTGTTTTTTTGTTGACAGTATAACGATCCCATACAGACATCAGATGGGTTCCTAAATCTCCCTGCTCCTCTCTTCCTCGCCTGGTGTACCCACGGTAACCCTGCAGGTCAGAGATTATGTGTTGTCCTTTCCTGGCTCTTTCTACCCTGCTGTTTGGGCTTTATCTGAACAACAACAAATATTGCTTAACTTTGTAAATATGTAACCTGCCTTTCCACCAGATGGCGCTCAAGGCAGCTAACAAGTATTTTTATTTATTATTTATTAAATTTGTATACTTCCCTTCCTCCGAAGATCACAGGTTGTTTCACAACAAATAATATCATTATTACCACTACTAATATATCATATTGCTTAATAATGTCGTTTCTAAGTGTTGTTGCTGCTGTTATTATTCTGCAGTATAATCAATTAAATTGCAGTAAAATGTCAAATAAAAAGCATAAAAGGAAGACAGGTTAAACAGCAGTAAAACCAGGAGAGCAATTACTGAATCTCTGTGTCCATCGCAACATACTTACAGGCCAGCATGTCTAAACAAAAAGGTCCCTATCCGCTGGCAAAACGTTTTAGTGGTTTTGTTTGACCGCCGATGTGCAGTTGGATTTATTAGTAGCCTGAAAAAATATTTTTGGCACTTCTCTTGTATTTTGTGGTTTCTCCAGGGTTTCTTGTGAACCAGGCAGTGAAATGCAACACGATGATCACGGGAGATGCATGCACCACCCTGCCAGGCCTCAGCATGCAGTTCTACACCAGTTCTAGTGTTTTGGCTGTAGGTGATTATTTTGGGAACCAGCCAGAGGGTGGAATTTTGCATGTAGCAAACTGAGGGGTGGGGTAGGAAATCGGGATTGCACGTGTATTTGCTTTTTATTCAGAAATAAAAGTAAGCACCATTTGTAGCGGCAGCTATAACTTACGTTTGCAGGACCCCCAGTTCTCTAACAAGAATTGAATTTCATTAGTGGAGGATTCTGGGATGGAGGCTTAATCGCTTGTCACTTTTGCTAATGCAGCTGTGTCTAAAATGCTTCTTCTTTATTATTCCCGCTAGGCACCAGAGTCAAGTCTCGTGGTAAGTGTCTCTTTATTCTGTTTGAGAGATTTGCTGTTTATATGCGGGCGCTTTGTATTGGATATAGTCTCTTACTACACTGATGCTACAATCAAGGCTTAATTGCCTCTGAATTGACCTTCCAGTTAAGTGGGGCTCTGAGTCAGCCGCCATACCAGTGGTGAGGGCTCTACAATTGTTGGTTGGCTGGGCCAAAAACCTGGAGCCACAAGGCTTCTCTTCCCCTTTCCTTTTCACAATTGCATTCAACACCCCCTCCTGGTCTTTTCTGGAGGAAGGTGCTAGCAAAGTGCACACTGGGTTGGTGGGAGGGTTGCTGTTTAAAAGTGCCCTGAGAGCCTTTGTAAAATGATGATTACTATCTCCCCATGCTGATCTTTCTGAAGAGGAGGGCCATCACAGAGAGGAGGAGTGTAGCTTCAAGTAGTGACATCCAAGTCTCTTCCTCCTCCTCCTCGTCCCTGTCCTTTTCCAAGGGAAGGGTCAGCAGGGGGTGGAGTGCTGGCTTAAATCTTCTTGGATAAAAAGCGCTCAAGCCTTCCCTGCTCTACTTACTCCTCTAAATGTTCCTAAGGTTTTGCATGTGTTTTTGTTCCCCTCAGCATTTTTTGGATTTGTTTTCTTTCCTTCCTGTACATCAGAGCTTTCCAAGCTTTCTCCCACGGAAGCTCTGCGCGTCAGTTTCTCAGCCATGCAAATGTTGTAATTTTCAGAGGGTACTCCCCTAGATAAAGCCCTGAGAAGCTTAGTGAATGTGCCAAGTTCTCTTTGCCTGGTTTGTGGGCAAGATTGCAGCAGCTGGATTTGTTGAGGCTGATCCGTTGTATTTTGCAGGTGAATATCACCATCCAGTCCATAACCGTGCAGAGTCCAGAGGGGCTGCGTACGCGTTTGAAGAACACTGATGCTCTGATTCTCCCCACATTGAATGGTCAGTCATGCAGTAACGTGGTCCTGGAGGTAAGTGTGCAGTTACCATTTCAACTCAGCATTTCTTGAAAAGACAGGAGAAGAGGCTTGTATAGTGGTACCTCGGGTTAAATACTTAAAAATTAATTTAGTTTTTAAAACCTCATGAAGAACTATGTCCACATTAAACACAACCCAATTTTATTTTTATTTTTGAAAAAATGTCACCACAAAAGTCTTTGTGCCTGCCAAGGATTGTAGCCAGCCGATTTTTGTTCAGAATAGACTCATTGGAATTAATGGACCCTTGTTACCAATGTTCATTCATTTCAATGGATCTGTTTTGAGGAGGGCCGACAGTGGATGCAGCCCCTCGTACAGACCCACATACAGTGGTACCTCGGGTTAAGTACTTAATTTGTTCCGGAGGTCCCTTCTTAACCTGAAACTGTTCTTAACCTGAAGCACCACTTTAGCTAATGGGGCCTCCTGCTGCTGCCACGCCGCCGAAGCACAATTTCTGTTCTCATCCTGAAGCAAAGTTCTTAACCTGAAGCACTATTTCTGGGTTAGTGGAGTCTGTAACGGAAGCATATGTAACCTGAAGCATATGTAACCCGATGTACCACTGTACTCCATTCTGGAAACCAGGTGACATGTAGAACTGTAAACAAACTTCATCAAAATAAAAAGCTGGGCCATGCAGACAGGTGGTCTGTTCTATTCCTTACCTTTTGGTCAACCCTTCTAACTTGCATTGAAATATAGCTGCTTAACTCCCCCTGCCCTCTAGATTTCCAGTTATGAACATAAAATAGCAGGCACTTTGCCAGCAGGCGTGAAGAGCTGGTTCTGCTGGACCCATTTTGCTCAAAGGATCAGAAACCAAAGGACTCTCTGTTACGTCTAGAGCAGACTCTGCAAAGGCTGCTCTGGAGAGTTCTCCCAGGAAACGCAGACAGTGCCTTCATTCATTCGTGCTGCATTTTCCTACTGGATTATGCCCAAGGCAGCTGATAACAGCACTGGATGAACAATAGTAACAGTTAAAAACATAATATAAACCATCAAGCCCATTCTAAAATCCTACCTCATGGTGAAGCACTTTCAACTCTGCTGTGGAAAACGCCTAATAACCACGTGGAACTGAGTTTGCTTGGTTTTCATCCCTTGTTACCCTGCCCTACTTTGTTTTCTAAAAAAACTCCTATCCCTCATATTTTCAAATAAGAATTTAATACTGCTTGCAGCTACAAAAAAGGAGCATAAAAACAAAACAGTACATAAAATCAACATCACAATAATGCAACCGTTAGAATATAAAGCAGAAATTTCAGCAAGCAGCCATCTTTCTCCCTCTGGGTTCCCTACCCCACATCAGTATTTGGATTGTATGGGACAAGGACCTGTATTTTGCTTCTGTTACATGATGAGGTGAAATGTATGCCCAGGGCACTATATAAATCGGATGGGCAGTCTTAAGCTCGAGGGCCAAAAGTGGCCCTCCAGGCCTCTCCATGTGGCCCTGGGTACTCCACCCAGGCCACACCTCTTACCAGCCCTACTTCATACCCTTGTGTGTCTTTGACCTCTTGATTTCCTGGACGGAGCGGAGAGAAACTAGCCTGCTGAACAAAAGTAACATTTGCATTTGTTGCTTTGCTCTCTTGTGTCTCTGGCCTTGCCAACTGGTGGCCTGTGCCTTCCCCTGGAAGGTTGCCCAGATGGCAGTGTGGCTCTTGGTCTGAAAAAAGGTTTCCCGTCTTGGATATCTTACCTTGTTACATATAATAAAAATGTAAGGACGTCGCCATACCGCAGTTTGTGTAGCTGCTGAATGATGGTGCTGCAAACTACCGCGTGACAACAGAACAGCAGCGTTGGAGAGTGAAGAGGAGAGAGACATGGGCAGGCAAGCAAACAGGTGGACAGCCCAGGCTAGCCGCTCAGGTGGTGGGTGGCCCAGGCAAGCTGTGGAGGAGCAGCCGTGACAGGCTGGTGGAGCTCCCCACCTCACACTGAAGCCCCCTTTTTGGCTTCAGCGACATTGGAGGCTGAGGAAGAAGGACATGGAGGCAGGAGGGGACTCCAGGCAAACAGCTGAGGAAGTCAGGACAGGCTGCGGCAGCTCCCCAGCAAGTGTCCTGGTCTCCTGTTGCTGCCCTTTGTTTCCCTTCTCCTCACCCTTCTAAATGGTGTTGTCAGTGTGAGGTGGGCAGTATGACGTGGGGGGGCAGGATCAAGAGGAGGAGGACGGAGAGAGTGTGATTTGGGTAAGCTGTAAGGCATGGGTAGGCAAACTAAGGCCCGGGAGGCAGATCCAGCTCAATCGCCTTCTAAATCCGGCCCACGGATGGTCCGGGAACCAGCGTGTTTTTACATGAATAGAATGTGTGCTTTAATTTAAAATGCATCTCTGGGTTATTTGTGGGGCATAGAAATTCGTTCATCCCCCCCCCCAAATATAGTCTGGCCCCCCACATGGTCTGAGGGACGGTGGACCGGCCCCCTGCTGAAAAGGTTTGCTGACCCCTGCTGTAAGGGGAGTGGGGGCATGGCTTGGGGGATTGGCAGGGTTGGCGAGTGAAGTCGGCAGAGGTGGCAGCCCTTAGTAAATGATAAAGAGCTGTGGACCTTCCTGTTCGTTAAGCTGCATTTGTTTTTTGTTTTTCAGGCAAGTTACCTTATTACCTTCACAGAGGCAGGTGAAATTGCCAGTGCGGGTGTATCTTTGATCCTGGGGACCATTAACATGATGGCACGTTTTGTATTGCAGTCCTTTGAGATCCGTTTCATTCAAGTAATTTCCCAAATTATTATTTTTAAGATCCAAAAAGATTTAACAAAACAAAAGTTTAAAAAGGTTACATGATATTATAATATAACACAAATTCAATTACTGTGGCTGCATTCGTCCCATACAATAACCAATCTATGTCTCCTCTGTGCATGGTTAATTTTGCACATTAATTTGTCTAAACATCCATAATCACCTCCTAATATGTTGGTCCTGATGATCATATGATTATTCTAGTTTTTTTATCTTACAGAACTTAACAAACTTTATAACAGCTCAGTCTGTATTTCACCCAACATTGTGTATAGGTTTTGATTACATCTTACACTTTCCCCAGTATCTAATAAATAAACTCCACTTCTCAACAAATCCGTTTTCTTGATATCTTCCTTCTCTGGCCCTTATTAAATTCGTTAATTTAATCATCTTGGTTTAATCAGGCAAGCAATGTCCCAGATTCTTATTAACCCAAGCCTCTATTGACAGATGCTCTGACTTTTTCCAGTCTTGGCAGATAAACCTTTGGGCTGCAGCTTCCCAAAATATTTTTAATAACTTTGTGGGAAGCTGGTTTGTAACAATGTTTTAGAGCTGATGGCGGGTCGGGGCACAGCTGTCTTAAAAAATCAAGGATTTCAGTCACTCAGTGTGTTCCTGTTTTCCCAAAGCATAGGTTCTGAAAATCATTTCTACCTGTGTATCTTCTGCATGTACCTGAAGCAACAATGTAATAATAACATGAGCTCCATTATTCAAATGGTTTACTGCTTAGAAAACAGTAATTCAATTTATCTATAATCCTGAAGGAGATTTTTCCTATTAGCTGCTTGGCCACAAATGGTTAATGGAAAATTAAGTGGTATTGTATTTTGTGTCCCCTCCGCACACAGCAAGAAACTCAGCCTGTTCGTCTCAGCGGAAGCCCTGGTTATGTTGTTGGCCTACCAATAAAAGCTGGATTTCGGACTCCTGGATATCCTTTTTTCATGACTTATCACAGCTCTGCAGAACTGTCCCTGCCTGGGAAAAAGTTACATTTCATAGTGCTCATTTCTTTCAAGGCTGAATCAGTTCCGGCTTATTTCTCTGAGAAATTTTAAGTTGTTCAATCCCGAACTGAAGACAGTAGCCCCATGTGGGAAAGAATACTATGAAATTAGCAATTTCTAAATTTTCTCCTGGAAACTGGTGCCAGACTGTCAGCACAGAATTTACCGTCTTACTCCAGCACACACAACAGAGCATTGCCAATTATCTTGGCTGTTTTGGGAGTTTTAGTGGGATAATGGCCGAGGGTTTTTCTTTTGGTTTTGCCTGTTTTGCTTTTCTGAACTCGCTGAGCTGGAAGAAGCCACGTCATTTTGTGGGTGATGCTTGGCTTTGGGCAAGCTGTTTAGAAGCCGGAGAGCTAGCTGGGCATGGTGGGGCTTGGGCTCTCTGTCCAGCGTGGGTAGGGGGCTGGAGGGGATTCTCCTGCCACCTCTGTATTCTTGCATCTGGCTTTTAGGGGAAGGGGCAGTTAGTAGCTCAATTGCAGGGCACATGCTTTGTGCACAGAAAGTTCCAGGATCAAAGAATGGCCACCGCCTGGAGCAAGTAATAATGCTCTGACAAGGCAGCTCAGAGATTAATAATAATAATAATAATAATAATAATTAATACCCCGCCCATCTGGCTGGATTTCCCCAGCCACTCTGGGCGGCTTCCAACAGAACACTAAAATACAATAACCTAATAAACATTAAAAGCTTCCCTAAACAGGGCTGTCTTCAGATGCCTTCTAAAAGTTTGGTAGTTCTTCTTCTCTTTGACATCCGGTGGGAGGAAGTTCCACAAGGCGGGTGCCACTACCGAGAAGGCCCTCTGCCTGGTTCCCTGTAACTTGGCTTCTTGCAGCGAGGGAACCGCCAGAAGGCCCTCGGCGCTGGACCTCAGTGTCCGGGCAGAATGGTGGGGGTGGAGACGCTCCTTCAGATTCTGGATGTTGTGCAGTTTCCCTTTGACTCTACATTTACATCTGGAATTGTTCAGAGCACAAATGAAGCTGGCCAGCTTACCCTCATGAAGAGCACACCTGCTCAGGATTGCTTAGCTGTGGAAGGAGTCAGAACCCCAGTATTGTTTGGGTACAGCATGCTGTCTGGATGCCAACTACGGTAAGGGCTGAAACCAGTCGACAGGCCATATGCCATTTCCTACTCTTAAAAGGTAAAGGGACCCCTGACAGTTAAGTCCAGTTACGAATGACTCTGGGATTGCGGTGCTCATCTCCCTCTATAGGCCGAGGGAGCTGGCGTTTGTCCGCAGACTTTTTCCCCGGGTCATGTGGCCAGTGTGACTAAGCTGCTTCTGACGCAATGGAACACTGAAACCAGAGCAGCACACAGAAACACCGTTTACCTTTCCGCCGGAGCGGTACCTATTAATCTACTTGCACTTTTTGGAGTGCTTTCGAACTGCAAGGTTGGCAGGAGCTGAGACTGAGCAACAGGAGCTCACCCCATCAAAGGGATTCGAACTGCCAGCCTTTTGATCAGCAAGCCCAAGGCTCAGTGGTTTAGACCACAGCGCCACCAGCATCCCATTCCTATTCTTACTTCCATGCTTAAGAAATTGTTCATCACAATGTTGGGTTGCAAGGAAAATGCTGGCATCTCACTTAGCAGAGTGGCAGAGTTTCATGCCCCTTGGGTGCCTCCATCTTGAATTTGGGACTTTGCTTCAGCAAACATGGTCTAATGCAATTCCTTGACACACACTACTCCCTCCTCCTGCTTTGTCCCTTCCAATACCCTTTGCTTGGGCATTTCTAAGAGAAAGAGAGAGAGATCTCTCCTGTAACAATTTCAGATGTGGTAGCTGTAAAGCTGATTTCCAGCACGCCAGGGACAGGCCCGGCAGGCCCATGAGGCAAGGCGAAGCAAATGCCTCAGCTGGCTGGATCCACAGGGGCAGCAAATTGCGTAGCCAAGGAATGCATTGCCCGCCGCTGCTATTGCAGCAACAGCTGCATGCTCTTTGGTGACCAGATCTGCTGCCTCCTCCTCAGCAGCAGCACCCCCCTCAACGCCACATCTTCAGCAGCCTCTTGTTCCTGGTATAGATCTTCAATCACCCCTTCTTCCCTGGTGTGTTTGGGGGAGCCATTTTGTGGTTCGCTTCAGGTACCAAAATGTATTTGGTCAGCCCTGGCCTGTGGGGTAGGCACTTGCCACCCCCTGCTCAAAGTGTCATTCTGGCAAAACTGAGTTGCCAGCCAAGGTTGCATTTCCACTGTTAGGGCAATTGCCAGTTTACTGACTGCAGACCCCCTCTTTGCATTTATGCTAACTTCTTTGAAATGAATGAAACTCACCTTTTGACTCGGGTAGACAAAATGGAGGAATGGGAACGGTGTAAGTGGTTTTCTGTCTCTCCCCCCCCCCCAAATATACAACCCCGCCTTACATTGCCGGTAGCACCGTCGCATTGATTAGAATAGCCAAATATGGGAATGGCGTGGTTAGACTGCTTCACAGGTAGCCTTTAAGTGCTGCTCTTGACGAGTGGTTCATTAGTTGGTTGCCGTCCAGCACTGTTGACGCAGAAATTTCTTTTCTGAAAGAATTACCAAGGATGCGGACTGCAGGCTCTTGGCCCCAGCGCTCCTGAGTGTGCTGAGGGGTCAAAACTTCCCAGACTACGTGGCCTCTTTTGGAGATTCTCTGCCCCAGAATGAACTGGACTGGCTGCAAATTTCTAACAACGTCACCGAAGCGGTAAGAGTGTGTCCACCCTGCCCTAAGTCAATATGGGTAGCCATCAGGTAATTTTACTACTTTTGGCTCTCTAACTTCTTCAGCTGACTCAGCTGCATTTTAAGTTCTGTCTTTATCTGGGGAAATGTAACAGCTGCAATCCAGGAGGGTCTTCAGTAGCGTAAGTGGGGATGGGGATCCATTTCAGGCAGTTGGAACGAGCCTGAAGTTCTCTCTTTTTTTGCCAATGATACCTTGTAGCTAGCAAAACGTCTGTCTCCTTTTTCAGAGCACCTGCGAAATTCCCGTGTCATTTCAAATAGAAGTGAAATGGACTAAATATGGCTCCTTAGTTAACCCCCAGGCAAAAATCGTGAGTCTCACGGCAACGGTAATGACAGCCGCCTTGCCCCAGGTGGGTGGCGATCTCCTGTGATAGAAGGGAGCTCCTCGCATGTATTTTTAACTAAATTGGCTTTCACATTTGCAAGGTTCCATGTCTGTGTATGAGACAGATGTCTGGCTAATGAAACTGGCTTTTCCCACTCAAAGGGAAATCTTGGCACATTGAAGGTTCTGTTCATGCTTCCGCTCTAAAGGTGGCATTGAAGTTGTCACCCCAGTATGCTTAGAAGGAAGCTTTATGGACTCCTGGGGTTCTGTAGGAGGACCTGCTGAGCAGCCGTCCTTTTTAGCTGTGGCGGTGGCTGGAACCCTGCAAGTTCCTTGTGGCTAAAGTGGAAAGAGGGAGGAAGGGACTCTCAGAAATATGGGTGGAATGGAAAAAGAAAGAGAGGGAGGGGAAAGAGAGAGGTCCTTCTCAGCGGCCTGTTTTCCCCAGCTGCCCCCTCCCCACCCTTGCACTTCAGAAGTCAGCCAGCCAATCATTCGGCACGGGAGAGACACTTCCACTAGCCTGTTTGGGCCTCTTTGCATTGCATGTTTCTTTCATTAACTGCCTTGAGCTTTTATGTTGGTAAAGCAGGAGAATAAATGTGATTGAACAAGCAGCACGGGACTGCTGCTGAAAGCAACCACTGCCCCTCTCTCCCCGTGGTACAGCTTGCTTTGCCCGCTGGTGCCCATGCCCTGTCTGAGTTCTCCCATGGCCACGTACCCTTGGAGCAGCCAGTGATGTGGCGCTGGAAATAGGGCATGCAGTATAATGACATCAGGACTCAGGGTAGATTGTTCTACGTATTAACAAGGAGCAGGGGCAACAAGATGCAGAGTTGGCATTTTCAGCAGGAGCCCTGTGTTTCTTGCATTTTATCTCTCCAGCATGCCTGTTGTGTCTTCCTTTCAGTTCTGAAACTAGCTGCTGCTAAACCCCACAATAGCTGGAAAGGAAATGTTTTTGTACTGAGTTGGTGCTCTAAACAAGCACAGTCCTGATCTTAAAGCTCTCCTGATCTTGGCTCCTTATCATATATATTCTGCCAGCTAACACTGACACAACCACCTCTTTTCTTTTGGAGCTCAGCATTTGATCTGTTCTGCATGATTCATTCTGTGAAGTGAAACTTTTCTTTCCTGTCCTAAGCGGAGCCAGGGTGTGGAATGCATCTGCCTGTCTCTTGCAGGTTGACTCAGGAAGCGAACAAACAATCCAGATCTTCAGCTCTGCCACTTTTGTTGACGTCTCTGCGCCTGCTGAGCCGGGTTACAAAGCACGACCAACCATCGAAGCCAACTTGCCCTTCGACTTTTTCTTCCCATTTGTTTAGTCGCAGCGTGAGCTGCTTCTTCTTCCTTCCTTTTCTCAATGCGAGAGCGAACCAGGTTTCAAACCACTCTTCCACTGGGATCAAAGATCCCTCCAAAATATTGACTGGCTGCATGTCTGAAAAGGGAGTATATGGGGAAAGGAGCCCCAAATAAGCCGTGGCAGGGTTGGACTAGAGGAGACAACAGCAGCAACTCCCCTCCATAATCCTGTTTAGCAGTGAGAGAGGGGGGTCCTTCGGCAAACGCAGCTTCCATCATGTGCTGCAGTGGAAGTTTTGTGGAGTACAGCTCAACTCCTGTGCTGTGCTTACCCCCCCAGGACAGAGCCATTCCTCGCCTCCTCTTGTAATACGTGGGCAGGGAATTGTAAAGGAAGGAGCCGTGAATCAAGATGGCTATACTTTGCTTCCTCCTCTCCTGGGAAGCTCCAGTTCCCACCACTACTGCCTCCCCCAAACTCACACACTTGGATTGTACTACACACCTTGATATTTCTTCTGAATTTATTTTCCCCATGTTTTCCATTCTTGAGGACTACTAACTCCCCAAAGCCCACTGCATGTTCCTATATTCATTTCCATGGTCCTGCAAGTAGGAACAGCTTATTGTAAGACATTGCTTTATTATTTTATTTTATTTTATTTTTTAGACTAAAGGAATTGCTGTGTCAGGCACACCCAGGAATTTGGGGGGAGTTTGGGGGAAAAGGCCACTGACTCACCTGCCATCCATCCACCTTCCTCTTTAGGTACTTCAATAGTAACTTGCAGTTTTGTGAAGCTAATCAATGTCAACCAGTTTCACAGATTTGACTTTTATTAAATTATTTTTGCTATTTTTTAAAAACTGTACAGCTGTACAATTAAAGATTGTAATAATTGGTTTTCAGATATGTGGATTTTTTTTTTCAAGACTTGAGTCTTAACAAGCAATAGGGATAGAATATTGTTCTAGGCATGGAAGGGAATGTACAAAAGAGTATGTTCAAAATGGCACAGTATGGCGGCACTGGCTCCGTTGGGCCCTAGGATGGCACCTTATCTGGACTGGCCGACAAGTCCATGTTGCTTCAACACAGCATTAAGCCTTTCAATTTCCAGCTCCTGTTGGAGAAGAGTAATTCTGAGGTCAGTTTGGGAGGCTATGAGGAACTACAGGACATTCCCCCAGCTTTGAGGTGCGGGGGAAGAAGCAAAGATGAAAAAATGTCAAAACTTAATCACTTTGTAACAGCCTCTCAAACAGCTTTTCAGAAGGCTAAATGGAAAACCAGCCTAGGTGAACACTCAGCATAAATCACATCCTAGGAATAACCTGCACATCTTTTGAGCTTGTGCGCTGTAATGGAGAACAAATTATATGCAGCCTTTGATTGCTTGCATCACCCACTAATCCTCTGCAGCACAAAGAGGCAGCCAGCTTATTCTGCCCCAGTCAGGAGTGGCGGATTCTCACTGGCTACCCTATGAAACCCCCACAAAAGGCAGGCACTGTGAACATGCATTAGGTCCATGTGCTAGCTGCCATCTGTCAATTCCAGGGATGGGACCTTGGGAGCCCAAGACTCTGAAGGGCACCAATTTCACAGTAGGGTGGCCAACAGCCAGGGGTGATGGCAGCTCTGATCCAGGAACATCTTGAGCGTTACGGGGTCCCTCTACTTGCTCTAGTCAGTGGGAGCACATTGCAAGATCCACCTGACTCTCCACGTCTTAAAATACGGTGATTTGTTCAAGAGCGCTTACCCATCGTGAACCCAAACGCCTGTTTAGACAGTTAAGGGAGCCTGGAGCGCAGAAGCAAAACTTGAGAGATAGCAGGGGGAGCATCAGCTTAGAGGGGCTCTTGATGTTCTCACCTCTCAAAAGGAATACATCAGTGATGGGGAACCTCCAGCCCATGGGCCTAATCGCATGGTCCGTGTCCTAACTTGTCACATGCATCTGCTTTCCCTAAGCCAACTCGCCCGCCATGTGCCTGGCATCTATGAGGTTCGGTGATGGGCTGCTAAAGCTGCTCCCTGTCCTGTGCCTTTGCTGCTGTGACTTAATTTCAAGCTGACTCAGTTACATGCAGCTGGATCAGAGCTTCAGCCACTGAAAACATGGCCTTACCTTCTCTGCACAGCTAGCTTCCATCTCCTGGACCTTTAGGGTGAGTTGCAGGTTGGCTTGCTTCAGCTTGGACATCTGCTGCTCAGACCGTGTTTTCACCGACAAGATGATTCCTTGGGGAATGGATACAGAGGACAAGAAAGTTAGCCAGGCCCTATTGGCTGAGACCCAGGGATCTCCTTCACAAGCTCTTTACAGCGGTTATCCTCAGAACTGTCCTCTAGGATGTTCCTCTCACCGGAAAGAGGAGAGGGAGGCTGGAGAGGAAGCAGCTGGAGCTGAATCAAGGCCCTCCAGCTGCAGGTCCAGTTTTATCTGTTGGTTTGCAAGCAATTATATCTGTTGGTTTGGGACGCGGGTGGCGCTGTGGGTTAAACCACAGAGCCTAGGACTTGCCGATCAGAAGGTCAGCGGTTTGAATCCCCGTGATGGGGTAAGCTCCTGTTGCTCGGTCCCAGCTCCTGCCCACCTAGCAGTTCGAAAGCACGTCCAAGTAGATAAATAGGTACCGCTCTGGCGGGAAGTTAAACGGCGTTTCCATGCGCTGCTCTGGTTCACCAGAAGCGGCTTAGTCATGCTGGCCACATGACCTGGAAGCTGTACACCGGCTCTCTTAGCCAATAAAGCGAGATGAGCGCCACAACCCCAGAGTCGGTCACAACTGGACCTAATGGTTAAGGGTCCCTTTACCTTTACCTTACCTTGCAAGCAGACTGGTATTGCCAAGCGTTATGGGCTAAGTCACAAGAATCTACATGTGGAAACAGTCTCAGCAGACCCAAGGGAAGAATGGCGATAGAGGCGGCAGAAAGGGTGAAAACAAGGCAGTGTGTGCGCGTGGGACAAAGCCACAAGCAGTGTGCACTCCTGTTAGGAAGGGCCTGGAGGCCTGGGAAGAGAGGTCAAGGATACCAGGAAGAGGGGGCTGGATTTGAATGATCCAGAAGTCTCTGGAATTCCTCTGCCCACAATCAAATTCTGCTATACAATCTACTTTAGAACAATGGATCAAGGATATTGATTGCCAATATTCTTTCTCATGTGCTCACAGAATTTGCTCTCTAGTATTTTTTTTAGTTTAACATGCGTCTTCTAGATATGCCACATATCTAGGTCATTTGACAAAGTATCGCCAGGCCTTTTCTAGGCCCAGATATAACCACCTCCCTTTACAGTACAAAGAGGCGTCCCATGTGAGGACTGTTTGTGTCCTTGTGGAGATAGGAAGTAGTCAAAACTTTGGGTCAGGTCTTTGTTGAATGTAATCTTCATAGAGAAGGTCACAAGAGATTATTCCCCGCTCCAAAATAAGGAAGCATCTTGGAAGGTCACTGGAACAGTACTCTGGATATTTCTCGGCTGATACAAACAAGTTAATAACAGAGATAATGGCCAACTTCCTGTTCTCTACTCAAAGGTCTTGTACACTGATTCTAACTGCAATTTGTATCTCAAATTTTATCTTTGTACTATGTACTATGTAATATATGTTTTAGTCATTTGCTTCATGTTGTAAGTGAATGTTTTAAATTGTCAACTGTTCTATTTTGATGGGTCTGTGGCCAAATAATAAAATGATTAAGAAGAAGCCTAGCTGCAAGTTTGTTGTTCAGGCAATACTTGGGACGGCAAACAATGGCTTCCTTCAAGAAATTCCTGCATGGGTATTAGTGCCTGTGTACTGTGAATGGTTCCATACCAAAATCCATCTATTCCTCAAGATTTACCATTTATAATCCTGGCCACTCTCCACAGTCTAAGAAGGATCAGTAATCCAAGTGCTTCAAACTCATGCTCCCGGAACAGAAGGACAATGTCAAGAACGAATGAGATGATGACAACGATGGCGTCCAGGACCTCAAACTTGTGATGGAAGAACTCCAACCGGTAGGTGAAGAGTTTGAAGAAAATTTCCACCAGAAAGAGGGTGAGGATGCTAAGGCTCAGGTAGTGGAACACCTGCCAGGGTGCAAAGAGGGCAAGGCAAAGGTTAATACACTTTTAAGAATACCTGGAAAGCAAGCAGTAGATTTTGAGTGAGGAGGAGGATAATAATAATAATAATAATTTTATTATTTAAACCCTGCCCATCTGGCTGAGTTTCCCCAGCCATTCTGGGTGGCTCCCAATCGAGTGTTAAAAACAATACAGCATTAAATATTAAAAACTTCCCTAAACAGGGCTGCCTCGAGATGTCTTTTAAAAATAGGATAGCTGCTTATTTCCTTGACATCCACAGGGCAGGCGCCACTACCGAGAAGGCTCTTTGTCTGGCTCCCTGTAACCTCACTTCTTGCAATGAGGGAACTGCCAGAAGGCCCTTGGAGCTGGACCTCAGTGTCCGGGCTGAACGATGGGGGTGGAGACGCTCCTTCAGGTATACTGAACCAAGGCCATTTAGGGCTTTAAAGATCAGCACCAACACTTTGAATTGTGCTCGGAAACGTATTGGATATACAGCCGTACCTTGGAAGTCGAATGGACTCCGTTCCGGAAGTCCGGTCAGCTCCCAAAACGTTCGGAAACCAAAGCGCGGCGTCTGATTGGCTGTAGGAAGCTCCTGCAGCCAATCAGAAGCCACGGAAGCCCCATCGGATGCTTGGCTTCCAAAAATAGTTCGCAAACCAGAACAGTCACTTCCGGATTTGCAGCATTGAGAAGCCAAAACATTCAGGAACTAAGCTGTTCGAAAACCAAGGTACGACTGTACTGGTTTTATCCAGTGGCTCTTTTGCTACTGAAATCCAACCTAGCCGATGCAATATTTACAGCACTTGTTCCAAGATCTGTTTGCAGAACAGCATAGGGATGCTATTGCTTCATCCAGAGTTTCAAATACTTTCCCCAGCTTTAGATTCTACCATGGGGAAGAGAAATACCTACTGGAGCTAAATCTACCTTTATTCCACAAAGCATTTACAGCCCTATAAAGTCTTAATTTTCTGGAAGGGAGATTCAAGAAAATCCCCAGAGATCAACCCGTTTTGCATTTGTGGAAGACCCTTCCACTGAGAACTCCACACGCTATGCAATATACTCTGAACTGTACAAAACATCTAGGCATAAAGATTCAGAGAAATATTTAGCATTGCTTGCTACCCTCATGGTTATGGATAAGATTAAATATCTGTTGTCCAGTTCAGATAGGTCTGCAACATCTAAATTCGCAGTGCTAAATTCGCAGTGAAGCCTGCTCAACTTACAAAACGCCTTCTGGCCTCCCTTGAGATCTAAGATTCTGCTTTTTTAATGTATGTTTCATTTATTATACAGGTCAAGTTTTTATCTTTATATAGGGTTATTTGATATATTTCAGGTTCATACATTTCTACTAGGCTCCAACCTGTAGCGGGATGCGGGTGGAGCTGTGGGTTAAACCACAGAGCCTAGGGCTTGCCAATCAGAAGGTCGGCGGTTCGAATCCCCGCGACGGGGTGAGCTCCCATTGCTCGGTCCCTGTTCCTGCCAACCTAGCAGTTCGAAAGCACCTCAAAGTGCAAGTAGATAAATAGGTACCACTCCAGCGGGAAGGTAAACGGCGTTTCCGTGTGCTGCTCTGGTTCGCCAGAAGCGGCTTAGTCATGCTGGCCAGATGACCTGGAAGCTGTATGCCGGCTCTCTCGGCCAGTAAAGCGAGATGAGCGCCGCAACCCCAGAGTCGGCCACGACTGGACCTAATGGTCAGCGGTCCCTTTACCTTTTACCAACCCGTAGCAAACTATGGGATGTGTGGGTCACATGTACATACACACCTTCCCATATCTGCTTTACAGAGAAAGGGCACTACACATATCTCTTCAAGTATATATATGCATCTCTACAGGTCTAGCAACTGGCTTATTTTAAAAATGAGAAGTTAAGGTTCTGAGGAAGTTGGATTCCACACCTCACAGAATTGCAACACACTGTCTACACGAACCATGATTTATTTGCAGATTCCTCCCCTATTGCCTTTACCTTGGGTGCAATCTCGTGCTTGTCAGGGTGGATGATTTTCAAGTCCAAAAGCAGTTCCCCGAGGACCAGTATGGCGTCCAAAATAACCAGGCAGACAACTAAGATCTGGGGGAGGAAGAATCCAGACCAGAATAAATAAGCAAACCTTTGAAGCCAAGCAGAAGATTGCAAAGTCAAGGCTTGGTGTTCATCAGCCATGGAAGAAAGGTGGCAGCTGAGATGAGGCAAAAGCTGTGGCTCCAGTATGGTGGTGTAGACCATTAGGCTCTGCACCAAGGAGACCTAGAGAATAACTTGGCCTTGGGCAGCTCACTGTCTTTCAGCCTAGTGCAGGGGTCAGCAAACTTTTTCAGCAGTCCACTGTCCCTCAGGCCTTGTTGCACACCCACCAGCCATATAGTTGGCGGGGCGCGGCTTCCATTCTAAGCCTCTGCAGTGATTGCTTTCCTCCCGTGGAGGCTTGAGAGGCAAGCTGCACGCCCGCCAGCCATATGGTTGACGAGGCACAGCTGGCGGGTGTGCAGGGAAAGGGGAGGCCGCCGGCAAAGCTGCGCAGCTCCTCCACTCGCTGGGGCGCCCCTAAGAGGCCAGCGCCCTGGCGCAACGCGCCAGTAAGCCCAATAGGAAAGACAGTTCTCAGATTTGGTTTGAAGATCCGCATTCATTCCCTGGTAGATACATACCTAGGCTTCCTTGTGCCATTGGAGCTGTACCAGTGCTCCCCAGTCCCTTATGCCCAGGGCAAGGAGCTCTGCTGGGGCTCCCAGAGGAGCCTGCCCAACTCGCTGCCACCCAGAGAAGCAGAGAAGGTGCATCTAGATCTGATCTGATCTAGATGCACCCCTGTTCCCTGTCTTCCTAGACTAAACGACTTTCCCAGAACTGAGGAAGGCGAAGGGAAAATTAGGTTGAGGGGAGAGTTTGTGAAATTACAAAAAGTATACTGAATCAAAAATTGAACGTTGACCAAAATTAGTTTGTACATTAGTTGGAAAATAGCCCTGGATTTTCACATTTTGGGCTATTGTGTACAATCAGGTTTTTTTCCACATCACATTTTCTACCCACCTTCACCAGGATGGTGGTGTACTTTACATTTTTAAAATCACTTTATTTTAAAACTGTGTGGTTTGTTGTTGTTTTTTACTATAGTACCACCCATTTTATAGAGACTCAAAGCCTGACATTTGAAAGCACTTGATTTTCCTTATGTGGAATTTCCATTACGTGATCAATTTATTTGCCAGAGATTAAAGGTGTGTGTGTACACATCATTTCACTTCTGGTTTACAAATGAGTCAGGTATGTTAAGGTACCAGAACATAAAATGAAGTAAGAATAAGAAAACTGCAAAACGGGCCATTTGCCAAGAGGCCTGCCAAGTGGGCAAATATTGCACAATTTAAGGACAGATTTAATGGGAAGATACTCAGTGGGAGATCACATGCGTTGCATGCAGAAGGTCCCAGTCTCAAGCCTTAGCATTTCCAGGTAAGGTTGGGGAACAGTCCTGTCTGAAACCCTGAAGTGCTGCTGATAACAGTACTAAGCTAGAGGAACCACTGACGGTAATAGGCACTTCCTGCATTTCTATGGCTGCCCGGCTCCCCTGTTTATGCTTGCTATGCAGCAGTCTCAACAACTTGTCCACCTTCCATTAATGCTTTTCCTAAACTGGCGCCATCCATTTGCTTTCCAGTAACATGCAAGGTTCCATGCAATGTGCAGGACCTCTAATGGATTTTTATACAGATTGTCCATTGTCCATTTCAGCTGCATCAAGTTTGCAGAAAAGATCTTGGCCAACGTATGCTGCTGGCTCAGCCTTTCAAAACAGGCCAGCATCATAGCTGTCAACCGCCCCTTATTTAGTGGAAAAGTCCCTTATCCCAGCACCATGTCCCGCTGCTGTCCCTTATTGATGATGTCCTTAAATTTCCCAGGTTTCAAAGGAAGCAGCTCCTCTCCCTCCCTCCCTGCCGGCCAGGGAGGAGGGAGGCTCCAACTGTGTTGTTCGGCTGCGTTGCTCACCCAATAAGGAGTCTGAGAACGACTGAGGGGGGTGGAGCTTGCATGCCTTGTGCCAATCAAATCGGCCGCGTTGCCTGGGGACTCGCCTTTGCTCAGTGCTTCCCAGCGGAGAGGTGACAGTGGTTTTCCTTGCTGCATCCCCTTTGCCAGGTTGCTGCGCTATGGGAACCACCACTTGAGGCTTCATTTGGCTGCTGATCCCTTATTTTCGAGGCTGCTGGTCCCTTATTTTCAAATCTGTAAGTTGACAGCTATGGCCAGCATCTATGAGGGTGTTGAGCCGGAGCACTGAGGAGAGGCATGAAATCCGCAGGTGTCACATCTGCCTCTTCATTTGAGAGATGTCAATTAAACTCTGTCCAACCTTTGCTATTTTCAGGGCCGTCTTAACCATAGGCACCAGGGGTGTGGGGCCAGGCCGAGAGTCTGGGGCCCAAGAGTTGGAGTTGGGAAGATCCTGCCCATCGGTCGGAGCGTTGCAGCGGGCTCTTCTGCTGCGGGCAGCTTTGCGCCGCCTTCCTGCGCATCTGGGATTGGCATAGGGCCGTGGAGAGGCCCACGCTGCTTACACCACGAGGCGACCAACTTTGCTCAATCGCTGACGCCTCAGGCTGGCTTGTTGTGCTGGGCCCCTTATGTTTCCTGTTTTCTTTTCTTGAGCAGAGATAAGTGTGGTGGTATCCTGAGAGATCTGCATTGGCTCCCAGTACGTTTCTGAGCACAATTCAAAGTGTTGGTGCTGACCTTTAAAGCCCTAAATGGCCTCGGTCTTGTATACCTGAAGGAGCGTCTCCACCCCCATCGTTCAGCCCGGACACTGAGATCCAGCGCTGAGGGCCTTCTGGCGGTTCCCTCATTGCGAGAAGTGAGGTTACAGGGAACTAGACAGAGGGCCTTCTCAGTAGTGGCGCCGGCCCTGTGGAACGCCCTCCCTTCAGATGTGAAGAAAATAAGTAGCTATCTTATCTTTAAAAGACATCTGAAGGCAGCCCTGTTTAGGGAAGTTTTTAATATTTAATGCTGTATTGATTTTAACACTCGATTGGTAGCCGCCCAGAGTGGCTGTGGAAACTCAGCCAGATGGGCAGGGTATAAATAATAAATTATTATTATTATTATTAAAGAAAGTCCACAACTCTGGGGAACCTTCGCTTTAAAAAGGTCAACAACTTTTTGGGGTTGCATGATTAATTTTTTCTTGGCCCTGTCACATATATTGCTATGCTACTGCAACTGGAATTTTTCTTTATATGTTGATTTACAACCTAGGGATAATTGTAGATGAGCATTCTACTAGCAATACAAGCTGCCCACACCCATCTTTGGGCTGCAGGATATCAGCACTGTCGAAATGCTGTGGAATTTATTCTACCAGCTGCTCCATGGCAACATCCGAAGTCACAGCCTGTTCCTGGGTTTTTTGCGTCTGCTAGTAAAATGCTTTCAAACAGTTTGTACGGTGCTTTCTGTTAGCAGCTAGATAGTCAATATTCCATGAGCATGTGCCGCATGCAGTGTCTTGTCATTCACAACAAAACCTCTCAAGTTATCTTGAAGATGTGCTCTTTGCCCTCTTTCTAACAGATTAGGCACAGATTCCAGTTCAGGAGCTTTGTGTTTTGTCTTGTGGTTCTGTCTGAAGCTGGTGCAGATGACGATTCAGCTGGTGGTGGTCTCTTTGACAACGCGGCCTTCCTGGCTGTTTTAGACCTTGAGGAGAAGACTTGTGTATTTCTTTCAATTGATTGACTTCACACCCCAGGGAAGCAGGACCCCACAACATTGATGTGCTGAGTCAGTGAATTCTGCCTCTAAACTTGGTTCTTTCCAAGTTTGCAAGTCCTCCCTTGCTTGTAGGTCTCATACCCTCATGGGTGAACTCTTGACAAAAATACAGTGGTACCTCAGGTTAAGTACTTAATTCGTTCCGGAGGTCCGTACTTAACCTGAAACTGTTCTTAACCTGAAGCACCACTGGAGCACGATTTCTGTTCTCATCCTGAAGCAAAGTTCTTAACCTGAAGCACTATTTCTGGGTTAGCGGAGTCTGTAACCTGAAGCGTATGTAACCTGAAGCATATGGAACCCGAGGTACCACTGTACACAGATTTTGGTCTCATAGGTTACCAGCAGGGAACTGACAGGATTCACTGATTTTTACACACAAAGTCATGTAAAAGGAGGTGAAGTGAGTGTGACTGATGAAGCCACAGGGATTGAGTGAACAAGAATCTAGGATGGGGATCACAAGATCCAGACAAAACACTGGATCAAACAACTCTCAGCTATCTTTCTAATAGCTGTCTAAGAACTATCTAACAACTATCTTTCTAACTACCCAATTCCATCCCTCTTTTTCTAACCGCATGATCTCCAGCCTTGCAACTGACCACCCAAGTCTCTTCATCAAGTTCTCTTTTCCCAAGCTCTACTCTCTTAGCAGAAAGTCTGTGGCTCCTAAAGGGGCAACCCACTGGGCCTGCAGGCCAGCACTGTCTACAGACTCCTCCCTGACACTCTCCCGAAGGACATGGCAAATACGATGCACAATTTCCACGGCAGATCTCAGGTGACTGCAACTGTAGGCGTTGCATGGAGGGCAACCAACTCCCTGACCCATCTGGGACAAAGTGATTGACCGCACTAATTCAACATAAGGAGGAAAGAATGTGCTTTGAATTTCACATATTTGCAAAACACGTGTCATAAAAGTAATTGCTTCTTAAATTATAATTATGAGCCAAATTTTAAACTTTGAAGTTCAGTGTCATCCTTTAAGAAGGTGATTAGAAAACGTGATATGGAAAAAGTGTGTTTTATTGCTGCTCCAAACATGCTTGTACAGTGGTACCTCAGGTTAAGTACTTAATTCGTTCCGGAGGTCCATACTTAACCTGAAACTGTTCTTAACCTGAAGCACCACTTTAGCTAATGGGGCCTCCTGCTGCTGCCGGAGCACGATTTCTGTTCTCATCCTGAAGCAAAGTTCTTAACCTGAAGCACTATTTCTGGGTTAGCGGAGTCTGTAACCTGAAGCATATGTAACCTGAAGCGTATGTAACCCGAGGTACCACTGTAGTGCCTTTGAGGAAAAGGACACCGCAAGAACAAAAAAAATTGTGATTACCAGGAAAGCGCACAAAGTATTTGGAGACCCCAAGTTGACTGGGAGTTCAATTGCTCCTGCTGGTGACAATGACTGGTTATTCATGGTCACCAATTTAACCCTAGCCTCTGTCTTCTTTCCCTTCAAAGCTGGGCACTCCATACAACACTGAGGTCTCCTGGCCACCAATGTTTCCATGCACATAAGAGCAGGTACCTGCCACGTACCTGAAATTTGTGTGACTGGAACAACTTCTTCATCACTTCCCGGAAGGTGGGGGTCCTGGGGGAAGAGTCGATTTTGACAGCCGTCTCAGGGGTCTTTGCTTCCTCTTCCATCTCCTCTTCCTCCCATTTCCTGTAGTCATTGTTCCACTGAGCAGGATCATCCCCCACCACGGTGAAATGCTTCAGGTACATGGACATGGTGGCAGCTCAAATGGGCATCACCCTATAGAAACACACTGTGGAGGGAAAGCTTGAGAGCATCACTGCCTGAGAACATGACAGCTGAACTTCCTCTAAGGAATGACAGTACAAAAGGATAAGAAGAAGAAGAAGAAGAAACCATGTGATCTCACAGTAAAAGACTTTTTTTTTTTTAATGTCTGGATTGTGTGTGGGGGGATGATACCTACTTCCCCATTCAGAGTTTGGAAATATCTGAAGCACCCTTGGAACAAGCTGCATTTAAAAACTACCAGCAAGTTCCTAGGCCTCATGGTTGAAGAGGTAGATTCAGAACCACTGTTTGGTTAAGAAGAAGAAGAAGAAGAGTTTGGATTTGATATCCTGCTATATCACTACCCTAAGAAGTCTCAAAGTGGCTAACAATCTCCTTTCCCTTCCTTCCCCACAACAAACACTCTGTGAGGTGAGTGGGGCTGAGAGACTTCAAAGTAGAGTGACTAGCCCAAGGTCACCCAGCAGCTGCATGTGGAGGAGCAGGGAAGCGAACCCGGTTCACCAGATTACGAGTCCACCGCTCTGAACCACTACACCACACTGGCTCTCTTAAGCAGGGGTGTTCCTGGGACCAACCCAATGCCCTATGTTTTGTTACCTGCCCTGTGCGGAGTTGCTCCTGGTGGAGACCGTTTATTATGCGTGTCTTTTGCTATTCCACCACACAAGGGCAACATTCAGCATCCTAAGAATTCCCCTCCCCTGTAAAAGAAGTTTCTAGTCTTTAAGGCTGCAATGGCTGATGGGATAAAAGAAATCAGAGGAAGGGGACATAGGCTCAAGAGTAGAGCACCTTGGAGAAAGTCCATGTTTAATTCCTGGCACCTCCATTTAAAAGGATCTTGGGTACCAGGGCTGGGAGAGAGGTCGAAAGAGGCCTCAAAAGCCTCACTGATACAGACTGGGAAGAGCACTGGGGTAAGGTAAAGGTAAAGGACCCCTGGACGGTTAAGTCCAGTCAAAGGCAACTATGGGGTTGCGGTGCTCATCTCGCTTTCAGGCCGAGGGAACCGCCGTTTGTCCACAGACAGCTTTCCGGGTCATGTGGCCAGCAGGACTAAACCGCTTCTGGAATGATGGTACACCGTGATGAGTGCCAGAGCACATGGAAATGCCATTTACCTTCCCACCATAGCGGTACCTATTTATCTACTTGCATTGGCGTGCTTTCGAACTGCAAGGTTGGCAGGAGCTGGGACAGAGCAGCGGTTTGGGGTAATAGCTCAACTTGGTAGAAAGTAGCTTCCTGGTCCCATCAGCACCAGAAATTTAAAGCCCTATGATACCACTTTAAACAGTCACCCCCCTGCCCCAAATCCTGGGAACTACAGGGTGCTGAGAGTTATTAGGAGACCCCAATTCCTCTGTCTAAGCTGCAATTCTCAAAGTACCTTGGAAAGAGTGATTGTGTTAAACTACTGCGGGGGGGGGATTGTAATTTTGTAAACTGCTTTGAGGTTTTCTTACTATCAAGTAGTATATAAATTTTCAACCAACCAACCACCACCTGCTGCTTTATAAATAGAAACCAACCAAAAAAACAAACCTCAAAAGCCCCTGTCCAATCCAAGAGGAACAATCTTCATTTTTGGTGGGTGGGTGGTAGTGGAAGGGTGAGGAGACAAATGAATAAGGTTTTAAGGCAAGCAAATGGGAGTATGCAGGCTTAAGAATATCAGAATAGTCAGGCTGCTGGATCCGACCAAAGGGCCATCTTCCAATCCAGTATCTGGCTTGCCACAGCAGCCAACCAGATGCTGCCACAAAGTCCACAACCAGGACTTGGGCACACCAATCCCCTCCCCAGAAACAGGATAGAGTGGTGCCTCGCAAGACGAAAAGAATCCGTTCGAGAGTCTCTTCGTCTTGCGGTTTTTTCGTCTTGCAAAGCAAGCCCATTAGCGGTTTAGCGGATTAGCGCTATTAGCGGCTTAGCGGGCTTAGCGGATCAGCTGATAAGCGGCTTAGTGGCTTAACGGATCAGCTGTTAAGCGGCTTAGCGGATCAGCTGATAAGCGGCTTAGCGGTTTGGGAAAAAGGGGGGGGAAAGGAAAAAAACCCCGCAGGAACTCGCAAGACATTTTCGTCTTGCGAAGCAAGCCCATAGGAAATTCGTTTTGCGAAGTACCTCCAAAACGGAAAACCCTTTCGTCTAGCAGGTTTTCTGTCTTGCGAGGCATTCGTCTTGCGGGGCACCACTGTACTGTGCCTGGATAACAGCAGTTGACAGATCTTGATACCAAGCCAGACCATGGATCCGTTTAGCTTCATAATGGCAACCCTGACTGACTTCAGGGATCCTGCATGGTACCTTCTGCAGACAAAACAGACGCTTTGCTCTCCCACTCCTACGTTTCCTGAGACGTCATTTTCATTTCAGGGCAAAGGCTTGTGACTTTGCATTCGAGACAAAGGAAACCAGGGACTTTCCCCAGCTGACAGCTGAGGCTCTTTGCTATCACACAAGGCCGGCTGTCAGAGGGCCACAGTGTCGCAATCTGGAAAAGGCCACCATGAAAAAACCATGCCATGCTCTCAGTGGCGCATCACAGGGGAAATGATGAACTCCTCCTGCACAGCCTCAAAGGCTGCAGTGCCAAAGGCTAAGGCCAAATAATAATAATAATAATAATAATAATAATTTATTATTTATAACCCACCCATCTGGCTGGGTTTCCAACAAAACACTAAAATACAACAACTTATTAAACATTAAAAGCTTCCCTGAACACGGCTGCCTTTAGATGTCTTCTAAAAGTTTGGTAGTTATTTTTCTCTTTGACATCTGGTGGGAGGGCGTTCCACAGGGCGGGTGCCACTACCAAGAAGGCCCTCTGCCTGGTTCCCTGTAACTTGGCTTCTCACAGCGAGGGAACCACCAGAAGGCCCTCGGCGCTGGACCTCAGTGTCCAGGCAGAATGATGGAGGTGGAGACACTCCTTCAGGTATACTGGGCCGAGGCCGTTTAGGGCTTTAAAGGTCAGCACCAACACTTTGAATTGTGCTCGGAAACGTACTGGGAGCCAGTGTAGGTCTTTCAAGACCGGTGTTATATGGTCTCGGCGGCCGCTCTCAGTCACCAATCTAGCTGCCGCATTCTGGATTAATTGTAGTTTCCGAGTCACCTTCAAAGGTAGCCCCACGTAGAGAGCATTGCAGCAGTCCAAGCCAAAGTCCTAGCCTCACGTCCCATGATGTCTGCCCCACCAAATTCAACAGGATTTACTTCTGGACAGGCAGAGATAGCATTCTGCTGCATCGTAAAGCATCGATTTAAGAGCAGCAAACAACTCCTTTGCAGACCAACTCAGAATGTGCCCCAATGATCATATCCTGGACTTCTTTTAACAGCTTACATGGTTTGCTAATGTTCACACTGGCCAGATAAGCAAGATCTGCGAGGATCAGCTCGCTTTCCTTGTTGAATCACTCTCACCTGACTGGTTAGAATGGAGCCAAGAGCCTTAGATAGATGGTTCTGGGGGACAATTCAGTACCCCAAGCAATGTTGCTGACCATCAAACACCAGGGACAAAGAACAGGATGGGGTTCAGGCGCTATTTGTAGACTTCCTGGAGGCAACTAACCAGGCACTTATGGAAGCAGGAGGCTGGTCTAGGCAGACAGGGAACCTGCGGTCCTCCAGATGTTGCTGGATTGAAACTTCCTTCCGCTCCAGGTGTCATGGGAAATAGACAAGGAGGATGGAAGCTGTAGGCCAATAACATCTGGAGGACATCAAGTTCCACCTCCTGTCCAGTGCTCTAGAACTTCTGCTTCTCTGGATCTATTTTTGTTCGTAAAACCACCACAGAGCATTCATGGGATCCATCACTGCGCCCGGAGGGCTCAGGTGACAAGGAGCTGCCTGGTTCATCGGCTAAAACTGGGCATAAATGCCTTGGCCACAGTACTCTGTGCTCTGATAACTTCCAGTCTGGGTCCTTGTGACATGCTCTGAAGATGACTCAGAAACTTCAGCTGCTTCTAAATGCAGCAGCCAGATTACAGGGCTGGGGAACCCCTAGAACAAAAATGGCCTTTGTATCAAGGCAGCTGCTTTTCTTGCCAATTGGTTTCCAGCCCCAATTCAAGGGGTTTGAAGCCCCGAGTGACTTGGCCCTGAATTAGCTGGAAGACCTCCTCCTTCCCTATAGACCCACTCAGTGGATAGGGCCATAGCTGTCAACCTTCCCTTTTTTGGTGGGAAATTCCCTTATTCCAGCGCCGTTTCCCGCTGCTATGCGGGATTGTTAGATATCCCGTAGACTGTCCCTGGGACAGGTGAGGCTGCTGATCCCTTATTTTTGAGGCTGCTGATCCCTTATTTCCAAATCTGAAAGTTGACAGCTATGGAGAGGGCTCCCATCTGGGTTCCCATCTGGTTGGCCACTGCAAGCAGCGCCGGATTCACGTAGAAGCTAAACAAGCTATAGCTTAGGGACGCACTCTCTTGGGGTCCCTCAAAAAATCTAAAGGGAAAAAAACCCCTGGATGTACATTTCCAAAATATAAGATAAAAAACAAATGAAATAAAACCTACAAACAGCAACAGTGTTTTGTGTTGTGTAGGCTCCTATGATGTAAGTAATGGCTAGCAGCCTGCTAGCCAGCTCCCTCAAATATCACTGGTTTGCTCATTTCTATATATAGGGTGCCTACATTCTGCATGGACGGGTTGCACGGCAACATGTGCAAATGGCTTTAGATACCTATTAGGTCCATAAATTACCATATAGCATATAAAAAGGTAAAGGGACCCCTGACCATTAGGTCCAGTCATGGCCGACTCTGTGGTTGCGGCACTCATCTCGCTTTATTGGCCGAGGGAGCCGGCGTACAGCTTCCGGGTCATGTGGCCAGCATGACTAAGCCACTTCTGGTGAACCAGAGCAGCAAACGGAAACGCCATTTACCTTCCCGCCAGAGCAGTACCTATTTATCTACTTGCACTTTGATGTGCTTTCGAACTGCTAGGTTGGCAGGAGCAGGGACCGAGCAATGGGAGCTCACCCCGTCGCGGGGATTCGAACTGCCAACCTTCTGATCAGCAAGTCCTAGGCTCTGCGGTTTAACCCACAGCTCCACCCGCATCCCTGTCCTGTAATACTAGAGCCAAAAGACATCATCCAATGAAGCTGAATAGAAGGAGATTCAGGGCAGACAAAAGGATGGGCTTCTTCACACAACAGTTAGAAGATTCTACAGATCTACAGAGAAAGAAGCCCAGCAGCTGCTATGAGTCATGACGGCAAAAGGGAACCTCCAGCTGCAGGGGAAGTATATCCCTGAATGCCAGGCACAAGAGGCTACTGCTCTGCTCATAACACTTCCCAGAGGCAATCAGCTGAGCACCTGTGGAACCAGGACATTGGACAAAAGATGGGCCTTTGGTTCGATCCAGTATGGCTTGTCTTATGTTCTTGCTATCTGTGAGCTGGGAAACCCTAAGGAAAACTCTCAGCTCAAACCTTTGGGAAGCCACCCCCTAAGCCCCCAGCCCGCATATGTAAGTTGGAGACGCGAGTATTATCCTAGCTCATAGAGCTGTTGCACAACTTAGTGACAGAACAACCGCCTGGGATGCAGATGCTGCCAGTTCCATTCACCACTGGCAGCATCACCAGGTAGGGCCAAAAACTCTGGACAGCTGCTGCCAGTCAGTGTAGGCAACACTGAACTATGTGGGTCAATGGTCAATCTAAAACATAGAAAGCTTCCTTTAACTATGTTTAGGGAAGTTTTTAATGACTGATGTTTTAATGTATTTTTAATCTTTTGTTGGACGCCACCCAGAGTGGCTGGGGAAACCCAGCCGGATGGGTGGGGTAGAAATAATAAATTATTGATGATGATGATGATGATGATGATGATGATGATGTTTTAACTTCCATGTGCCCTGCACTGGACATTTCAGAAAGAAGTTGGGGTCCAAAATGTGATAAATCTCTGCTAAATAAATTACAGCAGTACCTCGGTTGTCGAACGTAATCCGTTCCGGAAGACCATTCGACTTCCAAAACGTTTGACAACCGAGGGGTAAAGGGCGTTTGGCAAAGTCAATTGAGAAAACTGAAAAACACGCAGCGGAAGCTGTTCCGACTTCCGGAAAGCGTTTGAAAATGGAAGCAATTCCTTCCGGGTTTTCGGTGTCCGAAAACCGAAACGTTTGGCTTCCGAGATGCTCAAAAACCGAGATAAAAGGTAAAGGGAATCCTGACCATTAGGTCCAGTTGTGGCTGACTCTGGGGTTGTGGCGCTCATCTCGCTTTATTGGCCAAGGGAGCCGGTGTACAGCTTCTGGGTCATGTGGCCAGCATGACTAAGCCGCTTCTGGCGAACCAGAGCAGCAAACGGAAACGCCATTTACCTTCCCGCCGGAGCGGTACCTATTTATCTACTTGCACCAGTGTGCTTTCGAACTGCTAGGTTGGCAGGAGCAGGGACCAAGCAGCGGGAGCTCACCCCATCGTGGGGATTTGAACCGCCGACCTTCTGATTGGCAAGTCCTAGGCTCTGTGGTTTAACCCACAGTGCCACCCGCTTCCCTAGCAAAAACCAAGGTAGCACTGTATTATTATGAAGATGGATGCAGAATATATATTCATAAGAATATACGGGCACAACCACAGCCCTGATGGATCAGGCCAGTGACCCCTTGAATCCAGTATCATGTTCTCACCCTGGTCAACCAACTCTCAGAGCATAAAGGCAGGAATCTCTCCTCCTCCAGTTTCCAATGCGTGGCATTCAGAAGCATTGCTTCCTCCAGTGTAGCCATCGATCACAGCCATCAAGAACCCTCTCCTTCACGAACTGTCTAATCCTCTTTCAAAGCCACCCAGCTTGGTGGCCGTGACTGCCTCCTGTGACAGCGAGTTCCACCAAAACTTCCAACCCTGAGCTTTGTTGGACGTCCACATTTTCTAGCATCAGGAGGGAAGAAAACTTTCCTCCCTCTACTTCCTCCATCCAGCTAGAAAGCCACCGTAGATCCCTGATCCCCCACTTAGCTTAGCATGTCTTCGCTCTTACCTCTTCTAGTCCGCTCCTCTCTCTTTGTCCACGCACAACCTCTGCTTTCACTAGCAGCAGTGGGGAGAAAACACAACCGCAGTCAGGGAAAATCCGGGGATTGGAAGTATCAGCAAAGCGCTGAGACAGCCGAGCGAAGCAAAGTTTCCTGTCTGCTTTGGTATTTTGCATAAGAGGTATACTGTTGCAATGCAGACGGATGCAAGACGCCCGCATTGCTTCCTGCCTAGCTAACTCTCGCTATGGGTTGGGGGGTTGGACAGAGAGAACGAGAAGCACACTAATGTTGGTTACAGTCAACATCCAGTCATTTAAAAACCCACTCCACAACCTCTCAGCATGTTTGTTATGGGTACACAAGCTATCGCCATATCTCGGCAAGTTAACAGCCACTTGCCCCGAGTGATTCGGGGGGTGGAATCTGACGCAGAACTGTTTGAAAGTCAGACAACTGGACGGGAACATTTTGTGAATGAATGGGGGTGGAGGGTGGGGAGTCTGATACCTGTCAAATCCGCCCCAGAGCGCAATGGGTCGGCTGCAGTTTAGCCAAATCTAGCACCTGTTGATACTACTTAGAAGTGAACCAACTAACGCAAGGTGCCTTTCTGTGATACACAGTCAAGGTCACTTGCAAACCAATTCTGAAACACTAAAAACAGGTTTAGCTTCGAACAGAGCAACTTTGGCAAGGAGGTCTATCAGGGCAGGATGAGCGACTGAACTATCAACTGCTTAGAGCAGGTAACCGGACAGTAAACAGAAGCCAACCACACACCCCATCCTGTTTTGGGGTTTTTCCTCAAAGATATTTTAGAAGAAGCAAAGCAAGTTGCCAGAAAATCCGGTGGTCTGTTCTTGGGTACGCTTCAAGGTTACGTTGCAAAAATAAAAATAAAACTGCAGAGTATTCTATGAGGAGCTGTGCTTGTCCTTGTTCAAAAAATTAATTTACCATATTTTTTGCTCTATAAGACTCACTTTTTCCCTCCTAAAAAGTAAGGGGAAATGTGTGTGCGTCTTATGGAGCGAGTGCAGGCTGCGCAGCTATCCCAGAAGCCAGAACAGCAAGAGGGATTGCTGCTTTCACTGTGCAGCGATCCCTCTTGCTGTTCTGGCTTCTGAGATTCAGAATATTTTTTTTCTTGTTTTCCTCCTCCAAAAACTAGATGTGTCTTATGGTCTGGTGTGTCTTATAGAGCGAAAAATACGGTTTTAAAAATGAAAAAAATGAATTATTATTTTTTTAAATGAGGTTTTAAAACCTCTTGAAGAACTATGTCCACATTAAACACAACCCAATTTTATTTTTATTTTTGAAAAAATGCCACTACAAAAGTCTTTGTGCCCACCAAGGATTGCAGCCAACCGATTTTTGTTCAGAATGGACTCACTGGAATTAATGGACCCTTGTTACCAATGTTCATTCATTTCAATGGATCTGCTTTGAGGAAGGCCAAGAATGGATGCCGACCCTCGTGCAGACGCATATACAGTGGTACCTCGGGTTAAGTACTTAATTCATTCCAGAGGTCCGTTCTTAACCTGAAACTGTTCTTAACCTGAAGCACCACTTTAGGTAATGGGGCTTCCTGCTGCCGCCTTGCCACCGGAGCACGATTTCTGTTCTCATCCTGAAGCAAAGTTCTTGACCCGAGGTACTATTTCTGGGTTAGCGGAGTCTGTAACCTGAAGCGTATGTAACCCGAGGTACCACTGTAGAAGCATTTCATAAAATAACCGCCATGGGGGGGGGCTTTCAGGCAGGCCCCAAAGTGAGGGGTCACGACACACTCTGAAAGACGCCTGCTTGCCTATCAATGGGTTGGAAATAGGGAAAGAAAAGGAGGACTCAAAACAAACAAAGTCTTGTGGTGTGTCTCCTCGCCCCACAACAGAAGCCTCCTAGAGCAGTTTGGGTCTCAGGTGGGTGGGTACTTTGGGGGTGGGAGGGAAAGGAAAGCAACTCCCCCCCCCCCCGCTTTGTACTACGATACGATACGATATCTTTATTGTCATTGTCCCATACAGAACAATGAAAATGAAAAATCTACAGAAGACATTCAAAACCCGCTAAAAACTCTGAAACCCCATTTTAAAATACAATATACTCCTATAGAGACTCCTTATACTGTGTTTAAAACCAGAATTGCATTTGGGTAGAAACTGTTTCTCAGGCGGCTAGTCCTAGCCTTTATAACTCTGTACCTTCTTCCAGAAGGCAAAAGCTGAAAGAGATCATTTCCGGGGTGCGCACTATCCTGCGCTATCTCTGCAGCTTTCTTATGGCACCTGGAAGCATAGATTTGATCCAAGGTGGGAACAGTGCACCCAATTATTCTCTCCACAGTCTTTACAACCCTGGACAGCATTGTTTTTCCCCTGGCTGTGCAGCTCCCAAACCGCACACACAGACCGTAAGTTAATACACTCTCCACAATACAATGGTAAAAATGACATCAACAGGTCCTTTGAGATATTGTTTTTCCGGAGGATTCACTACTACTGAAGTTCTTCTTGCTGGAAGCCGCCCAGAGTGGCTGGGGAAACCCAGCCAGATGGGCGGGGTACAAATAATAAATTATTATTATTATTATAAAGGGCTGAGTTCCAGGGCTGTCAGCTGGCCCAAACCCGAGTGCTTTGTTCTTAACTACTGTAGCGCAGTGGTTAGAGCAAACTGACCCTTAAGAACAAAGCATTCCCCGCTCCAGGCACTGGCAGAGAATGGAGTGCTCTTCAACTGTCATAGGTTTGGGAGGCATCTAGAAACAATGACAAAAAGAAGAATACTGTGCCACCTTAAAGGGAAATCCAATTCGGAGAGCAATTCGGAGAGGCCAAATTTAAGAGGCAGACTTTATCTGTTTATAAGCCTCCAAGCCAAGATGGGAGAACTGGGGTGCCAGGTCTTAGAGGACAACATGGATATAATAATAATAATAATAATACTTTTATTGTCAATGTACAACCTGTGTACAATGAAATTAACCAAGCCTCCCCCCCAACACTCAATCTCATTGCACTCTGTGTGCTTGTCGCACAACACACCAACCCTGAAAGTCAGTTGCACTACATTATTTTCCGTTCAGCAGCCTAACAGCCCACGGATAGAAACTGTTTTTTAGCCTGTTAGTACGACTGATTATACTTCTATATCTCCTGCCCGAGGGTGGAAGATTAAAGAGGTGATGGCCGGGGTGTGAATCGTCCCTGAGAATTTTTCTCGCTGTCCTAAGGCAACGATCCCTTGCGATGTCATCTAGCGGACTCAAGGGACAGCCCATGATATCATGTGCTGTGTTCACCACCCTCTGTAAAGACTGCCTGTCTGTGGCTGTTCAAGCGAACGTACCACACCGTGATACAATATGAGAGGACACTTTCTGTTGTGGACCGGTAAAAAGAGGTCATCAATTGTTGTTTAAAATTGTTCTTTCGCAAGACCCTGAGGAAATGGAGTCTCTGTTGGGCCTTCCTAACCACCTGAGTTATATTGTTTTTCCAAGGGAGGTCTTCACTTCCCAGGAATTTAAAGGAAGAGACTCTCTCCACACAACCCACCCTGATACAGTGAGCATCACAGAAACCTGGTGGAACAGAGAGAACCAGTGGGGCATAGGTATCTCTGGCTATAAGCTCTGTAGCAGTGTTCCCAAACTTGGCTGTTTCTGAACTACAACTCCCATCATCCCTAGCTAGCAGGGTCAGGGATGATGGGAATTGTAGTCCAAAAGCAGCTGGAGAGCCAAGTTTGGGAAGCACTGCTCTATAGGAAGGATAGAAGGGCATGCCAGGTGTGGCTATCGCTCTGTATGTTGGAGAGGGCACTGAGCCCAGCAAGCTAGAAATCCCAAAAGGGAGAGTAAAAGGTAAAGGGACCCCTGACCGTTAGGTCCAGTCATGGCCGACTCTGGGGTTGCGGCGCTCATCTCGCTTTATTGGCCGAGGGAGCCGGTGTACAGCTTCTGGGTCATGTGGCCAGCATGACTAAGCCGCTTCTGGCGAACCAGAGCAGCGCACGGAAACGCCGTTTACCTTCCCACCAGAGCAGTACCTATTTATCTACTTGCACTTTGACCTGCTTCCGAACTGCTAGGTTGGCAGGAGCAGGGACCGAGCAATGGGAGCTCACCCCGTCACGGGGATTTGAACTGCCGACCTTCTGATCGGCAAGTCCTAGGCTCTGTGGTTTAACCCACAGCGCCACCCGCCTTCCAAAAAGGACAGACTCCCCTGCAAAATCATGGCGGGCGCTGATACTGGACCCAAAGAGTAACTTGGCACTGGGAGCCTGCTGTCATGCGCCAGCCCTGCTCGCTTCCCTAGGTCCTGCTGCCCAGAATCATGCCCTTGTGATGGGTGGATGGCATGATGGGGGCAGAAAGCCGCTGGCTCATTGAGGCCACTGATCTCCTCAGGTTTGGAAACAAATCCCAGGAAGAAGAAGAAGAGTTTGGATTTGATATCCCGCTTTATCACTACCCAAAGGAGTCTCAAAGCGGCTAACATTCTCCTTACCCTTCCTCCCCCACAACAAACACTCTGTGAGGTGAGTGAGGCTGAGAGACTTCAGAGAAGTGTGACTGGCCCAAGGTCACCCAGCAGCTGCATGTGGAGGAGCAGGGAATCGAACCCGGTTCCCCTGATTATGAGTCCACCGCTCTTAACCACTACACCACACTGGCTCTCGTCGACAGCCCTCTATTCCTCTACTCTATTCCGAACTTAAAAATGGAAAGCGTAATGCTGGTGGTCAACAAAAGAGGTTTAAAGACTGTCTCAAGGCAAATCTAAAAAAAAAAGTAGTATAAACACTGACAACTGGGGAACACTGGCCTGTGAGCGTTCCAATTGGAGAACAGCCTTTACCAAAGGTGTCATGGGCTTTGAAGACACTCAAACTCAGGACGCAAGGGAGAAACGTGCTAAGAGGAAGGCACGCTTGGCAAATCCACACCATGATCAACTCCCGCCCGGAAACTAATGTCCCCACTGTGGAAGGACGTGTGGATCCAGAACTGGCCTCCACAGTCACTTACGGACTCATTGTTAAAACCGTGTTTATGGAAGACAATCTTACTTGGCTACGAGGGATTGCCAAAGAAGAAGAAGATTTGAAGGACTTTCCATTCCATGTTAGATTGGGGGGGGGGATAAAGACACCCCCCTCCAAGAAGAGAGAAGGCACCTTGAACCAGCTCATTCACAGTTAGCCTCCACACAGTCAGCTTAGGGGACACACAGGTCACCGAGTCAAGACTTCCCCCATGGCACAGATGCAATTCACTTTAAACGACAGGTCTCATTTCTATATTTGCATCAAAACATTTAAGTTTGCACAGGCACTCTGCATTCTTTTGGGAGTGGTGACGCAGAGGCTCCTCACAGGGTCTCTGCCGTGGGAGCATATTCACCCAGTGCTTTTCCAGCTGCACTGACTCCCGGTGGAGTACAGGGTCAGATTTAAGGTGCTGGTTTTGACCTTTAAAGCCTAGGACCCTCGTACCTACGGGACCGCCTCTCCCGATATGCCCCCCGGAGGACCTTAACATCCATATAAAGCAACACCCTAGAGGTCCCGGGCCCTAAGGAAGTTAGATTAGCCTCAACCAGAGCCAGGGCCTTTTCAACACTGGCTCCAGCCTGGTGGAACGCTCTGCCTCATGAGACCAGGGCCCTGCGGGATCTGATCTCTTTCCGCAGGGCCTGTAAGACAGAGTTGTTCCACCTGGCCTTTGGCTTAGAATCAGTTTGATTCCCTCCCCCTCTTTCTTTTTCCTTTCTCTTCCTATGAAGAGATTGCACCCTAATGTTTTAATGTTGTATCTTAATCTTTTAAATTGTATTTTAATCAACTTGTTTTTATTATTGGTTGCTAGCCGCCCTGAGCCCGGGAGGGTGTAGTATAAATAAAAATTTATTATTATTATTATTATTATTATTATTATTATTAAGCGGCCAGCTTTCCTGTTCCGTCCCATTTTTTTGCTACAAACACCCTGGCAGGCAGGTTTTGAACTACACACTCCTGGCCCTATTAATACCTCCCTTCACCCATCTCTCATTAAAGCCCGAAGGAAGAATTTTGCCTGGTTAAAGATTCTCCACTCAAATGTCCTGAGCTTGCAGAAAAGGAAGACACGGAATGCAAATTCCAGGAGGTCATCACACAGCCATTTCTGACTCCAGACACTTTCTGATAAAATGTGCCTTTGCCAGCTACTAGCTTTGTGAGATAGCATTTGATTTCATTTAAGTGAAATGCTATCTCAAAAGGCTAGTATCACTGGGAAAGTTCTTTGTTCTTTTTTTACTGCCATTGTACAAAGGATACGATAAGCTACTCAACACAACTTCAGGCGCTGCCCCAATTAACATCTCACCAGAGTACAGGTAACTCACAACTTACACACATTCAGGTTTACATGCTTGGCAATTTTATTTTTTCACTTTATTTTTTAAGGGGGCGGGCATCTAGGAAAAAGGTATTTGGCCAGTTCTGCGCACAGATGACAACTGATAGGCCGTTGAATCTTACTTTGGTGCTGACAGTAGGATAGTGTCCTCTACTGCAACTAAAGGCAGCAAAGCAGTTTGGAGAATGGATGGTGGGCCACACAGCACCCACAGCTCTGTCCTCCATTTCCTCTCCCGTCCCGCCAAATCTGCTGCCTGAGGCAGCTGCCTCACCCTACCTAACAGCAGGGCCGGTCCCTATATTGATCTTATCTGTACTGCCACATAATGGAAAGCTTTACAGATAACAAACCATTTCAAAATGGTTAAAAAAGATTTGGGACACCATTTTATTGGAGAAACTGAATGACTTTTCAAGGTTACTTTAGAAGTCAAGACAATACTTTTTTATAGTTTAATGTAATAATAATTATATAGCTAAACTGCATCCATAGTTTCCCCTCTGTACTGTGGGTTACTAGCGGATTTTATATGGCATTGTCCACACAACTGTCTTACTATCGTTTTATGATTTATGAACTACAATTACAATGTTATTTCCATGGAAAATGTTATAATTTATTTATAAACTTAGTAGAAAGAGTCGTTAAAAAAGCTACGAGGGCAAAAAACCGGTTTGATCCCCTTTACACTTCTCTGACTTGGCATTTCCATGTAATTTGCTACATAGTGATTTATTTATGTTTGACTCACACCCATATTTACCAGTGAGCCGAATAACAAGACCAAGCACACCTCAGTCTGAATGTCATCACCCAGGACATGAGTTACCGTCATGATGACAGGTACCACACCTTAACCGTGACCTCTAACATCAACTACACTAAATTTAAAACGGAACAAAATTGCATCACACAGAGATGTCACAACCGTCTCACCTTAAGCATCCAGCTGTGTTTACCTCTAAACACAGAGAGATTTTCATTAACATTGAAGGGCCCTTGAAAGCTTTCTTCCTCACTTAGTGAAGGAGGTAAGCAACATGCCGTGTTTAGCCGCGATGGGAGCTGGAGTCTAACAGCACCTGGAGAGACACAAGTTTCCCCAGCCCTATTTAAGGCTGAAATAACACACACACACACACACGGGATGGGGAACTTGTGGCCCTCCAGGTGCTATTAGTCTCCAATTCCCATCGGCCCCAGACAAGAATGATGGGAGTTGGGATCTACCATCATACAAAATGGTCACAACACTCCCCGCCACTTTGGGTAGACGTTGAGCCGCAAATCTCTTGCCAGCATGGCAGCAACAATGGCTTTGGGCTGCATTTTAATTGACCAAAAAATGAGAAAGAGAGAGAGAGAAGGCCTGACTGTGCTGTCTGAACTTCTCTTCTACGGCTTTTAAACTTCCAAAAGAGAAATATTTTTAAGCAAATTAAGAAGGCATTTAGGGACACGGGTGGCGCTGTGGGTTAAACCACAGAGCCTAGGACTTGCTGATCAGAAGGTCGGCAGTTCGAATCCCCGTGACGGGGTGAGCTCTCGTTGCTCAGTCCCTGCTCCTGCCAACCTAGCAGTTCGAAAGCACGTCAAAGTGCAAGTAGATAAATAGGTACCACTCCGGCGGGAAGGTAAACGGCGTTTCCATGCGCTGCTCTGGTTCGCCAGAAGCGGCTTAGTCATGCTGGCCACATGACCCGGAAGCTGTACGCCAGCTCCCTCTGCCAATAAAGTGAGATGAGCGCCGTAACCCCAGAGTCAGCCACAACTGGACCCAATGGTCAGGGGTCCCTTTACCTTTAAGAAGGCATTTATAAATTATTTTGTGTATTAAATATTGATAAGCAAACATTGTGTAGTTATGAATTACCTAGCAATTAATTTTGTAGCTGGGTGGGGAGGAGAGTAGGAGGATGATACCAAACCAAGTAACGTCACTGGGAGCAGCAAAAAAAAATCTTGCCAGCCCTACGCATGGCCAAGATGCCCAGAGTGGTCTTCCTATGTAAGCCTCATTGAACAGAACAGGAGCGGACATGCCTTCCAACTGGGGTTTTGCATGATGGAGTTTCCTGCGAGTGGGTCGGATCTGTGCCTTTCCCACTGTGCCACCCTTAAGGGCAACTGGACACAGCCCAAGGTGGCTTCCTCCCCTTTTGCTACCTTACTGGTCACTTTGGGCAAACGAGTTAGAATACCGTCGATGCCTGGCTGGAAATCAGAATGTTGGCTCTGCTTTCCTCTGAACGTCCCGGCAGGAGAACCAGCAAGGTCTGAAACACCTTGGGCTCCCTTGTTTGCTCCCATTTGATTTCTGCTGTGCCTTCCGGGTCCTACTCAGGCTCTCCTTTTCCTCCACCTCATTTACTGTATTTTTTGCTCTATAAGACTCACTTTTTCCCTCATAAAAAGTAAGGAGAAATGTGTCTGCGTCTTATGGAGCGAATGCAGGCTGCGCAGCTATCCCAGAAGCCAGAACAGCAAGAGGGATTGCTGCTTTCACTGCACAGTGATCCCTCTTGCTGTTCTGGCTTCTGAGATTCAGAATATATTTTTTTCTTGTTTTCCTCCCCCAAAAACTAGGTGCGTCTTGTGGTCTGGTGCGTCTTATAGAGCGAAAAATACAGTATATCCTGCCCGTTCTGCTAAAGGAGCCCAGCATGGAAAACGGCAGAAGAGCCATTGAAAGAGCGCAATGTGAAACATACTCTACCGGAGCCCCAAAACACACACACAAACACAAATCTCACAGGAACAGAGAGTAGCCTCATGAATTTAACTTTCTGCAGGGCTGCTGAGGTTGCACTGTGCTCATGACAACTTGCTGACTGTTTTCCCATCCTGGGCCCAGATCAGACAGCAGTACCTTTGCTCAACGCCCGTGCAATAAATATTTCAGAGGAGCCCTGCAGGATCAGATGAAATTGGGGGGTGGGAATCTCGTCCTGATAAAGAGTCTTTGCTGGATTGTCCCCAGGGGCCATAATGAGGGGGCTTCGTGGCTTTGCTTTATCGTGCTGCCAACTGCTTTGGCCAGGGCCAATTATCTTTGATGCCAACTCATTTCTTGTAAGGTTATATTGCTTTTGCTGTTTTTACTGTTCTCTTTTGCATTTTGTTGTTAGTCGCCTTGGTCCTAGCTTTGAGGAAGAGCGGGCAACAAGTCAGGTGGGGGAGGGGGAGATTTTCCAGGCTGCACTGCCTTGTGGGAAACTTTCCGGGGGCTGCATGCCAGGGCGGGGGGCAGAGGCAAAGATTCTGCAGGGCAAGGGATGTGACTCTCACTTTTCTATTTTCCAACCAGGCAAAGGTCAAATGACCAAGGCAACCAGACAAGAGGCATTGTCTTAGTTCAGGGCTCTTAAGGGCAAGTGAGGGAGACTGTCCCGAGGGCCAGATAGAGAGGCCGAGGGGGCCACATTCACCCCCTGAGCCTCTCCCTCCCCGCTGTTGTCAGCAATGGTTGCTATCATTAAATATCAGCATCTAGACTCCTGTTCTCACAGTGGCCAGCCCTGGGAAGCCTGCAGATAGAAGACAAATACAGCAGTCCCTGCCCCACTTTGCCCCCAGCAAGTGATATCCAGAGGTATCATGCCACCCTCAGTAGCCCAGAGCAATCATGGCTAGTGATCGCTGATTCCCTTACCCCGAGAGCTCTTTTAACACAGGCTGCAGACCTGGACAGTTGGACAGGAGTGGAGAATCGGTTGCCCTGCACATGGGTTCTCTCCAGCTCACATCAGGACGATACGATACGATACGATAATCTTTATTGTCATTGTCCCATACAGAACAATGAAATTGAAAAATCTACATAAGACATTCAAAAACCAACAAGCCTGCTATTCCAGCTATCCTGACCTGGTTAGCCCCCTAAAAACTCTGTTACCCCATTTTTAAATGCAATCATAGCTGTCAACCTTCCCTTTTTTTGCGGGAAATTCCCTTATTTCAGCACTGTTTCCCGCTGCTTCCTGCTGCTATCCCGGATTGTTGGATATCCCGTAGACTGTCTCCGGGACAGGTGAGGCTGCTGATCCCTTATTTTCAAATCTGAAAGTTGACAGCTATGAATGCAATATACTCCCATAGAGACTCCTTATACTGCATTTAAAACCAAAATTGCATTTGGGTAGAAACTGATTCTCAGACGGCTAGTCCTAGTCTTTATAACCCTGTGCCTTCTTCCAGAAGGCAGAAGCTGAAAGAGATCACTATCCTGCGCTATCTCTGCAGCTTTCTTATGGCACCTGGAAGCATAGATTTGATCTAAGGTGGGAAGAGTGCACCCAATTATTCTCTCCGCGGTCTTTACAACCCTGGACAGCATTGTTTTTCCCCTGACCGTGCAGCTCCCAAACCACACACGCAGACCATAAGTTAATACACTCTCCACAGGACTTCGCTACCTGAGTCTTGTTGCAAAGCCAGAGCCTGGAAGGGGCAAACTGGATCTCTTGGATCAATGAGCCAACACAAAGAAGTCCAGGATTCCTGTGTTGCTGGATGATATTGCGGGTCACTTCCAACTCTAAGATTCACACATTCACACTGCAGGCTTCCTCATGGCACCGCACCACTCCTGAACCCTACACCACACCTAGAAAAGGCTGGTGCTATGAGTAGATGCAATTTTAATACACTTAAAAAAGAGAGAGGAAGTTAGACTGCCAAGGATCAAACAAGGTAGGAAGGCAAAATAGTCAAGAGCCGATTCCACATTTGAACTCCTCATGTATCAGGTGAGGTTTGCGCAGGCTGGGGGGAAAGAGTTTTAAAACATGTTCTGCAGGAGGTTAGACTAGATGACTCTTTGGGTTCCTTCCAGCTCTACAATTCTATGATTCTATATATAAAAGGACACATCCACACACACAATTTGGGTAACTGGAGACACAGCAGCCTTGCTCCCTTAAGGCCCAGGCAACCCATTTCGCACTCCTAATTTTTAGATAACATATTCAAACCCTTTTAGTAAAACCACTCCAGACCACCCAAAGCTCCTCAAGAGAAGGGTGAGATATATGAGTTATTATTTTAAAATGTTGTTTTTATAAATCCCGGGTTTGGCTCGGACCCACCCATTCCCCTTTAAGACCATCCGTTTATTTGTCTCGTTTTTCCTCCTTGCTGTTGCTCCTTTGACCCAACAACCCCTCGCCTCCTGACTTCACCAAATCCCAGGAGCCCACAAGACCAGAAAACTACCCCCAGCGGCCCCCCAAAAACCCGAAGGCGAGGCCTCTGGGACCTAACACAAAGAACGGGGAGGGTCCATCTCTGCACCCCTTCGCCCCCACCCAAGCAGCTCCTCGAGGGGGGAATCGAGGGAAAGAAACTTCGTCCTTGCTCCCCCTCCATGCAGAGTTGGGGACCGGGGGGGCTGCGCACGCTTCCTCCCTGGGATGCCCGGAGCCTCAGGTTCATGTTTCCAGCTTGCCACCCCAAGAGGCGGGGCAGTGCTGCTCGGGAGCCCCCCTGCCCTGCCCGCTGGCTCCCCGCTCCCCCCCCAAAACCATCCCCAGTACCGTGTCTGGCTGCAAGCAGGGAGCAGACCCAGAACCGCCAGCCTACCCAAGACCGGACGCTGCACAGCTGCTGATGGCGAGGCTGCTGCCACCGCCTCTTTCTCCGCCTTCCTGCTATTCATTGGTGCATAAAGTGGGATTTATTTTCATAATGAAAAGAGAGAACGAGGAGGGAGGAGCGCAGATGCAGCCCAAGTCCCGGCGACCCGGATCGCGGCGGCTTGGAGGAGGACCATCTGGGGGCAATAAATAAATAAACTGTAGATAAAACTCTAAAGCGACTCCCGCCCGCCCCAGAATCTCTCCCATTCTGCCCCTCGGGCTTTTCCAGGAAAGTAAAGTTTGCAGGAATTTATTTATTGGATCCCCAGTTGGGTGAGGATTGGGGGTTGGTCAAATCCAGGCGTGGGTGTGCGCGCAGTACACCCCGCCTCCAGCTCAAGTTCCTGTTTTGCACAGGAAATTTCCTTTCCTTTCCTTTCCTTTCCTTTCCTTTCTTTGCTTGGCTTGCAAAAACATCGTCCTCGTCCTCCTCCTCGTGTCTCCATCGCGGGAGGAAATTTGGAGGCGAGGAAAACCATATTGTGGTCAGCGGCAGTTCCATCTCTCGTTTCCCGTTGCCTGATGGCCCGTTTTTCCCCCTTTTTCTTTTTGCAAGCGTGCGGAGTGGCTGCGCCCCGGTAGCAGTCCCTGCTGACATGCAAGATGAGAAAGAATGCCTCTGTTTAGAAGAGGCATTTCCACCTGAGAGCAGGGAGAGAGAAACTTGTGGTCTCTAGATGTTGCTGAATTCCCATCAGACCCAGGCATCCAGAGATGTTGTGGGGTTGAATACAGAACCATCTGCAGGGCACCAGAATCCTCACCCCTGATTTAGACAATCCTGCAAAGTATTGTCATCACTCACTTAGTGCAGGTGGAAATGCTGATCATTTTATCATGCAGCTTGTCTCATAGCAACCCCTTTTCAGAACATGTTAGGTTTATGCAAGCTCCTGCCTTATGATCTTTAACTGCCTGAGGTTCAGCCTGCCACGCCTCCCTCATTCCTTCCGTAGTCATTTGTGGGACCAGCCCTACCATTGGGTAGTGTGGTATCCATTTGGACTGTCTAGAGGAGTTGGGAGCACCGTTATGCATGCAGTGGTTCCAATCCTGCCTTCTGGGCTGTGTCCAGAAAGTGGTGTTGGGAGATGAGTGTTCAGACCTCTAGGCACTCACTTGTGGGGTGTCTCAGGGCTCTCTACTCTCCCCCATGCTTTTCATATGAAGCCACTGGGAGAGATAATGGGGGGGGCGTGTCTAGATAATCACCAATATGCATATGATGCCCAAGCTATCCCTCTCGTCTAAATCGAAATTAGTGAAGGCAGTGGATGTCCTGTGTGTCTGGAGCTGGTTGGAGGATGGATGGTGGCTGAATCCTGACAAGACAGAAGTACTGTTTTTGGAGGACAGAAGGAAGGCAGGTGTGGGAGACTCCCTGGTCTTGAATTGGGTAACTGTGCCCCTGAATGACCAGGTGTGCAGCCCAGGAGTCATTTTGGACTCACAGTTGTCCATGGAGGTGCAGGTGAATTCTGTGCCCAGGGCAGCTGTCTACCAGCTCCATCTGGTATGCCAGCTGAGACCCGACCTGTCTGCAGACTGTCTTGCCAGAGTGGTGCATGCTCTGGCTTAGGGCTACCTTTGAAGATGACTCGGAAACTACAATCCAGAATGTAGCTGCAAGACTGTTGACTGGGAATAGCCGCTAGGACCATTTAACACCCAGTACATTTCCGAGCACAATTCAAAGTGTTGCTGCTGACCTCGGCCCAGTATACCTGAAGGAGCATCCCCATTGTTCAGCCAGGACACAGGTCCAGATACGAGGGCCCTCTGGGAAGTGGTGCCCTCTGTGTGGAATGCCCCCCCCCCGATGTCAAGGATATAAAGAACTACACAACTTTAGAAGATATCTGAAGGCAGCCCTGTACCCGAAAGTTTTCAATGTTTGACATTTTATTGTTTTTATGTGCTGGAAACCCAGCCAGATGGGTGGGGTACAAATAATAAAATTACTATTCAGTTACATGGAATAGGGGTGCAATCTTGTCCTTTGCCCCCAGCAGCTGTATTTTGGATCAGCCCCAAAAGAAACCATTCCAGGCATCTTCTTTGTTGACTAAAGAGATTAATATGAATTAACTGAAAGGTTTTTCAAGAGGGAGCATACTGCAAACATGCACAGGCTCAACAGGTTGGGGTAAAGGTAGAAACAATCCACTAAGACTGCCCCCTGCCAATACCTCTAATGCCATTTGACAATGTCCATGTTTTGTACATAATATTTATATCCTGCTCGTCTGGCTGGGTTTCGCTAGCCACTATTAGTTTGCGTAGCATATTGGTGGGTTTTCTTCATAGGTTGGCTCTATCTGCTATCATACAAAGCCTCAGAGCAAGGCTAGGTCTGGGTAGCTACTTTTAGCTTATGATAAGCTGTGTGTATGAACCAGTCTTAAGAGCCCACCCAGCATTACATCTGCATGCTTTTTCAGAGACTATTGTGGTTACACAATGTGGACTTGTATATGCATGCATGTTGGCTGTGAAATTTGCCTTTTCCAAATGGTGTAATTTTTCCAACTCCAGATCTATCTTCAATGTAATTGTGTAAACTTGCACCAAACCCATTTGGCAGTTCCCTTTGGCAGTTCACACACAGGCAGGTCTGTACACACTATTCACACAGGTGTTTTCAGTTCACTGGCCTTAGGGCTGGCCATACCATTAGGCAGATTGAGATGGCCACCTGAGACAACTTATTTTGGGCGTAATGAAAGGACAGCAAATCATTAGTTATTATGGGAAGGATGGGGCTTTTCTGCTTCGGGTGCCAAAACTACTTGACTGGGCTTGGATATGATGCACTTTGATGTGACAAAAGTTGCTGCTCTGCCTCAGGCGACAAAATTTCCAGCTCCTATTGTGCCAACCTTAGGAGACCCTGCTGGGACTCCTCTCAACCATGCCAGCTCATGAAAACTGGGGATTTGAAAAACTAAAGGTGTATTAACTATTTTATAGATTTAACATTTCCTGGAGATTTGAAGGCCTGGGAAAAAGTTCTCTCTCTCCATCCTACCCCATTCAGGAGAAACTAGGGATTTGACCGTCTCAAGACCCAGCAGTAAACTAGAAAGGCTGGAGAACACAGAGCTGCAATGCCAAGCATGCAAGCACTTATTTCAGCATAGGGAGGAGGGGGGGGGGGAAGAGCAAGGAATCTCAACCCAATAGTTATACTGGCTAGGCTCCTTTGCTCCTGCTATACCATTCCTCCCCTCACCGCTTTTGACCTATGCAACTGAATTGAATGAGAGATAGTTTAGAATATACAGGGCATATCTGCAGTTTCTTCTGAGGCATGACTCACTCAAGAGCTGATGGTACAAGCTCTTCATGCCCTTTGCCACTTCTGCTTGTTGCAGTGCATCTTGAAGTGTGTTAACAAAAGGGCCCTGGTCTGCAGTATGTTTTGGTTCCTTCCTTTTCCACTGTATGGAACAAAGGGAATGAACACACACTCTGTACAACTGTTGGTCCCCTGAGCAAGACAGCCTTCTCTGACAATCCATGCAGTCTGCTTGCTTCCTGTTAAAAGTCCTGCATACCTGCTGGGCAGTTAAGACCCCAGAGAGGCCTCTTAAATCTTGTGCCCATCCAACCCAACTACATTCTGAAACAGGCACTCTTTAGGTACAGTTCCTTATGATCTAGACTCGCCTGCAAGCTGACCAGCTGTTGCAAAGCAGATCTGTGCTCATCCCAGAAGATACCCAGTTGAAATCTACTCTCTTGGAGCACTGGGTTTCACTCTTTCTAACAAGGGAACCACAGGAGGAACAGCCAGGCCCAGTTGGTCACCACAATGTCAGGAATGGTTCAGAGGTGCATATCCTGGCCTGTCATTTTGAGCAGCTGCTGTTCAAATTCAATTCCTTAAGGAGGACTCATCAGCATGGTAGGCTCAAGCGTCTTTGTGAAACTTTTTTTTTCAAAGTTGCATTCTACCCTGCATGCATGCAATACTGATAAAACTGACACTGAGAAGATTTAACAAGTTATTCATTTAATAAGCATTTTACCACATTGTATTGTACACTGTCATCTGTTCAAAAAGATTAGGTTTTTTTAATTAAAAAAAAAACACCACAGGATACTGTGTTATATTCATAGAAACAGGTGAACAGTGTTCACTGTTGTAGCTGGTTGTTTTTTAAACTTTGTGGAATAAGTCTTCAGCTGCAACAAACAAACAAACAAACAAACAAACCCTAAAAGGAATTCTAATTCTCAGGCAAGTCTCTGAACAGCTCTCCACACGTGACAGCTTTCTGAACTGGCTAAAATAGCACAGTAGCAAGCTTCGACATTGAATATAGGGGAAGTATCAAAAGGCTTTAATCCTGCATCCCAGCTGATCACAGCATTACTCTCTGCTAGTTCAAGTCGTCCTTCCTGCAGAGGAAAAAACCTGACTTAGATACTGCCAATGAATCCCTATGAGCTGTGCCAATATGTTTTCACTATGCACTTTGGTTTCACAAAAAGAGACACAAACCTTTAAAATAATGGCTTTAATTGTCATTTTGAAGTATATGGGAGGGAAGTGTGCTTGAATTAAAATATACATCATACCAAGGAAGCTGGCAAAGGTTATGGGGTGGTTTCAAAATGCTGACAGCAACGTAACTAGTGTACATGACAAGAAAAAAGCAATCCCTTTAAAACAATAAAATAAAAGACATTCACAGTGGTTCGTATAAACAATATGTAATTCGACAGTAATCAGTTTCCTAGTCTTGCAGCACACTAGTGCCTCTTTAGGTCCTAAAAGAAAAGCAGGCATCACACACCACCTGGTCTGTACAGGTTCAAGGAGTCAATTGTACAATTACCCGGAATGACAGGATAAGTTGCTGTGAAGTATACAGCTGGAACAATAAGGGGGGAAAGCATTTTTTCTCTCTTCAAATGAACATAAGAATTTTAAAAAACTCTTCTTGAGAAGGGAGAAAGTCTCATTTGCTGTTACAACCAGCAAACGCCATCCATCAAAATGAAAAAAACAAAACAAAAAACCCCACAAACACATTAATCTAGTCTTAGCAAGCTGACAGATACAAGTTACCGTTTTTTAAAAATGATTATATACTATAGTACAAGTCCCAACTAGGCAGAGCCAAGAGTGATTATTTCTTTGCTTGTTTTGTGATCATACCCCTGGGTGGTGTTACAGGCCGGCTAGCATTGGGCTTCTTCTTCTCAGCAGGCTTCAAAATCTGGAACGACAACGTTCTTTCTTAGCATGGAAACACTGTATGCAGCTGAACAGAGATGAGAGCACAAGAAGGGGGCTACTGGCGTTAGCCCAAAACCTGGCTATATATAGTCTACACCCATAATTTTGTGATTTCCACCCAATGGGCACGGCTAGGTGGCTTAGAGCTGTAAAATCATTCATTCAGGGTCTTGGCACACACAAAAGTAATTATTTTTCAGGGCAATAATTTTAAACAGCCTCACCTTACTGAAATATTGCAGTGTAGGAAAAGACGACTCCCTCCACTCCCAAAGGGAAGAGGGAATAAAAGGGTCTTCAGGAATGTCAATGCAGATTCTATTGCCAAAACAGCCTTGCTCCAAGAGGAAGACAACATTTCTTCACTTAAGAGAGTAGCTAAGCAGGGTGCCACCAGAATCTCAATGCACGGGATGAGAAAGGTTCATTCAGTAACAGGTGCTCCTGGGACCTCTGGCCTAATCCATTTAGGGCTATAAAGGTAAACAGCAGCACCTTGGATATAAATGTCACCTTGCTTTCCCTCCCACTGCTTGCAATTTTCGATGCCTCCTCTCAGATCACCAGCATTAGGCAGCAGGGAAGAGCCATGACTCTTTGGACAATCCAATTCAAGGTGGAACAGATTACAGCTGTCCTACTTATTTTATGGCAAGCTGGTGCCTCAGCACAGATTAAAGGAAATGGAACACATTTTCAAATAGCTAGTGCTTATGATTCTGGTTTAATTTAAGGAAGACCAGCTTAAAAGTGAAAAGAAGCAACATTATTGGGGAAAATGAGGCACCTAAACCCTAAAAATATACTGTACCTGGAAGGAACACATTAGAGTCTCATCCACGCTCATCATGGCACCCGCATTGTCAAACTCCCCACAGTAATTTGGGGCAGAAAACAGAGTTACCAGTTGCCTTTTTGCAAAGAACTCATATCCATCCTCAACCACCTTTAAAGCAAAGACAATTCAATTAATTGAAAGGGGGTGAATATCACACAACAGCAATAATTTTAATACTCCTAACCTTTTTATAATCCTCCTTCCACTCCCCGTCTAGTGCAGCAGAATCACTTTGGTGTTGTGGCTAACTCAAGTTGTGATCTCAGAAGACCCTGGCTCAAATCTCACCACAGTTGTGCCATGTCATCACGGCATGGTCTTAGCGTAAACCACTCCCAATCTCACCTGCTCCTCACCCTATTCTGTGATGATCTATAACCACCTCACTGGCTTGCTGCAAAGATTACTCAGGTGAGATATATATGAATGAAGCTCTGAGCATTTATCTACCGTATTTTTCGCTCTATAACACGCACCCGACCATAACACGCATGTAGTTTTTAGAGGAGGAAAATCCGTAGGCATGCCACCCGTAGGCATTCCCTCCATAACACGCACAGACATTTCCCCTTACTTTATAGGAGGAAAAAAGTGAGTGTTATGGTGCAAAAAATACGGTAAATCTTTTACCATGGGACACTGAAGAACAGTGGCATAGTGGTCTATGCAGGAAGTTCTATGGCTGTGCCTATGAATCCAGGCCTCCCATTCATTCTTCTAGCTACAAAACCACATTAACCTCACAAGCTGCTTGTTTTATGTCATTCTGCAATTTAGAGACAAGGCTAGATCAGCAAGGCCAGGAACTCGTAAAGCAAGCATCGTTCTGAGACAAGTGAACTTGAAGGGGGAGGGGAAAAAGAGGAGAGACTGACCAGTTTCTTGCGTGGTGGACCAAGGGGTGTCCACTGGGGCCCAGGAGCTGGTGGCTCCTTCCCCAGGATCAACTCTTAGCATTTGGTCTTTACCTGATGAGCTCTGCATATAAGATCCAAATCATGTTTATGAAGGAACTTTGCAACCACTTCAGCTCCAAACGTGAAAGAAACTCCTCTGTCATTTTCTCCCCATCCCAGGACATCTTTGTCAGGGTCAGACCACAGCAGATCACAAAGGAGGCCTTGATCTGGCACATCAGTAGGCCGCATAATTCGTCGGATTTGTTCCATTGATTGGAGGTCTGGCGATAAGCCTGCAGGGGATTAAGATGCAGCTGCTTTGCATTTTGTTCACATGCTGGGCACTTGGCAAATGCACACACTGTGCAGTGACAGCATCTTCATTCCAACGGCAACTTCATCTATGCTTATTTTGAGGAAGCTATCCAGTGCAATCCAAAATTATTCCTCAGATATGTCCCATTTCTGGTATGAACTATCCTCTCATGCCAAGGACATGCTACTGCGAGGCAAGGAGACTGGTAGCAGAAGAGTTGATTAGGAACATAGGAATTTGTGATTGGTGTGGGGCCCCCATGGCGCCTTGCATGAATGGTGTGAAGGCTGTAGACATCACATGCTGCCTAGGTACTGTGCAAGAAGTGTCAGTGGTCGTGACACTTATGTGCATAAATGATGCTGGAAAGAAACAGCCGCAGAGACAAAATAAAACATGTTCCACCTGCAGAGCCAGCTAGGTGGAAGCATCTGATTTGGTATGCCTCACAGATGATGGGACAAGTGGTTCAGGTTCTCAAAGCAAATTACAGGACATAAATTTGTAACTAGCACACAAATATGTATGAATGGCTGTACTTTAAAAAGACTAAAGAGTCATGGGGGAAATGCTCATGAATAGGACATCTGTATCCACACGTCTCAGACCCAAGACAGGGTAGCTAGAGTACTTGGTACTAAGAGATCACGGCTGTGCAAGAGTGGTGGTCTGTAGGGTAAGTTTATCCCCGAATATAAAAATCTGAAGGAAGGAGAAAGTGGCAGATCAAGGGTATTTAAAGAGCCATAGATTATGGTTACCAGATTTTTTTCAATGAATCCGGGGACCCTTTTTTTTTTTTTTTTGAAGCTGAGTAGCAACAGGGTGTCAAGTAGTGGGGATGGTGAGGCAAAAGACCCTGGGCCCAAGCACACATGCATATTGTATAAAGGTGCAAAGCCCTTCTTTCACACTCTGCGAAACATAAATGCACAGAGTTTTTAAAAAACTGGGCAATGGCCGGCCATGACTCCCAAGCCTCCCCTGACCAGTCACAACAAAGGGGGAAAGGGGCAGGAGATCTGTACCGCCGGACATCCCCAGTTCCCCTTTGGCAGTGGCGGCAGCAGCCTCAGCAGCCCAGACCCAGCCTGGTAGCGCAGTTGGCTCTGGCTGGCTTCAGGAGCTGCTCATTGCCTGCTGCCATGGCGCCTGCCATTTTTCCTCTCTGGAAGTCTCCATATGATGTGTTGCGCACAAGACACACCATATGGGGACTTCCAGGGAAGAAAAATGGCGGGCGTCACAGCAGCGAGCAGCTCCTGAAGCCAGCCAGAGCCAACTGCGCTACCAGGCTGACTCCGGGCTGCTGAGGCTGCCGCTGCTACGTTTCCCAAGGACAGATTTGCAAATTTGGGGACATTCCAGGGTGGAATTTGTCTGGGGACAGATTTGCAGCTCCGGGGACTGTCCCCAGGAATGTCTGGTAACCCCAGCATAGATGAGAAAATTTAACAGGAAGAAACTACTTCACAGAATCACCACGGTGAAAACAGGTACCCAAAGCGACATAGTACAGGCATCTCCTCACTTAATGCATGTTCAACTCATGTGCAACCACATATATGTGTGTGGTGCTGGGAAATAATTAAATAAATTGATTTAAACTGCAGAAAGGTGTGACATGGGCAAAAACTGCTCAAAAAGAACAGGAAAATGGCTAGCAATTCCAGGAGCCTTTGCACCAACCTTTGATGCCTATGGAGAGTTGAAGTTTGAGAAAGGCGGTTTGGAGAGGGCGGTTGTAGTGGAATTTGGCTTTTTAGATCGGTGTTTCCAACAACACATGATTTCATGTATATGCATGGTACCCAGGAACATAGCCCTATGTGAGTGGGAAAGTGCCTGTACTGCAGAGATAGTGCTTTTTCTTATACAAGCACCGAACCAAAACTCCTTTCATATATTTATTTAATAAAAATATTTCTATAATGCCGTATCATAAAATATATCAAGGTGGTAAATAGTATGTATATGAGAGAGTGAGTGTTGCACTGTACAATATACATTGTGCATGCTTTCCTTTTTTTTACCTAAAGAGGTAAAATGTCTTTAAAATATTCCCATGTAGGATCTTACAACAAGTTACCATGACTGTTTGTGAGACAAATGGATGCACTTTTTACTTCACGAGTCACACAGTAGACTTACAAAGTGATCTTCATAAACTAAGATATTGTTATCTGCACAATGATTAACAATGCTCCCAAATTTCAGTAACATACAATTTAGTTTTCTTTCTATATATAAAAAGTGCCACACACACACACACACACACACACACACACACCAAGTAGTCTATTAATTTTTGTGATAGGGTACTTTTCATTGCAATCAATATTAATGTACTGGAGCAGGAAAAATGTCCCGTGGTTTTTCAAACAAGAACTGATCCAAGAAAATGGATTTCAGTGTCCCTTTTCGGACACCACACACAGCTTTGTTTGGGAGATTTAAAGGTAAAGGTAAAGGACCCCTGACAGTTAAGTCCAGTCACGAATGACTCTGAGGTTGTGGCGCTCATCTCGCTTTACTGGCCAAGGGAGCCAACGTTTGTCCACAGAATTTTTTTTGGGGTCATGTGGCCAGCATGACTAAGCTGCTTCTGGCGAAACTAGAGCAGTGCATGGGAACGCCGTTTACCTTCCCGCCGGAGCGGTACCTATTTATCTACTTGCACTTTGACGTGCTTTTGAACTGCTAGGTTGGCAGGAGCAGGGACCGAGCAACGGGAGCTCACCCCGTCGCGGGGATTCGAACCTCCGACCTTCCTATCAGCAACCCTAGGCTCAGTGGTTTAGACCACAGTGCCACCCGCTTTTAACCACCCCATTATGCACTGGAATTTGGCTTGGAGGGGTTACACAACGTAGGGTTGATTGGCACAAAAAATAAATTTCAATAAATTTCTTCAAGATGGAACTCAGTGCTAAAAAAATCCATCTCTTTTCCAGTACTGCTGTAGGCTGTGAATGAAGGAGCAAGGAAGGCTACAGGATTAATCCTTCCCATCACACCAGCCATCTCCAGAGCAAGCTGCCCATCACAGAGTCAGATAGTCACTATATCTAAGCTGCTAAAAAGTAGGACATTTTATTGCTTTAAAGCAGCTGCCTCAAATTAAAGAGGTATGACCTGTCCTTTCTGCAAGGTCATAATATTTGTCCTCACATCTGTTCAGCTGTAGCCTCCCAATTCAACGCCTAGTATTGCAACCCTGATGTTTTTGCCTGTGTAAGCATACTACAGTTGCTTATAGTTCAGGAATGGCAAGGCTAAATATTTAAATCAAAAATGGGTCAGGAGATGCTAGGTTAGTATAACAGAAGTATTTTTATAACATGGCACTGGGAACTGTCCAGATAACCTACAATTACCCACAAGCAGATAGCATGCATTTATAGCATCATATTTCAGTGTAAGAGTTCTGGCAGTTACAAAATTAGGCCTTTTCAGTAGAGGTCTACTTCTCATTCTGTCTCAGATTATCCATTAGCCCCATCGCTACAGCCATCGCTACAGTAACACGTAAGCTGGAGCACCCTATAGTCACCTCTCTCTAATGGATTCACCAAATGCATACAGGGTTACTTCCCGTCACCAAATTCGTTGTTCTGGTGATTCATTGTTATGACTGCAGTTCAAATGGTATGGGGGAGGGAACTATATATAATAACTCCTTCCTATATCACACTCGGTCAAAGTAATTTGCAGGTGTTCCCCTATGCAAACAAGGGTACGAATAGGCTGCTTGGACAAACATTCTTCAATACATTGTTACACCAAAAACCTGTTAAGAGTTAGAAACATTATCTCAATTGACATTAGCTGTGAAACTTTGCAGTGTGCTCAACCTGTGCTTTAGAATCATAGAATCATAGAGTTGGAAGAGACCACAAGGGCCATCGAGTCCAACCCCCTGCCAAGCAGGAAACACCATCAGAGCACTCCTGACATATGGTTGTCAAGCCTCTGCTTAAAGACCTCCAAAGAAGGAGACTCCACCACACTCCTTGGCAGCAAATTCCACTGTCGAACAGCTCTTACTGTCAGGAAGTGCTTCCTAATGTTTAGGTGGAATCTTCTTTCTTGTAGTTTGGATCCATTGCTCCGTGTCCGCTTCTCTGGAGCAGCAGAAAACAACCTTTCTCCCTCCTCTATGTGACATCCTTTTATATATTTGAACATGGCTATCATATCACCCCTTAACCTCCTCTTCTCCAGGCTAAACATGCCCAGCTCCCTTAGCCGTTCCTCATAAGGCATCGTTTCCAGGCCTTTGACCATTTTGGTTGCCCTCCTCTGGACACGTTCCAGTTTGTCAGTGTCCTTCTTGAACTGTGGTGCCCAGAACTGGACACAGTACTCCAGGTGAGGTCTGACCAGAGCAGAATACAGTGGCACTATTACTTCCCTTGATCTAGATGCTATACTCCTATTGATGCAGCCCAGAATTGCATTGGCTTTTTAGCTGCTGCGTCACACTGTTGGCTCATGTCAAGTTTGTGGTCAACCAAGACTCCTAGATCCTTTTCACATGTACTGCTCTCAAGCCAGGTGTCACCCATCTTGTATTTGTGCCTCTCATTTTTTTGCCCAAGTGCAATACTTTACATTTCTCCCTGTTAAAATTCATCTTGTTTGTTTAGATAGACAGAAATAAATGCAGTGACCTGCAATACAGAGAAAGTGGCTCCAGGCCTGCACAGAGCTTGCCTGAGGCCTGGGGCAGGAGTCTTGTTAGAATAACATTATAAACTCAAACAAAAAAAAGGAAGTTGGTGCCTGGCCAGGCCCCCTGGCCAGCTTAATCCTCTAGGGCCCGGGGTAAGTGTACCCAGCTGCCGCCCCACTGCACGGGTCTGAGTGGCTCTAATGCTGACTTACCCAAGACGGTCAAGCAAGTATCACTTTGTAAATCATATATCAACTTACCTCCATGACAGCAGAATATTTTCTCATCCACAATGGCTGCAATTGGTAAACAATTAAAGCAGTCTGTAAAGGTTTTCCACAGCTTGATGTTGTATCTTCTTTTACCTAGGGAGATATTTCCGTACATGAACTCACTTGGAATTTAACAGTGACAGAAGAAGAGAATAGGGAGGACAAGGAGACCTACATTTACATTTTTGTATCTTTGACCTGCTTAACATTAAGGTCTTAGTCTGTGTTGGCAGAGAGGAACTGTTCTCCATACCTGCTAAGACCCAAACACAGGGATATCTCAAACCCTTGAGGATCTTTTCCCCTTCTGTCATAATACCTGCTCTAGAAATAAGCTGGCAAGAAGCTCAGGACAGACCACAGAAACGTACTACTTCACACAGCACATAATTAATGTATGGAGCTCATTCCACAAGCCACAGTGTGGTCACTGGCTTGAATGGCTTTAAATAAGCTTGTGACACAAATTCATGGCAGATACCAACAGCTAAAACCCCTGATGACAAACATCACCTGCGTTCAGAGGTAGTGCACCCCTAAATACAAGCTTTGAGGGACAACAATGGCAAAGGTGCTTTCACATTCTACCTGTAGGATGGTGAGATGCTTGATTAGATGAATCTTTAGTCCAGTCAAGCAGGACTCTTGCAGTCATCACATCAGCCCTTTTCACATACAGATGCTATTCTAATAACTGTTCTAGCGTTTAGAGACTCCCAAGGCAAAAATAAGCCATGAGCTTGCTAATGACCCCTCACTGCACCTTCACCACTGATAACTGACCCTTAGTCTTGACCCAGAATTTAGGCTCCCATATCCTAGACCTATTTGAACATTGTTTTACTGAAGCACATGCTGCCTAGGATCCTGTCAAATGGTGACAGCATCAAGTGCAAATCCTCTTATCACACTCATGACAGTTTCCGCAATTTGCTTCCAAGCAAGCCTAACCAACAAATTATGCTGAACCTATTAGAAACCTGACTAAGTATGAAGTTCACTGAATGAAGGGGTGGGGAGTATGAGGAGAATCTAAGTGTGACTGCTGCAATTAGCCTACAAGATACAAAAATACACCTGAGCATCAGGAGAGTTAAGCCATTAAAAGGACAGGGAGTTCAAACCACCGAGACAGAACCAGTGAACTGCAGACTATTCCATAATATAAAGCTGTAATGTGAAAGGGATCGTTTGGCTGTGTTTTTAATCACATGTTCTGCTTTATTAACAATTCTTCCTGGGATTACAGATATCGGTGAGCAGGCAGTCCCAGACAAATCAGAACAAAGGAAGCTGCCTTATACCCAAGTTAGACCCTTGGGTCCAACTAATTCAGTATTATCTACACTGATTGGCAGCAGCAGTTTCAGACAGGATTCTTCTTTCCCATCTCTACTTGGAGATGTTGGGGAATAAAACCTGGGGACCTTCTGTATGCAAAGCAGGTGCTCAATTGTTTTGTATCCATTAAAGAAGTCATTAAACAGAGAAATATGAACATGCTTTGCAAGGCTTATGGCAAATGCCATCATTAGCATCATTTGGTACTATAAAATCACTGGGGAGAATAATGGTGCAATGTTAATCTGAAGCTGCTGAAAAAGTGGATCTCCTCCCACCTCAATTAATATGAACCACAATGTAGTAGGTTTGCTGTAGGCAGTTACTGAAGTATTGCGCTTTTACTGTTCTTTGTAAACCACTTTTAGTACAGATGTATCTGAGAAAAATGCAGTGTTTATTGATATAAATTATGTGATTCAACACATTTTAAAACCAGTGGGCTCAATGGCACACTGGTTACTAAAGACAAGCAAGTGACAGAGGCTATAGGAAAAGCAGACTATCTGATTCATAAAGTCCTGAAAGCAAGTACGTATATTTTTCAAACCCTAGGTTTATATCACCAAATGGAACAGCCAGAAACTGAATTTATAGTCAATTCCAGAAAGTGCAACGAAAGGAAACAGAGATTACACATTGTGTCATGGCATGGAGCATCCCTATTGTACTTAACCACCATGCAGAGAACAAAAAAAGGCATGCAATTCAATCAGGCTTGCTTTTAACCAACCAACCAACCAATCGATTATTAAAGGACCAGAAGAGCAGTAACAAGGTATGTCTTATCTTCAAGCAAGGCTGATAATAAACTGCCCTCCAAGGAAGGGGAGGAATTCACATCCAGTCCAGCAACTGGAGTAAGACAACACCACCCAGTGCCCACTCAAGCAGGAACGGGTTCAACTTTGTACTTGGCAAACTCAAACTGAAAAAGTTAACATTATAAATATGAGCTTAATTTAACACTTAAGTGGAGGCTGGCAGAGCAGTGAAGACTGGACTGTAGTTGCACCTTTCTCTTCTGAAGAGAGCAAAGGAAGAACAAGAAGGCTATATTTCACCTGCCAAAATGATAGAAAAGTCTCTTAACTAGGCAAGTCAGTATTGTCATTAATAAGCAACTCACTCCAAACCCAGAGGTTATTTTATAGCAAAAATAGTGCCATCTACACTATGAATCACTTTCCAAAGTCTCAAAAGACAGCACCAGAAGTACTTACATTCATCGTAGAAGCCATAAATTCTATTAATGCTGGCACATTCATGGTTCCCTCTAAGGAGGAAAAAATTCTCTGGGTATTTTATCTTGTAGGCCAGTAAAAGACAAATTGTTTCTAAAGACTGTTTCCCTCTATCAACATAGTCACCAAGAAATAGATAGTTGCTTTCTGGTGGGAAACCTCCATATTCAAAGAGTCGAAGTAAATCATAGTATTGTCCATGGATGTCACCTTAAAACAAAACAAAACAAAACAAAACGGTGTTGATATGGTTTGAGAGTTTGGCTCATTAAAGCAAATGCATGCTAATATACTCACTTTAAAGAATAAGAATTGTTACACAACACTAAGAAAAGTAAGCATATGTAACAGTAAGTTTCCTCCAATTAGCCTATTATTCCTATTCCATTCATTGGTGTTTTTGCAAAGAGATGTTCAATGGACTGTACCACTGTTTTCTCCAAAGTACAAACTTTCATACTATTATTTGTGATCTGTGAGGTTAGAAGCACAACAAAGCCAGTCCTAAAAATTGAAGCTGGCTTGAAGTGAAAATTTTATTTGTTATTAATTCCGACTAAGCAAGTCCAGTTTAATCTTAAATCTTTTGCATTAAGCAGTATTTAACACAACTTCCGTGCACTGCTCTGGTTCGCCAGAAGCGGCTTAGTCATGCTGGCCACATGACCCGGAAGCTGTACGCCGGCTCCCTCGACCAATAAAGCGAGATGAGCGCCGCAACCCCAGAGTCGGTCACGACTGGACCTAATGGTCAGGGGTCCCTTTACCTTTTTTAACACAACTTACTTTGACTTCTTGTGAAAAGCAAGGCCTTCTGCTTCAACTTACAGAATCATGCAATGATGAAGAAAAACGGGCCACCACTTTTTAGTATACAAATGGTTATGGATATTACTAACACTGATACAGACAACGACCAACTGATGCGCGCCCATGTGCGTCACAGCAATGAGGAAGAGGTTGAAAAGGGGGGTGTAAAAGGGAGGTGGAATAATGTGGTGAAGCAGGTTTATGCATGCTCCACCAATGCGCACAGGGGTCAGGAACATAACCTCCAGGCAAATTGGTCGTTGCCTGTATCCATAACCTAAAATCAAATCTCCACTGGGTTGAAGAATAAAGCTTCCTCTTTCTGGGATTTGTGTCCTCTTTATTCTGTCTACTTGAAGAAGTTTCCCTTCAGAATTCTATTCAAATCAATTCTACTTTTGCCCTCAAGTAGCATGATTTGCATAGGATGACTACAGTACTTTGACAGCAATATTTTAATGGATTTGCAATCTTCAGAGATGGTGAAAATACCACCTAAGAAGTTGTGCCACATCATCATCATCAGTTCATTAAAAAAGGGATAGTTGGAGCCAACAAATCTCAATGCTTACCACATATTTTAAGCGGTGCTTCAAGTTCTAACAGAATGGGTTGACTGAGAAAGATTTCTCGAGATTTCAAGCATAATCCTCTTATTTCGTTCTCTTGAAGTTGCACATTTTTACCGGGTTTTGACCCTCTTACTGTGAAAGAAAAAAAAAGGATGGTCATGTTTAGCAAATGAGATCTACTGAGTTTCAAATCAATCATCATTAAACACATAAAACAGATTATTTTACAATAAATGGAAATGACAAATTTTGGGTCTTGAAATATCTTCTGAACTCTTACAGAGAAGGCTCATGATTACCAAGCAGATTTTGATTCAAGCTGAGGGAAGTTTGCCCACTGCTGGAATTAAAAGGCAAATAATGAAAACACTGCATATTAAAATATGTGTTGTTTCTAAATTCTAGTGGTCCAGGAAACAAATGCTTCATATATAGGCTGCACCAATGTATTTTATGCTGGTGAAATATTTAGGATACAGATACAAGAATTATAATTTGAGGACAACCATATGAAACAGATTCTACACCAATGGTTAAATAAATAGAAAAAGAGCAGGAGACTCTTGCTTACTGGGCTCTGGAGGTTCTTGCATGCAACCCCCAGGAACAAACCCCCCATGTAAGCTGCAGTCCCAACTATTCCTAATTACATGGAAGGGAAGAGGTGCAAAAGTTGAATATCTTAATTCAAAACCAAGAGGAATTCGAAAACTGCAAGGGTCCCAAGCTAAGCCAGAGTATGATATTCACCAAACCCAATAAGTTACTTCAAATTAATTAAACCTGATGGCAAGAATGTTCCTCACACCAGTTAGACATGCTATCTCATGTTTGAGCAGTGCAACTAACTATGCCTTCCCAGAGCCTTCCCCAATTGATGCATGTGTTGTTTTCAGTGCAACATATTCTATTGACCTATTTCAATCTAGACACCACCTGTGCACTGATGTTATATAGGAAGCAGAACAAGTAGTTTAAAGTACTTGCACCGAAGCTTTGAAAAACTCAAAGGCTGTAGTTTAATACGATTTACTTTGAAGTTTAGTATCAGAAAGGAGTTGCAATTACCAGCAGAATAATTGCAGGGCAATGGTTGTGACATGAGCAAATACATGTTTCAATTTTTCTTCCCCATCAGTTGTTAGCATTCATTGATGACATTATCAGTACTACTATATATTGAGGGTGCAATTAAAATATTTAACACAAGTAATAAGGCATAAACCTATTAATATATTTCCCCATCTCTGCAGTGTGATTATGCATGAAGCTATTGAGCAATAGAGCAATTGCCCCAAGTTCTCTTTCCAAACTGTAAGTAAGCAGCCTCAAATGCAAAGTGTCCATCAGCAACAGAGTTTATAAAAATGACCCACTGATAATTACATTATATGCTTTTAAACAGTTAAGGGTGTTATCGTGTTAAAAGCTTCTATAGACAGAAAACAGATCAAGCATTTTAGAAATGATATGCTTGTAGCAATGCTCTTAAAGAGGGAACCAAAGGCCTGTAGGCAAAACTACTCAGCAGCATATGTGAAACAGAAGCTTCTGCCACTGCCTCAGCTTATATTCTCATCACCCCCACAAGCAGAGAAGTTTGGCCAGACAGGGATGAAAAGGAATGTATCCTAGAATAGCAATCTGCATTTGATGCCATTCGGAATTCTAGTCATTTCCTATAAACTCTCCCTTACTAGATGTCTTCAATGAGAAGTTGGAAAACATAGCCTACAAGCCAGGTTCCAACTTGCTACTTAAATCACCCAATAAATAAGAAGTATGACCAAGATCTCTGAAAGTGGTATGACTTAAAATGAGAAGAGATTACGTCTGGAAAGCATGCAGAATTTGCACATGTTGCAAAGATAGCATAAATTTTTCAAGCACCGAAATTTCAGACATTTTTGTTGTTTTCAGGAACTAGTGAAAGCAACTATTGCCAGCTCGATGTCTGAAACCAGTATCACAATCTGAATGTCATACCAGTTTCAGACAACATACTACAATATCACCCAGCTCTAGCAGGTACTTACAGCTAATCTACTATCTATTTTGCAATGTGATTTGTCTGTTCAGAATTCTCAAATGCTTTAAAAAATGCTTCTCAGTTAATCATATTTTAAGTCAATTATATCTTGTTAATTAATCTAACCAATTAAAGTTGCTGTAACATTGAAGCCTTTGCTACTTTCATATTTGACATTTACACGCACTTGTTGAAAATTTCAAGTTAGAACTAGATCTGAAAAAATATATCTAGGTGTAGTTTGTCAGTAGTTTATGAACCTCTTGTAAACAAGACATTCCTTCAATATTAACAAATTAAGGGATTTGTTCTTGGTCCAACCAAGGAGCAACACTGTTCTGCCAAACTTTGCTTTGTGTAAATAAATTCCCACTCCCTGAATATCCTGTATCCAGAGATTTAAAGTGTCATCATAAATCTGATCTGTAAGAACAAAATAGCTGGGGCTCAACTATTTGCAAGGGATCATTGAACAGTATATCTCATAAGAAGCTGCTGTAGCTTAGTGAACCATCATTTAGAAATTAGTGGTTTTCCCTGTGAATACCCTGATAGTTGTATTGTTCCTTTGTATGAACATCAAACCACCATAATCTATGGTCTGAAGGGGGGAAAACATTTTCAGAAATGGAGTTGTTTACTTAATGGCAGAAGGGACGCAGACCTCCCAAGGCAGGGAATCCCACAAAAAAGATGCTGTGAGGGACGTCATGCTGCTCTAACCTCTAAATGAGGGGTTACAGAGTTAGGCTACTTATAGAGAGAGAGGAGACACCCTATTCATGAGCTCAGTTGATACCTTAATGTCATCTCCCACAGCTATCACTAGTGGCCATTATGTAATCATTATATAACATTGTACAAGAGTCGATACCCGAATTCACTCCTTCACCACAACTTTTTGCTTTCTATAGTGTTCTAAACTAACTTTACTATTCTAAAATAAGCCTTCATGTTGTAAACCAGCTTAACTGCAACAATGTTGCAGTTTGGACAGTGCAGTCTTGGACAGTCTTGTCAATCCACCCCTTTCCCTGCTAAAAGCAAACTGATTTAGTCACTTTCTGTGATTTTTGTAGAAACCATTTTGAGCTTTAAGGAAATTCTCTATGAACAAGAGATATATATAGGAAATATTTGCATGCTTAATATCTTCCTTCAGATCTCATGAAGACAAAAATAAAAAATCAGTAGCCCCACCTCGCATACTAGAGCCAGCCATTTGTGTGACCTAATAGAAAATAAGACTTGACAGAACTCCATCGATAAATTTCGATTAGCTAATTATAGTTAGAACAAACCATAGGCCCTTGAGTTAGGATATAACAGGGAACTACAGTTCATTTTAAAATGATTGCAGAAGTTACTGATAATCTCTCCTCTAGGGCTGGGCAATATATTGTCCAAAACTGCTTTGAAGTCTGTATCATCCATACCATTTCATAATTTTTGACCTGGCAATATATCGCAAATCCTTATATATGTGCTATGCAAAAATCACAATATGATTTTTCATGGGGAGAAACTGTGAAGCCAGCCAATGCTTCTCTTGATTCCTGCAGCCCCTGTCAATTCTGCCGGCTCAGCTCACCCCTGCCTCATGCGGGGGGCAGCAAAATCACAATGCAGGGAAAACCATGAAGCCAGCCTTATTTCAGACAGTGTTATCAGTATATCATGATGTTTAGTTGGAGATATACAGGCCAAATTGTCATCATGCAGGATCATTCTCATAATGGGAAACTATAGTTTCTTGTTATATAAGAACCAGGCCATTACGTTTTATTTGTAGACAGGACCAAAAGAATAATAAATGAAAAAGCTAGCCAGCATTTGCATTGGTGTTAATAGGCATTTACAAGACTTTCCAGTCATACAGAAAAGTGGTTAGCACTGCTTGCTAACAGATCCCCAACTACCTATGAATACTGAAGTAGGGGCTAATGTCTTGGAACTCAGATGATCAGAGTTTGAATTTTCAATACAGCCATGAAATGACCAGAATTCATGGGCAAATCATTCCCTCTCAGATCCAGCAGCTACCCAATTGCAAAATGGAATTTCTGTATAGTGGAGCGGATGAGAAATGACCATAAAGCACTTTGTACACTCTGGCTCAATCCAGAAACGATAGAATACCAGTTTCTCTTTACAATAACTTCTTCCTCATAATGCCTACCAGGAGATTGAAAGTTTCTGCTTTTAGTTTTAAACCAGGGTCCCCAAACTTTCTTGGGGCACAGGGCTGAATTTATAAATCTAAGAAACTCCTTGTGGGCACTGAAGACAAAATACCTGGCAACAGCTTGTTCCCATAGAATTGGGGTGGGTAACCTACGGTCCTCCAGATGTTGCTGAGCTTCAACTCCCATTAGCACCAACCAGAATGGTCAACAGCCAGGGATTATGAAACCTATAATTCAACATCTTAAGGGTCACAGGCTAGCCACTCCTGCTGCAGCATGAAACTATGGTTTTCCTCTACATCCATGCCAAACTGTAGTAGCAGTAGCATACGTGTTGATTTCCAGTGCCTGATGAACTGCACCCAAGGATACCAAAGGAGCTTGCAGATGTAATCTTACAGCCTCTGCCTATATTTGACAATTCCTGGAGAACAGGTGAGTTCCCTACAGACTGCAGGTGGGCAAATGTTGCCCCCATCTTCAAAAAGAAGACCTAGGTAGCTACAGACCGGTCAGCTTGACCTTCATACCAGGAAAGGACCCAGAACAGATAATTCAACAGTTGGTCTGTGAGCACTTAGAAAAAGATGCTGTGATTACTAAGACATGTCATGCCAGACAAATCTCATTTCCTTTTTTGATAAAATTGCTGGTTTGGTGCATCAGGGGAATGCTGTGGACATAAGTTTATCTTGATTTCAGGAAGACTTCTGACAAAGTTCCCTAGTGTATTCTTGTAAGGAAGCTGGTAAAATGTGGGTTGAACGAGGTAACTGTTAGGTAGATTTGTAGCTGGTTGACTGACCAAACCCAAACAGTGCTCATTAATAGTTTCTCATCATCCTGGGAAAAAGTGACAAGTGGGGTGCCACAGGGTTCTGTCCTGGGTCCATTTTCAATGTCTTTATAAATGACTTGGAAGAAGGAATTGAGGGGATGCTCATCCAATTTACAAATGACACCAAACTGGGAAGATTAGCTAATGCAGCTGAAGACAGAATTGGGATTCAAGATGACCGTAGCATATTGGAGAACTGGGTGCAGGCTAACAAAATGAATTTCAACAGGGACAAATGTAAGGTTCTGCACTTAGGCAGGAAGAACCAGATGCACCAATACAAGATGGGGGACATCGGGCTTACTAGCAGTACATGTGAAAAGGATCTAGGGGACTTAGTAGACGATAAACTTAACATGAGTCAACAATGTGATGCAGCAGCATCAAAATATAATAATAATAATAACAATAAAAACAACCTAATGATATTCTAGGCTGCATCAACAGAAGTATAGTGTCCGGTTCTGGGCACCACAATTTAAGGAGGATATTGACAAGCGGGAACGTATGCAGAGGAGGGCTACCAAAATGATCAAGGATCTGGAAATCAAGCCTTATGAGGAATGACTGAAGGAGCTGGGCATGTTTAGCCTGGAAAAGATGAGAATGAGAGGAGATATGATAGCCACCTTCAAATATCTCATGGGTTGTCACATGGAAGATGGATCATGCTTGTTTTCTCCTGCTCTGGAGGGTAAGACTCAAACCAATGGCTTCAAGTAACAAGAAAGGAGATTCTGACTAAACACCAGAAAGAACTTTAACAGTTAGAGCAGTTTGACAATGGAATGGATTCCCTCAGGAGGATTGTGGACTCTCCTTCCTTGGAGGGTCCCAAGAAGAGGCTGGGTAGCCATTTGTCATGGATGCGTTAGTTGAGATTCCTGCATTGCAGAAGGTTGGACTAGATGACCCTCGGGATCTCTTCCAACTCTATGATTCTATGATCTTACTATTGTCTCTTACCTTTTGTGATAGCAATTTCTCTGACAATTTTAAACTTACTTCCTTGTTGATTGTGTCAATTACTAGTCAAGGAGATGCTCTTTTTAGACCTTGAACAATTACACAATTCTCACCAATTAACAGTGAGGAAAAAGACTGGGAAACCACATGCAAAGTAACCCAAGCTCTTTGAGGAAGAGCTGGGTATAAATATACAATTAAGAAACAGCACTATCCAATACACAAATCAACCAAATATGTCTTACAACATTAACCTCTTTGAAGTCTCACGCTCATTGGGGCTGAGCTACTTTTAAGTATAAATTCCAAGTGGAAATGTTTCAAAAATTCTCTCCATTACTAAATGATTTAACATTTTATTAACACAAATTTGGCATTAAATTGCCATACAATTTATATTATCTTCTAAGATGTTGATGTGCCCTGCTTGGCTCCTAGAGTTATGTCTACACAAACTTTTCAAAGTTTATGTAGCAAGAAATTTAACACTGAAATTACTGAGAAATCAATCTACACTAAATCAATATTGTTGGCATCTTAAATTTAAGCTCATTGATGAGATGGAGACATGATAAATTATGTATATTTTTAAGTAAATCAAGGTGGTGAAAAAAGGACTAACACCAAACCAATGGAAGCAATGTCTCTAATTCTATTTTATCCAACCTCAAATATCCTACATTTACAAATCCTATCCATTTCCATGGCTATGCTAAAATAAATGAGAAAGACTTTTTAAAAGGTATCTTTAAAAACTGGAAGGGACTATGAAGTGAGGCGAGAGACTACGGCAAGACATATCCCTTATATTTAGCTCAGACCACATTGCTGCAGATTACTTTGCATCAAATGAAAAGTTAATTCCCTGATTGAACTCTTCAAGTATAAGTCCTGGATAGACTCAGACAAAGCTAGATTAGTGCAGCCTCCCTCCCTAGCTAAATGTGATATTGCTTGCTGCTACAAGGATAATTTGTCATCAGCTACTTCACAACGCTTCACCTCAGCCAAGATTTATAAGCACGTTTAACCAAACCTAGAAATCGAAACATGCACTATCTAAGATTTAGGGAACACAGCATATCAGAAACAACCCCAGCACCAAGGTCAGACAGATGAAAATGTTCAAATGAGCAGACATCCATGAGGCTCACAATCATATCTTTAGAGCAGTCAAATGTTCACGTTGCTACAAGGATTAAATTTTTAATTTGTTTGCAAGCTTCACCCTTGCCACAACAGACTGGCATAGGAGGGAGAGCAACATTTTAATGCTCTCGTGATTCCCCAGGCCAGCAGTCATGCAGCTTTGGGAGGGAAACTAAACCAACACTGACTTCTCTTACTACAGAAATAAGACTCCACTTTGCTAAGCAGAGGGCAAAACAATGAAAAATGGCCAACCTACTTATGCACTTACCCTAAGAAAAACATCAGAATAAAGCACAGCATGCACATCTAGTGTATCAGAATAAGAATTGTGTGCATTCCCACCTATCTTTAAGTTATATGTTTGTGTGTGTATGCACACACAGACACATGCAGTGTACAAGAACAACTGAGGAAGAGACTGTTGTAATCTGAAAAGAGATCACTGAGGCACAAACAAAGCACCTCCGGACCCTCCATCTTGGATGTGGACCCTTTAGTCTTGCCTCCTTCCCTGCCAAATCAACTCAGGAGAGTCCAAAGACAAAGTCAGAATTGAGATGAGCGGAGGGCTATGGGATTTCAGATACCCTGATGTGTTCTATGCATATGTGAGGGGGCCTCTTACCATCCTCCACATAGTCTTTCCCCATCCACAACAATTACTATTTTACTTCCCTTTCCTCTGGCTGAAACTCTTAACCTCACCTCACCTCCTCACAGAACCACAAAGGGGCACTTTTTAAAAAATGAGCCCACAACAATAAAAAACCATTCCTAATTGGGTTCAGCAGCTTCTCCCCACCCTGCCCTCAACAGCACCCCCTTACTTCACCCCTCCACCTTATGGGAACACTTTTTCACAGGCAATCCACCCCAAATTCCGTTCCCAATAATGCTCCTCAATCTCACTGCTCCTCTGCAATCCACCCCAACCCACTTTTCCCCTCCCTACAGAAACACCAGTGCAAATAAATATTGGGAGCCCATCCCCAATTCCACTCCAAATACTCATCTCCCCCCAAGCGGAGTCTGTCAAGGGCCTCCAAAATCCCTACTCTTCTCAAGCAAAACCTTCACCCCCCCCAAAGAGTTACACATTTGGGGGCAGTGGGGGGGGGGGAATCTTCTCTATACCACTTTGACCTGTGTGTATCCATACATCCCATATTCAAAAACACACACACACACATCTCTGTATTGTTAAGAGTCCTCTCTCAAACAATCCACGCACCCCATATTCAAAATATATATTATACACACACAAAACCATTCCAGCATCCTCCTTCCTACCAGTCTCTCCTGTCTTCTTCTTTCTTTCTTTTTTGTGGCAAAAGGAACAACAGCAGCAGCATTTAGATGCAGTATATACTGTAAATGAATAAAGTCACACGCATACCTAAATCTAAACCACTACGTGCACGCCCGTCCACCAGTACAACCCCCCCTCCAGAAACGTCCCTCATTTTTTGGTGGCGCCCCCCCCGAACATACAACAGCCCCCCCCAAGACACCCTAGATAACCCCCTTCCCTTGGCCTCCACACCTTCGGGTCTCCCCAAACCATCTCCCCCAAACACAACAACGCTTCTCCCCCCCCCATTGCACCCTCCCAAGATACGGGAGGAAGGGAGAAGCGCCCCAAAAGTGCCTGAAACGAGAAGCGAAGAGGAGGCGAACGGCGCGCGCCCACAAGTCACGCTATTAGGCTTCATTTATTACTATTTGCGACTATTATTACCCATAACCGTCATGTGGAGGAGAGCTATAGTCAGTGGGGCTTTTTGTTTTGTAACTAAAGGGTGGGATAATAATAAATAAAATAAAACGGCCTTCGCCCGTCCGCGCTCCTCCCCCGCTCCCCCCCCCAGCCGGTGGGCAACCCCCTCCCCTTTTAATGGTTTGCCGCCCCCTCCCCAAACCGCGGCGGAAGCCCCCCAAGGAAGCCGCCTCACGCGCCGCCCTCGCCCCCCCTTAATCCAGCCTCACGGTACATCCTTATCCCCCCCCCCCCACCGCCGCTCCGTTCCCTCAAGCCGCCCTCCTCGCTCACCCTCCAGCAGCCGTTGGATGATGCTGTCGATGTTGAGCTTGTCAATATCCGCCATCGCCTCTCAGCGGCCGGGGCGAGGGAGCGAAGCCGGAGCCCGCCGGGTCGACCCGCGCGGCTCTTCCCCCGCTCCCGAGCTGGCTCCTTCCTTCTCCCGAATGCCCTACCGCGCGCCCCCTTTCCTCCCTCTCTCGCTTTCCCGCCCCCCAACCCAGCTCGCTCGCTCGGTCGCTCGCTCGTTCCGGAGGAGGAGGAGGAGGTGGAGATGCCGCAAACAGCGTCGGCGGGCGAACAAAATGGCCGCCTTTCCCTCCTCCCCTCACAAGGAGCCGCCTCCTTCGGGCGCGCAGGGATATACGAGAGGAAGCTGCGGCCGGGGACTTCTTTCCAGGCAAGGGCGGGAAGATTGAGGAAGCAGCGCTTCAGCCTGCTGGGCGGTTTGCGCGCGCTGTCTCTCGCAGAGCCTCGTTTCTCTCGCTCGCGCGCTCAAATCCTTCCGCCGATAGAAAGTCGGTACCGGGGGGGGGGGGCGGGGAGTGAAGTGAGAGGCGGTTCTTCGCTCGTTCTTTCTTTCTTCCCCTCAAAGGCTTAAGGGCATTTGGGGGGCTAAAAAGAAGAAAGGAAATCCGCCCCAAAAAGAGAGACAGAGATGGGGAAAGCGGCCACTAAGTGCTTCCAGCCTTAACATGTGGTGGGGAAAGAGCACCCTTGAACATGCGCAGAGTTCTGTTGTTTATTTTCTAAGCCTTTCACATGAAGCCAGCACAGACAGCTCTTGGGGCACAGTGCGACTGACAAACCTAGAGAGCATCTTAAAAAGCAGAGACATCACCTTGCCAACAAAGGTCCGTAAAGTTAAAGCTATGGTTTTCCCAGTAGTGATGTATGGAAGTGAGAGCTGGACCATAAAGAAGGCTGATCGCCAAAGAATGGATGCTTTTGAATTCTGGTGCTGGAGGAGACTCTTGAGAGTCCCATGGACTGCAAGAAGATCAAACTGATCCATTCTGAAGGAAATCAGCCCTGAGTGCTCACTGGAAGGACAGATCCTGAAGCTGAGGCTCCAATACTTTGGCCACCTCATGAGAGGAGAAGACTCCCTGGAAAAGACCCTGATGTTGGGAAAGATGGAGGGCACAAGGAGAAGGGGACGACAGAGGACGAGGTGGTGGGACAGTGTTCTCGAAGCTACCAGCATGAGTTTGACCAAACTGCGGGAGGCAGTGGAAGACAGGAGTGCCTGGTGTGCTCTGGTCCAGGGGGTCATGAAGAGTCGGACAACGGCTAAACAACAACACGATGTGACACTTGCTCAAATGCAAGCGGAGCCTTAATTTCTAAAATGAGGGTTCAAGAAACTTTGGTGTGTGTCTGGAAATTGGGGCCATAAAAGCTTCACTTTCCCTCTCCCAGTTCCAGATGTTTAATTTTACAGGAGTTGCAACCTTTCCACATACAGGTGTTTCATAGAGCTGGAAGGGACCCTGAGCATCATCTAGTCCAACTGCCCGCAATGCAGGAATATGCAGTTGTCTCTTACCTGGATCGAACCTGCGACTTTGGTATTACTAAGCACCATGCTCCAACCAACTGAGCCACCATACAATTTGCACATGCTCAGAGAACTCGTCCTTTGAATTGCCTCTTGTGCTCTGGGGCTAAGCCCTGCCTTAAAGAAACTCAGCTACAATAAACTGGATCAAAAGCTAAAGCCCCACCACCTGTCATTTAAGAAATTAATTATCAAACGCAAAATAAAAAAGCTGTTCACTAGCCTGGCAAGGCTGGTTTGCATAAGCCGGCCCAGGGGTTCCTTACTTGTAGCAGTTCTGCAGCTTGCATTTTTATTCATATCCCAAATAATCAAACTCTTACCATTTATTGATTTATTGGGTTTAGGGGGGTTCCTACCCACAAACCTGCAGTTCTCCACATTTTGCAGCAATTTGTGTTTTTGATTTAAGGCACACATTTTTGCAAGCAATTTCTGCTAATATTGTGCATGTTTGTGTTATTTTTACTAGCAAGCTTTAGAGGACTCTTCATATGAAATTCATTAAATATAGCTAAAAAGAGGGGGCATTTGGGGGGCATAGTAGACAAACCACAGTGTGGGTCATATGGTAATTTCAGATTTAAAATAGAGATTGCAAGAGAAAGTCTTGTGGCACCTGAAAAACTAATACTTATTGTGGCATAAGCTTTTGTGGACTACATTCTACTTCAGCAGAAGTATGAAGTCTTGTACTTAGTTGTGGGCATGTAGGCACATGGTTTTCTTGGGGGGAAGGAAAGTACGTCCAGAAAAGTACAGGCAATGAGCCTGTATTTTCTGCATTGTGTTGCACTCTGACCTCACAGTTTATAAACTCCGGTCCCCCAAGCCATGACTGTGTTTAAACAGCATCTCTCCCATTAAACAGCTCACCTGGGCCACCTGCCACCTGTGCTGCTTCCTTGCTCCCCTGCCCGTTTGCTGTTGGTCACACTGCAATTGGTGTGAGCACCTATTGGCAGCCATGCAAACTGCAGAGCGTGATGACAGGCTTACATTTTTATGTTTATAGAAAGATATGAATATACATATACTCTCTCTATACAGTGGAATATCGGTTGTTGAACGTAATCCGTTCCAGAAGACTGTTAAACTTCCGAAACATTTGACTACCGAGGCGCAATAGGCAGTTGGCAAAATCCATTGACAAAATGGGAAAACATGCCTCGGAAGTCGAATGGCTTCCGAGGCGTGTTAGAAAATGGAAGTATTCACTTCCAGGTTGTCGGCATTCAAATGGCGAAACGTTCAATTTCTGAAGCGTTCAACAACCGAGGTTCCTGTGTGCGTGTGTGTGTGTGTATTCATGCACCACTGATGAAGTGGTTCAGAAAAGCTTGTGCCATAATATTTCCAAGGAACCACAATACTCTTTGTTCTTGTGGTACTTTGTGCAACGGAAATCATAACTCCCACTCATGGGATTGTGGTGTAGGCGGGAACCCATGTAACCCATGTGAGCTGGACCTGTAACAAAATCTTTCAGTATGAATCGCTTTTCTTTCAGCCACATATTCTTTCAGATACTCCATTTCTCCTCACCCCTATATTTCTCCTCAGCCCCATAGGTGCTCAACATTCTGTGGGTTCTGAGCACCCCACATCCTTATATGGCTGTTGTGGTGTTTCCCCACCACCCCTTAAATTTTTGTTTTTATGCAAACCTTGGGGTTCCCCCGAACCTGCTTTTGTCCATGTGATGCCATTTTGGCTGCCTAAGGATTAGCACACAGAATGAATTGCTATACAGTAAGCTTTTGTCAAATACATACTTGTGTTCTTTCAAAAAGGCCCACAATTGGATACGTTTTAATATTCATTGTTTTTCTTCTGGATTCTGCAGAAATCAGTCAGGGCGAAGCCAAGGAAAACCCAAAGCAATTTAAATCAGCTAAGTGCTGATAATATTTATAATTCCATTGGCAGGGAGAAAGGATGTGCAATGTTTAACTACTTTTGGTTTTAATCTTTGGCTGAATGTCGTTTAATTAGCATACTTATTGCTCCTTTAATAGTTAGGGTAGAGTTCTTGTTTTTTTAATTGACGCAAAGCCAGCTCTGCCTCTCTTTTCCTCCAGGTCAAATGCCTTCTTAATGTACACACCAACTGGATCTTTTACCCTGGCAGTTATATAATAACCATAACCATAACATCTCATTATAACTGGTGGAACTTGCCAGTTAAGAGTTCAGGCTGGAACGATGAGTCGGAGGAATTTGCAGTGTCATCTCACCTTGAAGCAAGTCAGGAAGGGAGAGTCAGAGCACGTAAGATGTAGGTCACCTGCAGCTTAGGTAACCACCGCTGCTGCAGGCAGCCTACAGGTACTGACTCTGGAACCGCAAAAGGTTCTGAAGCAGGCTAGGCCTCAAAGAGTTCCAAATTGCACCAGCTGGGCAAGAAGAGCTTTATAAATAGACAACAAAGTCCTATGTGGGAAGGCAGGCCATGTCAGGATCTTGCACTCCAGATGGAATTTGGTGGTTTGTTTCGTAAAATCGTTTCCCCAAAAGAACTTTCAACCCAGCTTTTGCATGTGTTTGCATTGCACCGTGGTTACAAACCACAAACAACCCCCCCTTCTTTTGACTTGATAGCCAGACCCCCAAGTTAGCTCACATGTTTTCTCCCCTGCACTGCTTCCTTCTACACAGCCAGCTCCACGTGGGATTTTAATTTTTTTATTTTGTAGGCTCTGCAGTAATAAAATTACAATCATGATTCTTAAGCAATAGCATTTTTTTGCTTGTGAACACTGGTTGTTAAAATGTAGGCTTCGAAGATACATTTCTTACGGAATTAATGTTACTTTAGCAGAGGCAGCTCTTTAGTTTGCTTGTTGTTGTTGTTTTTTTTGTCGCATCAACAAAGCACCGACCAGGCCTTTAATTGTTTCAGTTTAATTGCCCCACACTCTTCCTGTTAAGAGCAGTGATGTGATTCTTGAAGGCAAATTCTGGGACAATCCCTTACATTTGCTGTACTTGGCAAAACTAAGCATGCACAACCCCCCCACCTCCCCATGCGGTGGGTACTTCCTCCCTCTTGACATTTTCCAGGCTCTGAATTACAGTTTGGCTAAATAATATAAGATGACATGTTATTTATTTCACTCCCTGGGTTTTCGTTCTTTGCATAGCCGCCTCCTGCTCCACTAAGAATTCCACAAATAGACCCCAGTTTAGAAATGCCTCTATTTGTATAAGTTTCCCTTTCATATCTTCCTCCTTCTTGGATGTTGTTTCTGCTCTTGAAAGGGTTGCTGACTTCTTAGACTGTGGCTACTTTCTACTTCTTCTTAAGTAAATGATTTATAGTTGTAAATTAGCTGGGTTCTAATAGATGACAAGCTCCCATTTTTTCTGTAGGTGTCATCACATTTGCAGTATTGATATCTATATGCATGCATATTTTAAATGAAAGGTTACATCACTTTTGCAAGGGGATTAATGTATTCCAAGATGGATTGGAAAATTCTTGAAGGCTTCAGGGTTCTTAAGCAGAGAATCTGGCAAAGGAGACCCAGGCACAGTCCATTTTATGTAGCTCCATGGCAGGGGTCCGAGGGGAGAGGCTGACCTGCTGTCTGTTGCTCTTTGGTGCCACCATTTTGAGTGGCCAGAGGGTAGTATTGCAGCTCACCAGTTTGACAGGGGTCAGGTGACATAATGGCCTAATAGGATTCCAGCTTATCCTTAAAAAATGCTTATGCACTGTTAGCTTGCACAGTTGAGTTGCATCATGCAGTTCCATTCAAGATCTAGTCCTGCCTTTTTCTTCTGCCTGCATCTCTATGCCCTCCTCCCTTCCGCTGGTCGCTTGCATGCAAAGGGGTCAGAGGAGGCAGCAAAGACATGGGGGAGGCAAT